TTTTCTGTTAATATTATTGCTCCCCCGTAACTTGCGAGCTGGCAATCGGGTTTGGTTGCAGTGTCGTTCATTACCAAATCCATCACGGGTCTTGGCATCGACGGTGTGATGATTGGGTCACAGAGACGTGGCGATGACTTCACATGCTCCCGGGGGTGTGGCCTTGAATTTTTTTGGTGTTCAGTGTTCAGTTTCGGATTGTGTGATCGACGGAACCGACCGCTTGTTGATGTTTTAACTTGAAGATTCGATTCATTGATGCTGTCATGCAATGCAGAAGCATCTTCTGCCTATCCATCCCGAGGCTTGCGAGGGCTTCTTCTCGTGTAGTAACACAACGCAACGGTCGTGGAATCCGGGGTAAGACTCGGTAAGAGGAGAAGAGAGATGCAAATAGAAACCCAAAAGAAACTAATGCAGAAGATGCAGGGATTGTGGGACGTTGGTTGCGCTGTCTCTTGTGTTCCATCACGATCTGGATCATGATTATGAAAGATGGTGGCTGGCTCGGATGCCAATCCATCCGTTTTGTTATTGGGGGATTCAATCGTACTGTATGCTCTGGTGATAATCTCTATATATGGACAGTGCGTTAGCCTCAGACCAAGATACGCTTAGCACTATAATTATAGCAGGTAACACCTGTACCAACACCCAGAAACCCCCCTCGGAGAGCATAAACCCCAAGCATCAACTTAAAATCTGCAGTGTTTCCATATCGAGAGCTAGTTGCTTCAACACGAGCCGCATTAAAATAAAACAGTTGCAGCTGGAACACCCACCCAATGCCGCCACCCGCCGGACTCGTGCTGTCCGTGCTGATCATGCTCTCTTCTCGTACAACGTTATCTTTGGAGCAAAAAACAAGCTGGTCAAGTCGCATGCTTTTGAGCACGGCCTTTTGGAAAGTTCCGTCCCTCCTTTTCGGTCCTGCATTTCCAAACCAGAATCCTCTTCGTCTTGCTGCGGTGACATACCGCACCGCCACACCTCGCTTGGGGATTAACAGCTCCCGCCACAGACTACGCCACAATTGCGACTGAAGATCGCATTCTTGTTGATGAAGATGGTATTGGATACTACTGAGATTCATGAAATGTCGCTTAATTTACACGCTGACGTGCAGTGCCGAAAGCTGAGCGAGTCCTTTTCTTGCCACAGTATTATCCATCGCATCTCGTACCGAAGTCTGAGAAGTTGGGTCTCCAACCGAGGCATCTCAGGCTTTCAGCAAGGTCAGAATCTCACACCGAACTTTTGCGTGTCACGGAGCGGGTCTCGGAGTTCTAAGCAGGCCCACTGACCCGGAGCGGATCTGAGATTTGAAGCCGTCTGTGTTCTTGTGGGACTCCCTTGGTGGGACACCGGAGTTGCTCCGGACAAGGAGCCCCTGAAATCGGTGATCAAGTGAGGCTTCGATAGGGGGCTACAGATAAATCTCGCAGCAGATGCATTCTTCCCATCTTGAAAGAACACCCAAGAACATGATGAGCATTCAGCTGATAGATAGTTCGTAGCAAACCAGCTCTGTTCACTACATTAATCCTCTACTTGTTGGAAGTGGATCAAAGGCCACATCCTCAGCCAGCTGTGAAGGTGCCTCTGCTTCCGGTGGCAGCGTGGACTCTCCCTTGTTAACCTTGAGGCCCTGCCTCACTCCAAGCTCGCGGCCGATGAATTGTAACGATTCACCTGCAGCTTCGCTCTGCTCATTTAGGGTTGACGGTACGAGGTAAACCGCCGTCAGAGGCCAGATCAATTTCAACGCGTCAAACACTGTCCTTGGCGATGGGTTGTTGCGGAAAGATGCTGGGTCGAGATGCCGTTTTACTGCCTCTATGACGAGTTTTGCACTGTCTCGAACCCGGTATACGCAATGCGAGCGCAGCGCCTTGAGCTCTTGCAGGGAGATAGGAGCAGTCGGATGATGAGTTAAAAAGTTTGCGTAGGTCAGAATGACATGGTAGCCTTTTACTCGTGCCGAGTTGAGCATGTTTCGCAAATAGGGGTTGAAGACCTCATCGATAAAATGGTAGTCTGCGTCAAAAGTAGTAAAATGGTCTTCCGCTCTGAAAACGATACCAACTAAGTCGTAGTACTCGAGGGCAGCGGTGCCAAAGTCTCGAGCTCGAATGATATCGAGCATACGCTTTTGAACATGTGCCATCTTGCAGATATAATCGCCGACTTCAACAGCCAATCCTTCACCTGGATGAAGTGTGTTTCTGATGGCAGCAAACCATTCCTGGGATTCAGGAGGGCACTCAATGCTTGTCAGGAGACACCGTACTTGCTGATAACTTGTAAGTTGGGAGTGGATATTCAGATCGAAGTGACATACCACCATGTTGTAAGCAGGCCAGAAACCCATTCGCGATCCTGGCTTTCGCAAAGAAGCCGTACCTCTTTGCTGAAGAATACTGTATAGTCCATTGGTATGGAGATGCCATGGGTTCAGAGGTGATACGCGGTTTATGGAGCCCATGAGAAGCTGTAAAATGTAAGTACAAGAATGGCAGGAAGAAGTCATATTGCTCACTTCATAGTTCGTTAGAATCCATACTGCTGCGAGAACATCATCTCTCATAGCGCCCTCAGGTGTTTTGAGTGCTTCACCAACAGAGCTCAATGTTTTACCAAGGTATGTACCAAGTTCCTTGTCAGTCTGCTCGACAGATCCGTTGTCGATGGCGGTGGGATATCTCAGGTTGGTGATGTATGTGCGGGCAAAGAGATGAGTGGCCCAAAGAAGAGGTCCTTGAGGACCGCTCTTTTTGTATGTGTCATGGAGGAAATCCAAAGTATAGTAGACGTTGAGAAGGATCGGTATGGAATGGGCAGTCCAATGCTCATTAAGGGACTGGGGCATGATGAGAACCCTTCCAGTTCTTGTGTATTCGACAAGGTCGACGATTGTTGGCGAGACAGGGCTGAATTCACGATCAACTTCTTCAATGACTGATGGCGTGCCAAAATCTCCATTTGATGAAGAGGAAGAGGAAGATGAGCCAAAAGACATGACAGACTCCCCACGGGTCTGAGACGGAGCATTTTGCTGAGTCCTCTTCTTCCTCTTCTTGATAGTGGTTGGGTTGGCATTGCGAAAGACGAGCTCCTGTTCATCCCGATATCCCGGACATCCAGTCCCATATTTGATGCATCTTTGACATGATGGTCTGCCGAGATCACACTGTTGATGTCGTCAGCGATTGGGATGTGATGGGCTGATATGCTTGAGGGTCTTTCTTATGACATAACCGCGTAAGCACAGAATAAGTGGCTCAAGGACTGGACTGGACTGTACCGACCTTGACACGTCGTGATCGACAAAGATGGCAATCTTTGCTTGGCTTTCCCGTGTTGGGCATTATTCAAGAAACGACAGGAGGCACGGATAGCGTTATGGGTAACTAGGTATGGCAGAGACATGCAGGCCCCGTTATCGTTGATGGATTGTCAGAGTTGAAACGGGTAATCCTTTCGAAGCTGTCGTCGTCGGAAAGGGATTAGCGGGCCATACAGGGCTGAAGGGTGGATACACAACAGGGAATACGAGCATCACGTGCGGGGAAACTACAGCATTGTCTCTTACAGCCAAGATTACACGAATATAGTAATGCGCTTGAAGGTTTCATGGCGTTTCTAACTTAAAACTGATGTCTCTCATAGAGTTTCCAGTGACTACATAGGTGCAGAAGCAGAGACAGCTCATATTATTATGACCGCAGCGAAACCTCACCTCCAGGACGCAAAATTCGACCACTAAACACATCATACCGAGTGCATCAAGTTCAGCGGCGGACTATGAATCTTCGCCCCACGAGAAGCCTTACAGGTCCACCAGGACTGCCGAAGCGTCGACTAGAGCAAAATGATGTATGTCGCCTGGGAGATGGGATTTCAGGAAGAACTAGCCAAGTTGAAGGTGATAGTAGCCCAAAATCATCGCTCCAACGATGCAGGAGACTCGGTCGGCGAGAAGGGAGAAGCTTTAAACAGTGTGTATATGTTTCCAAGGCCTGGTGAGTATCATGCCCCTTGATGAGACTGCTCTTGTTAACGCTTCAAAGATACCATGGCCAAATATTGCCTTAATCTCATCAAGTACTACAAAGGTAAATGCCGCGAGTTTACCGATCGAGCCCTTACCGGCTCTCCAAGCTGTGTGAGGTCCTCTGCTTGCATTCACGGATGCGGAGAAGCAGGGTACAGGTACGCCCTACTAGAGAAAATGCTCAGTAAAGCTTTTGGCCCAGGTATCATGGGTTTATTATTCCGGTGACCTCATGGCTGAAACTGACGTTCAGTACATCTGAACTAGATTCCGCGCTCCTTAATGTACAGAGCTCAATGAGGGAATACCGGGAGATGTCATCGAACAAGGAATGTAACTGCACTCTAATGAAAGACTTGCTAGAGAGACTTACGAAGCACAGCACAGAATGCTCGAGGGCCTTGACTGACAAGCATTGGAAATATGTCAAGGCACAGACTGCTAAAACACAAAGTAGATACCTAGTCAGATATATTCATAAACACCGAACATTGGGATGAATTTGAGCTTGGGGGGACGGCAAGAGTCTTATTGTTCACTAAAAATATATGTTCAAATCACAAAAGCGTTTGGTGAATGAATATTGTTCCCTGCGAGGCACTGCACTGGCCATTTGTTCTCCGCCTATTGTTCGAATGATTGCCCTCTACTGCCACTGCCACTGCCAACCGGCTGCCACTGGAGGCTTCTTCGGCCACTCGGCGCACACATCAGCCTCATCCATTACATTCTCCTCCTCTTGGTTTCTTTCCTCTTACTTTTCTTCCCCCCACAACAACGATCACACACCTCTCACCAACACACATCTTCCACTTAACCCCTTATCTACAACCAATACCTTTCACGTAACAATACTCACTCGACACAAACCTACATCTATTCCACTAAGATGAATCTCGAACTCCTCAAAAGATTTCGCGGGTCTATCCCAACCCGCAGTGCCTTCATGGACTTTATTAATGATGGCAAGCCTGTACATAACACTTTGGCTAGTAAGCCCTCGAGCCCGGACCTTGAGCCTGCGCGACTACCCATCTCCGAGCCAGAAATCATCGAGAGCGCTTCTACTGGGAAGAGCACCGAATCCGAGATTCGTGAGCCTCAACCTATCCAACCTATGACAGCTGAGGTTGAGATCACCGAGCATGAGACTGAAGTTCGGGACACTTCATTCTTTCACACCGAGGCTTCATCTATCATGTGTGATCCTCAACATGCAACTACGGAGCCTACTATTCCTGAATCTACTATGGCTCCTGCTATCGATGCTGAGTCTGTCACAGACCAGCCTCTTAGTGAGCCCCTAACAACCGAGGACACTATGGACAACCCTACTGCCACCCAACCTGCTCTTCAAGGTGTCACTATCCCTCAGATCTTCGTGACGGAACCTACCACCTGTGAGTCCGGCTTAGCTGAGGCTCGGATTTGTGACTTTGAGTTCTCCGATAGTGACGACGAGTATGAATTTTACGAGAAATTCGATGAGGATGTTGATGAGTTCCGAACCACCTACCTTACCCCTGAGCCTTATATCACCAAGGCCATGGCCGCTCAAGCTGAAAGCATGGAAATCGAGAATGCCGAATCGGAAGTCGCGGCCGCTCAGGTTGAAGGTACTGAAATCGCGAGTGTCGAATTGGAAGTCGCAGGTATTGCCACTGTCCCCGAAACCCAGGCAATTGTTCTCGGCGACGACTCTGTATCCACAGAAACTAGCGAGAGCGTTTCCAGCCAGAATGAAAAGCCTATGATTTCCTTCGACGAGGGCGGAGATCTCTACCTGAAGGTGGGACAAAATCCAGGTCGGATTATGCTCGTCGATTCTCGAGCCCTCAGCCGCGTATCTCCCAGACTCAAGGAGATAATTTCCCTCAACCAGAAAGCCATCAACGATAGTGACTGGACTATCGAGTTGCCGGATGACGATGCCGACCCCTTTGCCCTCCTTCTAAACCTCATTCATACACGTTTCGAGAAAGTGCCTTCAAAAGTATCACTCAAGAAGCTGTATGGCGTCTGCATCCTCACCAAAAAGTACGAAATGACACAGGTCCTGCGACCTGTGGCTGAGCGCTGGTTCAAGGCCGTGGGTACCAGCACTGAAGACTACGGGCTCTTTTTTAAAAAGGCATTCATCGCTTGGGAATTGGGTTTCGCTGAGGAGCTGAGTGACATGGTCGGCCATGTTGTACTCAATTGCTCTTTGGATGCAGACGATCAACTCGTCATCGGAGAGAACAAGGAGAGACTTTCCGACTTTGAAGGTTTCCAACGAGTTCCTATTCTTGGTAAGTCTAAACACGTATCTTCTCTTAAACCTCGCTAACTCCTTCGCAGACTGTATTACAGAACACCGCGAACTCGTACTAGAAACTTGCTGGTATAAGAGCCAGAAGCTTGGCGAACAGGTCCTTTATAGCTCTGTCAAGGGACACATATGCGGTACTAGCCACAGCCGAGAGGAAATGTGTCTGATGCTGGGCAAGATGCTAAGCAAGGCTGGTGAAGAAGGAATACTCGACCTTTTCAGTTTTGGGGGCAGTTTCGACGTATTCCGGACCTCTGATCTGGACTTGAAGACTCTTGAGCACAAGATTAGTCTCGTGGCTGATTATATCGACTTGTGTGGATGGTGCGCTGGAGTAGTAGAGATGGTGGATGAGATTAGACAGCAGCTTCGAAAAGCCGCCGATCCACTCTACTTGAGCCATCTTCGGGCTTTGGGAATCCAAGCCGCCAAGGTCAAAATGATGCCTTGGGTCTCGGATGAAGACGACGACGAATGAGTCGACGGGTCGACGGGTGAACGGGTGGTGTTTGATGTTTCGATTGATGATATCACGAGCCACGTTGTGTTTTTTTTTTTTTTGGCAAGCATCTCCCCTTCATATTAATGTAAGATGAACAAGAGGAGAGCTTAGGTACTACTGGATGTTTATTTTCTGGAAGGAATGATTTCCCTGTGCTGGTACTAGCAAACAGATCCAGTCAAGTATGGGCTGTAGAATGTCAGACAAGGGAAGCTAGATACCAAGTTTGTGTCAGAATGAGCCAAAGTCTCAATAAATAACCCACTAAGAACTTTTTCATTTGCAAATATGTGAAAACAAGACTAACATAATTACAAACTGCCTCTGTAAGGTGGTCATTTCACCAATACCAAACGGTGAATGTCAAAAACCTTGACACTGCTGCTGACACTGCCAACTGCCAATCTCCATCTACGTACTTAGCACCGGTGAAACTGAAAGCCCTAAGTACCCTACTTCTCTGATCTCTTTCTTGTTCTTTTCTCCTTTGCTTCCTCGTCTTCTCCCCTTGAAGTCCTCCACCAGCACGCTCCGAGCAAGCGAGGCTCATCATGTCATCACCTGGTGCCTCGTTGCCCAAGACCATCTCTTTCGATGACAACGGAGATCTCTGGCTGACTGTCGGCTCTGGTTCATCTTCTATAATTCTCCATGTTGACTCTCACGCTCTCTGTCGAGCTTCCAAAGTCTTCCGCGCCATGCTAAGGGGCCGCTTCAGCGACTCGAAACCCACCAACGACCTGCATCGCTGGGAAGTAAAGCTTCCTGAGGACAATCCAGAAGCCTTTGTTGTCCTCATGGACATCGTCCATGCAAACTTCGATCATGCACCTCTCGACCTAAAGCCTCAAGAGCTCTACAACATCTGCGTCTTGACCAACAAATACGACATGACCAAGACGCTGCGACCTATGGCTACAGCGTGGTATCAAAGGCTCAAGAGCATGTGTTAGAGCAGTAAGAAGATGCAGGCATACAGTAAGAATTTGTTCGTGGCTTGGGAGCTCGGATGCCAGGGCGCAGTGGAGGAAATGCTTCAGGATATCACCGAAAAATGCCACATCGACGCGGATGGCAACTTGGTGGTTGATAGACATACTCGACTGGACGACATGGAAACTTTTAGACTGCTTCCTTTGATCGGTAAGTTAAGCCCACTTTCGATTAAGCCACGATTATCTGATCGTAAGTCTGTCAGATCCTATCGCTCAACACCGCGTCAAGATGCTGGAAGTCTTTCATGCTGAAGGCAAGGAGATAGCAATCAAGATTCTCGCCAAACGCCCGCTCTGTTGGCATACCGGCCCTTGCTCCGCTGTAAATCTTGCAGACGGCATCCCCGACAAGTTTATCCAAGCAACACAAGACCTCGGGATCGACTCCTTTTTCATGCCCTCGTTGAACGCCGACCAACTTGGATATCGAGGCAGCGTGTCAAGATTGCATCACCTGTTCAAAGAAGCCGAAAAGCTTGTATTCGGAGAAAATCACCCTCACTACTGGTGCACAAGTTTCCAACGGGCCCCATTTTCAGGTATCCTCGCAGCGTGCTACCAACGACTGGACTTGATACTGTCTAGCCGCCATATGGATATGCTCATGGACCAAGCCTGCAAGACTGAGATGACGGCTGACATGGGCAGTGAAGTGAAGACTCTTCTGGAAGATGATGATAGTGGAGATGATGCGGGCGTTGGCTTTCGAAGCCGCTCGGTTGATACTCGATATTAATCAACCCCAAGTGTTGGCTCCTCACGTAGCAAATCGTACTCATTTCCTTCAGGATTGTTCCGAGGCCAATCACAGAGAAAACTGCAAGAGCGAGAAGGAAAACATTAGGGAAAGTAGCATAGGGAGTTTGCTCATCAATGCACTGAGTATTAGTGCTATGTTCTCTTAGAATCATATCTTTCTGAAATGCAGGAAGAAATTTCTCGTCCCCTCCATAAACCCTGTGTACTGTGTCCTATCGCCATTGAGGCCTTTCATAAATTTCCTGATTAGGCCATCCCGCTCGCTCTCACTGGCCAGCTCCCATCACCCCGCTTTCGTTCGGTCTTAGTAACTCGGGAAGAGTGAATTAAAACGAGGACAATACCACACGAATATTGTGTCTTTTCGTTAGTAATTCTACTATTGGCCAGTTCGTAAGCCCTGATTCTGTCTTCCTCCTTTATAAGCCCCTTTAAAGCCTCTCTGTCTCCTCTCTCGTCTTTTCACTTCTTCAACACCAGCACCATGGCTCACTACGCCCAACGCAAAGACATTCTTCCCCTCACCGGCGGCTGCGCTTGCGGTCTTATACGCTACCAGCTTTCTCTTCACCCCCTTATAGTTCATTGTTGCTACTGTACTACCTGTCAGCGTCAGACAGGCTCTATTTGCGCCCTCAATGCTGTCATAGAGTCCACCGCCCTGACTCTCCTCCCTTCAGCACCGCCCACTATCGTTGGTTCTTCTTCCAACCCGGACTCTACCCCCGCTGCTGTTCAGCCCGCCTTTGCACGTCTTACATCCGCTGAGTCTGCTACACGTGAGCCTCGGCCCAAGGTCGAACCCTTGTCTGTGTGTCTTCCTACAGCATCTAGCGTTGGACAGACACTTGTCGGATGTCCTATGTGCCACACTGGTCTGTGGAATTACTACGCGGATGCTGGACCTCATCTGTCATATGTTCGTGTCGGGACCTTGGACAGGCCCTGGGAGATTCAGCCTGACGCCCACATTTACACGCAGAATCGCCAGAGTTGGGTAACTGTTAACGATGGGAAGCCATCCTTTGAGGGTTATTATACCAAGCGTGAGGACCACCTGAGAGAGGATGCCCTGAAGAGGTATGAGGCGCTCAAGCCGAAGATCGCTGAGATGAAGGCAGAGCTAAGGGTCGGCTGGGAGTGAGTTACGAATGATAGTATAGTAAGGGTGAAAGAATAGCACAATGTAAATCGCGAATTGTTACAAGTATCGTTCGTAGCTGCGCTCGAAGGCACTCAATGTCATTAAAGCCATTATCATTATAATGCTCCAAAGCAGAAGACACGGCTTCTGTATTCAACCTCAGCCCCAACCAATTTGATATATACACACGAGATCACACTCAGTGGCCCATCGCTCCGAACCTGTGCTGTAGCCACGCTGGCAATGGGCTTTCAATTGCATGCAGTCCTACTCCATCCGTGTTCACCCATCCCCTTGACCAAGAAAGACCTGTCCCAACGTGTGCCGCCTGTGGCAGACTGATATATGATATATGTAACAAAAAGAAGCAGAACAGACCAGTTGTTGCTCGAAAACGCCTTAAAATTCAATGTCAAGTACAAGTATCGTTGAAAATCTCGAACAAATGAGAAGATCACTCAGAGCGACTCGAATTCATACCAGGTCCCATATCCCATATCTAAGCCCCTGGGACCGGTTGTATGCAAAGAAGCCGTGAAATCACCTCAGTGATGTATGTTTGTGCGAAAACAGATATGACCATGCTCACTGTGAATGCATGTAATAAGGCAAGGGAATCATAAGTGCGAAAGAACGTATTGCACAATGTGCAGAGTACTTGGAAAAATGAACATGTCTCAGGTGTCATAGCTTCTAGCCGCCAACCTTGCGAAAGCCCTCCACTCCAAGAATAGGTATCTCAACGTCGCCAAGGTTTTCCATTCCCTCGTCACGACGACGTTCAACGAAATTGTTGCACTCAAAAACAACTTGCGCCCACTCGGCGAGTGAGCGTCCAGCATAGACGGAATTCTTAACGTACAGGCCAGTTGGCTTGATAGGATCCACCACAGCATCGGTGAAAGAGCCCATGTTTGAGTTGGGAGACGGTGACGGTGATGGAGACGGTGACGGTGAAGGAGAGGGGCTAGCCCTGATGCTGGAAGTTCGAGGGGATTCGTCACTCAGACTCGGAAGCGTAACCTCAAGCTTCCAACTTGGAGAACCATTTTGCTCATCAGTTGGGCTCAACGAATTCGCGTTCCTAGCATTGTCGATGAGTCCTTGCTGGGGGCTGCCAGAAAACTTGCGTGTTGGCGCTGCATATCCCGCTGGCACAGTAAAGCCGTTGACTCGTAGAGGTCCACTGATACGAGTCTGTGCTGGGGCGGGAAGTCGAGGGCGAGTCAGGAAACGATCTCGAAGAGGTGCTGCCTGTTGTTGCCAAGCAAGAATAAACTTGAAAACATATTTTGGCTCCTCGTAAGTTGGCTGAGAATACAAGGAGTCATCTTCAGATGGACGGCCCTTGTTATGATTAACATTAGAGTTCCTATTCGTTTGAGCGGCACTAGAAGATCGAGATTCTGCTGTCTCACGGCGGACACTCTGGAAATCATCGTCCCAGCCAGCACCTGCTCCCGCATTACCGCCAAGAGAAAGGACTTTTCCTAATAGTGACCATCGTTTTCTTCCATCATTCCTCAACGGGTCAGGAGGCAGGCCATTCAGAACGCTCGTCTCGCTGTTAGGAAGTTTAGCGAAGGAATCGAAGCTCCCCATGTATAGTCCAGGCTGAGGAACATTAATCTCTTGGCGAATGATCATGAACCGTTTGCCGGGTGCAGGGTTCACTGGAGCAGTTGAAGGGGGGATTCGCTGTTCTTGTTCGGCAGTATGCTTGATGTGCAGATAGTGAGCCCACGTCGTCTGAAGTCGCTCAGCTACAAGAGCGAAGATTTGACTATTCTGAGTTAGCAAGCATCACAAAAACAAATCGAGGGGGCCTTACCCATCAACTTCATCCAGCGTTCCCGTATCTCGGCACATTCGCCAGCACAGCAAACGCTGGTAGTAAGCCCGAACCATTGGGCACCAATGGTTGAAAAACTCATTAAAAGTCTCCTCGGTAAGCAGCCAGTCCTTGCAGACAGCCAATTTGCGCACGGGATCCTTCGAAATGGCATCCCAGATGGAGTAGACTAAGGCTAACATTCGAATCTCAGACATGGTGTTGAAAGAGCTCATGACTTTCTGGCAAACATCAAACCAAAATGCCCAGTCAAGATAGCTATTCGAGCAGTCGGGATCCTCAAACTCGCTATAGAGCACGAGAACTTCCTCCAAGAAGTCGCACAGGGTGAAACAAGCAGGATGGCTGTATTTCGACACCTTGCGGGTCGCTGCCTTCATCATGGTTGCAAAGGTTTCCGCAAATGTGTGACGAGCACCAGCGATCTCAGTTGATTCATCCGAAAGGAAGTCTTTCAACAGCATGATGCATCGGTTCTCGGACATGCCTCTCATAACATTACTGACAGGGAGTGGCAGAGCCATTGCAGCATCCGCACCTGACATAGAGTCCATTGCAGCAGGATTAAAGCCGCCATCCATTGGAGATTGACGGTGAATCGTTGTATCCAAAACGTAAAGAAGCTGAGCTTGAACAAGAGCAAATGCAGGAGACCTAGCCTTTTCGAGCAGGGGCAGTCCAGGGGGCATGAATTGCTCAGAGAGGATATGAAAATATTTGCAGAAGATGAAGAATACATCTGTGTCTCGGCCTTTCCAGCGAGCTGCCCAGGGACCTGTCCAGGGGATTCTAGACACCAGCATAGGCAATCTGGGAACCTTCTTAAGGCTATCCCACATCCCCTTTGGCGATGTCCAGGCAAATACGCCAATAGTTGGAGGGAACAGAGCTGCAATATCGTCGCTTTCGCCTTTGTTCTTTCTTGGGAGGCCAAGCTCATCAGCTACTCGTCGAATGAGTTCAGGAGAAAGTCCCCAGAGTCTGATCAGAATATCTGCAACGCCAGGCGCGAAGAAAAATGCGTAGGCGCAAGCCTTTCCGGCAAAGTTAACCAGGCTGACGGGGACGTGACGGAGCGAAAGCTTTTCAACTACAAAACCCATTTGTTTGACCAAATTGGAAACAAACATGGTCCTGACATTGTGTTCTGCTGACTCTTCTAGGAAAGCCGCTTGGCTCGATGTGACAGAAGAGGTGGAAGAGTTGGTCAGAGATCGCGCTCGAACGCGCTCAGCCGGAGATCGGTTGATAAGTGGTAGGAAGTACGATGTAGCTTGTCGCCATTCATGTCGCGTCATGAGAAGTGTCGCGGCATCGAAAAGGACCGGGCGATCAACACCAGGGACAGGCTGGGGCGCCTGACCATCCAGCATTTCCAAGATTGCAATCCACCACTTGTTCAAAATTGTCGCCCTTCGATCGACATCTTCGGGGTAAAGCTTCTTGGTGGACTCATGATTCATCGTGTTTCGCAGGAATGGGAGAAGCTGTGTTTGAACCTGCGACATTCGCTGGGCTGTGCTCTTGGCAAGGAATCCTTTGAAATCCACGTCAATGGCCTTGAAAGACGACCACAAGACATCTCTTTGTTGAGGGGGCATCTCCATGGACGATTCATCCGTCACAGTTGTAGCGGAGGTTGTGTCGCAGGTGGAAGATTGCGGCGTACGTTCCTCTGCAGCGATTATCGATGCTGGTGCTGCAAGGCTTGTGGCCGAAGAAGCGCAGCTGTTGTCGGAGTCGGTGCTGGTATTGAGCTTTGACAGGCCCGCTTGTTTCGATTTGAGCTTTGAGAAGTAACCGCTCGCTCGGGAAAAGGCTTTAGGGCCGGCAGACTTGAGTGAATCAGTCGACTTGTTCTTGTCTGCCTGCTCGACGGTCAGACCAGGGCGTTTACGAGTCTTTGTAAGCTTGACTGATGTTGTACTCTCGGATCGATTACGCCCAGATGACTCTTCGTTTTCCTTGGCAGGGTCTGCATTCTTCATGGGCGACGGGGAGCGAGAAGGTCTCCATGACCGTTTGGCGAAGTTTGCGAAAGATCCTGATTTTGTCATCGTTCTCTGTAGGGGTTTCAAGTCTCCAATCGATCCATCGCCAAATTTCTTGTCGCCAGCAGAAGTCGTCGGTCGAGGAGGTTCTTCGTGAAGATCTGTCGTGCTCTTGGAGCTTGATAGCCAACCGCGGGTGTCTATGAGCGAGCTTGTTCTTTTTCGGGCATGTCTGATGCGTGAGGGCTCCTCTGGAACCTCTTTCGTTTCAACGATTGAAGGGGTTGACACCGGTGCCGTCTTGCCAGCCTGTTCCCCTCCTAGAAAAACAGTTGTATCAAGGTTGAATTCGACATTAAACGTGGGAAGATCGAAACTTGATATCGATTGAAGGTCGGAAACGCTCTGGCGGTGCGGTGATGGGGTTGGGGAGGATTTATCGAGGGATGATAGCGAGAGAAGTTCTAGATCGGGGCTAGAGTGAGAACGCGGGAAGGAAGACGTCGTTTCCACGGCCGGAGCCATGATCATAGTTGAGCCTCCCATCTCATGACAAAACGATAGAAAAATCAGGCAGCTCTCAACGAGAGAAGCGTCCCGCAGGCTGATGCTCCTCTTGTTGGAAACCCGACCGTATTAAAAAAATCAAAAGCAGATAATTCTGATCTCAAATCACCATTATTCGATGCTACTCTGTCCGGCAGAGGAATGAGGGTTATAGGAGCAAAGGTCTGTGGTTGCAATGCGGAGGAGAATGTTCGAGGTGGTTTGAAAGAAAGAAAGACGAGGCTTTCTCAGGGTTTCCATAGGCAAACTGCGAAGTGAACTGACCGGCCTCGCCTGTGCTCGTACCTACTGTACCATAGAGTACCTGGGCGTCTGCTAGCGCGCTGCAACCTGCAACCTCCACACCACAGGATTGATTGATGGATCGCCACGGGCTAGCCGGGGGGGAGCGGCAAGACGGAGGTGGTAGGTGGTGATTGACAGGGTGCCCCCCTAGAGAAAAGACTTGTAGAGTCCGAAGTCTCCGTGCGGTTGGCCTTGTACCAGGCTGTACCGTGGAAAATGAGGCTATGCCTAGAGGGGCGACGCGCTGTTGTCAGAACGGGGCCGCGCACGGAATAAGAGATGAAATATTTTGTTGGTTTTTTCCCTCTCTTCTATTCTGGCGAGTAAATCGACAAGGGGCGTATAATTGAGGAAACAGGCTAGAGTTTTGGGATGTGTACTCATTGAGTTTGTGGAATGAGTGGAGGTGGCTCCACTGCAACACATGGAGCATTCGCTGCAGCTTCAGCAGATGAACTATTTGAAGAATTAACGAGCATCCAATTTCGATCAACGTTCGCGAAATGAACAAAACGTCATTGATAAGACAATGGGGTCAGAGCACTTTCTTCTTTTGTTCCTTGTGTCATTGAATTCCAATCTTTCGGGAAACAACCTAGAACATTGAATCACATCACACAAAACAATCCCAGTGAAACGTCCGACAACAGTGCGCCCGCTATCATGGGTTGTCAAAGGCGCAAGTTTAATAAGCGTATCCAGGACTATTGAAAGAAGACTCGCGATAGAATCATGGCACACACCCTGCAGGAGAGCTAGTGCGCTGTCTTCATGTCGAGGAGATACGATTCGTTACTCTGCCACACTCTGCCTCTATACCAGGCCAGGGGCTCAAAGCCTGGCGGTATACAGAGCTGAAGAGGCACAGATGGGCAGACGGAACCGAATGCAACCCCCAAATATCATGTAGGCATTGACAACGAAGCAATGAGATGCAGTGAGATGCACTATGTAACTCATATCAACATACCTCGATCATCATGATCCAAGTTTATTCTGATCTGTGCCATGTCTTCGGCCTCACTGATATCCATTACCTAGCTATAACATGGCTATTTATCCCCACGAGGAACCTCCCGATGGCGGTGGAGGAGGCGCAGAACAGGTGAGATTGGCTTTATATGGCTTGTGTCTTATTACAAATTGATGACACGCCTCGAAATGATCGTCTGTATCTCGCTTTCACTGGCGAGTGGCTTGTTTCTACGAGAAGCATTACAGGATTCTGTATTGTCATCCTCGAGTCTCTGAAACGGGTGTTTCGAGTACCTGTTCTTCCAAGTTTTTCAGTGACATGCTGTCAAGCTTTACTCACTATAGGGGATAGATCAAGATCGACGATTCAAAGTAATATAACCCCCTAACTCATAGTGTTGCCGCCAGCTGCGCGAAATGGGAAATAGCCTGGGCTTGCCAGATGAGATCATGAATTTGTCAGTCAACCGCTGTCGGGCTGAGGTTTTAGTGTGGATATGAATGAGCCTGGGGCCATGACAACCGACAGTGGGTGGAGCTACACCGTTGAGGCTGACTCTTGTGGTCTTACAAGGAGGCAGTGGCTGAGATGGAGAGCAACGGGCTTCAAGTCTGGGGTTGAGATCTGCCGCTTCCTACCGAAGGAAACGTACTGATAGCTAAGGTATGTAGATAATCTTATATTGATACCTTTATCCGTGATTTCTATCCAAGACATCACATCGTTGAACTTGACATGTGCAAAGTTAAGCAAAGCTAAAAAGTACTCAGAAGTGGAATCTCTGGACATGTCCGAGATTGCGGACCGACCGCAACACCACACGGACAACTCTCCTAATAAACTAAGAATTGATAAGTAAAGAAACCATCCATAAAGGGCGGATCGGAACAGACTTCTAAATCGTATAGACAATGGAGAACTCACTTCGGTATTAGCTGGGTCTGAACTGAAAACTACAGCCGCCCTAAAGTCGGTAACAAAACCATCACTGGCCCATCGTCATCCCGTACCCGCCGGCCACAAAATAGACCTCTAGACGCTTCTTATATGACCAGTCTAGGGAAGCCATTTTACCGGTCGTTGAGCATTCCCGACTTGTTTACATGTTGAGTAACTTTATCATTGGTTGGCACATCACCAAGTACATACAAGCTGATAAGATACGGATTTCGGAATGCTCATACTCCGAGAAAGGGGTCCATTTGTCTGTCCAAGGACATTTTACCATAGGAGAGCTCATTTCTCACTGGCCCCCACCCAAAGTACCTCAATGTATTCATTGCCAATAAGGTATAACGTGTTGATGACGTTTCTTATGTTATTCAGGTGTCTTACCTGATCGAGCTTAGAGTCTATATGCTAAATGCTCAACGACCGCGCCAAATACTGATCCGGCACATAGTAATTTCACAGCTGAGAACAGCGCCGTTGGGGGGTTATTCCACTAAAATATTTGTCTTCGAGCCTTGTCTTAAGACTTACTGTCAGGGGAATTTGTCTCTAGCTCGGCCATGATCGCTAGCCCAGCATTGAATATGTCAACACAGAGGGTTGAAGGTCAACTTTTAACATTCGGTATGCAGTGATAATGATGAAATTACACTTTGTGTAACCGCACGTACTGAGCCCATTGGTCTACTCTTCCGCTGAAAGCATCTGGGTATATCAATGTGGCGGTGACGAGAGACTTCTCCATGTTATTATCCCCAGTTTATTCCTGTGCTTCCTGTGCGTCCTGTGCTTCCTGCGACTCGGCTGCGGCTGTGGCTGCAAAGCACATGTAGCTGGCTACTACTGCAGATCACAGAATCACAACATCGTAGCAATAACCCTCAATTCGATTTCCCTTGTATGCATCATGCTGTTCAACTCCGGAATACGGCTGAGGCCCCCTTGGTAGCCCCATTCTCTCAGCTGGATCTGGCTATGTCCTTGCTGGGTAATTGATCCGAGGAGATGACCAACTACTGCCTGCAAGCCAGACGCACATGAGAATCACAAATGCGCTTCTGAGAATCCCTGGTCGGCTGAATCCGAGGGAAACAGAGTTCCAACTCGATGGGCCTGTGGGCACCGACCACGCTGTGCGTTGGTCCTTCACAACATGGACAACCCCTAATGTGGCGTCGTCTTTTCTTCCACCGCATGTTCCTTCTGATACCAAGACCACAAGTGGGAGGTGATGTGGATTTCTCGTAAAGTTCATGGCCGCCCAACAAGGCTTGTCTGACTTGGCTCGAGTATCACCAAATACGCGACCTCGAGAATTGACCCCGCTGCCGCTCTATCCTTAAAATAACAGAAGCGACTTGGCAAATTAAGGGTTCGTGGTCTCGGACTTGGCAGTTTTGCTCTCGCTTTGCATGCTCATAAAGCCAACTCGGCGGGTCACGATCCAGGCTATGCGAGGGGGCATTTGGTGACCAAACAATACGACTGACCTCACGTACAAATTTTTTAACCTGTCTGATTCGTTTAGAAAGCTTCAGTTGTTGAGAGTCAGATGTGCAATGTAGTGGCATGTACCCCTATCTTCATGCACCAGTGTCCGTGGGATTACAAGAGCAGAGGTGTTTGGTAATAGTAGGGGAATATCAATCTTGGCACGATAAAATTTCCTTCAGCAAGGCGAGCATTGAAGAGCTCATTTGCTGTACACACTAATGCCGTTCGCAGTTTGACTGCGCTTCACTGTTTCACCAGTACTAACCTTGGTAGAGTCCTAGACACTCGTATTTGAGATCTCGTGCTATCACGACGTCGAGTTGAACTACATGCGAGCCGCGGTTTGCATTCTTCGTGTTCGAACTCTCCGACGAGCATGATGCTGTGATCTAGAGATGATATAGGATGGATCGTAATGATCCTGTGGTGCAGCTCGTTGGTAGCCGGTAACTCGGCGTTCTTCGAGAACAATGCACTGAAAGTTATTGAAAGGTTGAAATTTTTCAACGAGAATTTGAAGTTGATAAGATGGCTGGCTGATTATGTAATTTTTAGTGTGGGGTTTGACATGGCTGCGATTGGTAGCCTCCACTCTAACTAAGATGGTATAGAAGTAAGCCATCTCAGTCTTGAAGAACAAGCAACCTGCAATTCGAATATTGTGTTTCTTGATAAGCTACCAATAAACCCTGGTACATATGTTGGCTTGACACTTTTATACTTGAAGTATTTTTCTGTACCTTAGACAGTTATTCATCCTACCGCATTGTGTTTGCCATAAAAGAATGGGCTTTGGCACGAACGAGTCTGATGCTCAAGTTCCACTCACATTAAAAGAGGCATCAAGACGCCAAACGTGAAAAGTGGACGGTTTAGATACCCATCTCGTTGACAATCGATAAATATATAACAGAACACCAATGCAACTAGGTAATGATGTGAACACATCTGCCTCGATTTATCTTCCTTAGATATTGATAAGATTGTAACACATGATAAAACGTCGAAACCGCTAGCAGATACACGATTCCAGGGTAGCCAAAAACACACTTAACAATGACCGTGACGTCACCTACTATCATGCTTAATTCCTAGCTTAAATACCCAAGGTAGACATACAGACAAGGTTGGATGAAATCGATGATATGGCAACGAAAGGAGGAATGAAGCCAATAGTTCCAGCAATAGGTTCAAGGTATCAATCCATACCGGCGGATAATGCATGTAATAAAAAAAATACATGATCCAATGAACCGCTCCGAATATCTCTGTGGGCTTAAGATTGGATGGCGTTGTCGTGTGGGTTGTTTGGGTTTCATGTCCCCTCCAAGTGGGCAGCTCGTTGAAGCTCGCCCATTGCCAAGTGATTCGTATTGGATCGTTCGTAAAAGACGGGAATTTGAAGCACATGATAATGGTCGATTCTTACCCACCGAGTCCTCGGAATTCGCAAGGCAAGATGCAGGAAGACTTGCACAGGAATCATTACCCCGTCAACCATTGCTGATTGCTTATCTGGAAGGGTTCACACCCTGGCCTACTAATCTACCTAGAGAACAACCACCACCTCAAAGCCCAAATAGCTTGGTTTTGAGATGGTGTCTTGGTTTTCCCATGGAAGATCCAAGGGATCATGTCCACTATTGCCGATGGACCAATAAGGGACATGATTACTTCCTTGGCGCCATCTCATCCCATCCAATTCCCTGATCTCAGTTTCGGTATAATTTAGCTTGTGCCTCGAATGGAGCTCCCTCAAATTGTTGTTGCTGGGAAGCAGGAAAATGGACCGATGCTTGTGTCCCGACCAGCTGATGAAGGAGCCAAAGCGACGTTGGCTTAATATCACAAGGTACACCTTCTCTATTGCTCGGTGGAAAGGTACTGCCACTTTGATAAAGTAGTGTAAAGTAGGGGCAGTCGCAACTACCCGTGACCCCTGCACCCAACAGGATATGGTCTGGCTGCACCTGCGTCATCATCTTGTTGTCTTACCTTTCCTTTTAGATTGGCCTCGTCTCCCGTCAGTCTAATTTTCGAGTTTTTGTCACAGACATCGTCGAATCTCTTCTGTCGTTCTCATATCGAGGTCTTTCTGGACTTAACAGATGACAATCAAGTCTTGCGCATTCAATTCGCTCGTTGTCCATTGTCGCGTTCAGCGATAAACCGCGTCGTCAATTTGTCGATCGCATATTGCGACAACTAATATTGTGCCACAACGAAACCCGGAGGCCTCCATATCTACCTACATAGGTAGGAACCAGAGGACCAGCGCTCGACTCCAAACTACAATTATACCACAAAAATGTCGGAGCCAGTAGCTAGGCCTACGACCACCGAGTCGCAACGAAATCCTTATTCGTCGGCCAGTCGTTGGCGACACCAGGAATCGTCTGCTTATGCTGCACACGCTTCGCAGCTCACTGGCGATGGCGCACCACGAGACCCCCACCAAACGACCGGTAACGCGGGCGAGCTTGCAGACTTCCTAAACCAGTCCCGCATGGAACCAGAAGACGACAATCGCGATACAGGAAAGTACAGACCTGTTACCGCCACCGCTGGTGATATCAATGGAAATATTGTAGGTGACAATGTAGGCCAGAGCCATGCTGGTCAAGGCGCCCGTGGAGAAAACGCCCCTGATGGGAAGACGATTGTCTGCGGTCCTCTACTGAACTACCGCCGTATGAACGAGGGACGCTGGTACGGGAGCGTTCTCATTGTTGTGGAAGGTGGCGGCAAAATTCCCTTGCACCAGCCCTACTTGACCCTGAAGCAAGCTGTTCAACCCCAAGAGGGTGGCTTCGCAAGCCAGGACCTGACAAATGGAGCGCAAGAGGAGGTGCGTGTTGACGGAAACTGTCTTTACTCGGATCCGCGCAACACCTTCTGGGCTTTCGATATCAGTGTCCCAATCCAAGCTACAGAAGCCAGCTACGAATACGCTTTGCCCGAACTACGCTTCTCGACCGAGCACAAGCCCCGAGTAAACAGGTTTTTCGTACCTGCGAAGACCGAGTCCATGCGTATCATGTTCCACTCGTGCAACGGTTTCAGTGTTGGAACCGACGAAGAGGCTTGGAGCGGACCGGCGCTGTGGAACGACGTGGCACGAAAGCACCGCGAGATCCCTTTCCATGTCATGGTTGGCGGTGGTGACCAGATCTACAACGATGGCATTAGAGTTGATGGCCCGCTCCGCCCGTGGACTGACATAAGCAATCCCAAGAAGCGCAGAGACTACCCGTTCCCAGAGACAATGCGAGCAGAATGCGACGACTACTACCTCAAAAACTACATTCGCTGGTACAACACTGACCCCTTTGCTGGAGTCAATGGGCAGATTCCACAGATCAATATCTGGGATGACCACGACGTGAGTTTCGGAAACGGCTCTGGCTCTATTATCGCCCCTGCTAACAGGTCATAGATTATCGACGGATTTGGTTCATATGTCGATAACTTCATGCAGTGTGATGTATTCCGTGGTATCGGCGGTACTGCTCACAAATATTACATGCTCTTCCAGCATCATATGCCACCTCCTCCATCAACTTATACTTCTGGTACGAACACTTTCTTCATGTTAGAATCACCCATATTGACATTTTGTAGACCATGCCGCTCTCGAGAAGGCGAGTCAAGGGCCCGATCCTAATCAACTGATGGACACCTATGTGGCACCTGTGATTGAGTCGCCTGAGTATATCGTCGGTGACCACCCCGGCCCATACGTTGCTGAGCGCTCGCTCAACATCTATACACGCCTTGGCGCCCGCATTGCTTTGCTGGGCATTGACGCTCGGGTAGAGGTTCGTGCAATGTGGAATCTGTCTCTGCGAAACTCAATGCTAATGAATTGTACAGCGCACTCGCCATCAAGTCAACTATCCCGAGACATACAAAAAGGTCTTCCAAAGACTTCGTTCGGAGCTTGAAGCAGCAGCCGCGGCAGGAGAGCCAATTACACACTTAATTCTCCTTCTCGGAATCCCAATCGCCTATCCCGTGAGTAAATAGACCCAAAAGGTCGGGATGAAAGAAACTAAATAATGTGATGTAGCGCCTGACTTGGCTCGAAAACATCTTCCGCAGTCCTGTTATGGGTCCTATCAAGATCCTTAACAAACGATTCGGACTCGGTGGAAGTCTGTTCAACCAGTTCGACGGTAGTATCGATCTTCTGGATGATCTAGATGACCACTACACTGCTAGGACACACAAGAAGGAAAGACGAGAACTGATGGTTGAACTTCAAAAGGTCTCTGCCGAGTTCAATATACGTGTGACAATCCTTGGAGGTGACGTTCACCTGGCTGCTCTGGGCCGTTTCTACTCCAACCCAAGTCTGAAGATTCCCGTTGAAGAGGATCACCGCTACATGGTCAACGTTATCTCGTCAGCCATTGTCAACAAGCCACCTCCCACGGCTGTAGCAAACCTCCTGGCTAGGAGGAACAAGATCCATCATTTGAATGCTAAGACGGATGAGACCCTGCTGGATCTGTTCAATAAGGACCCGGGCGACTCAAACAAGACAGCCAACCACAACAACTGCACAATGCCGAGCCGCAACTTTGCAACCATTACCGAAAACTCGCCCAACAATCCCGAGGTCCCCAATGGCAGCGTTAACGAGAACGGAACAGAGGCATCAGAGCAGAACTTCTTGGGTAATGACGGTCATAAGGTACTTCACAGGGGAGAGGTTCAGGCTGGAACAACACATAAGGCAGCATCACGACAGACCCATGGCAGGTCCAACGACGGAACACTTGACGTATGCATTAACGTGGAGATCGACCAGCATGACAAGGAGGGACGAACAGAGATGTACGGCTTGACGGTACCATTGCTCAACTACCAGCAGCGAGACGAGCCCATGACGCCTAGAGAGTCGGTCGCATCAGGCAGCCAGCATTAGGAGGACTTGAAGACTGATCAATGGGGAGAGAGTCGTCAAACAAAACGAAAAACCGTCAGAGTTCGGGCCGGTGTTACCGGCTTGCGAAGAGCAGTTACGGGGTGGGTCCGACGATTATGGGGCCGGGCCGGAGGAGGCGGCTTGCGAAGGCGCAACGGAAGAGGACTAAAGTGAGGGAGTACCTGGGGAGGCATGAGAGGTACCCAGCCCATGACTGTCTGTCGACCAGTAAGATAGGAGCTATTCCCATGGGGTAGCTTTCATTTGTTTATACCCGTTCAAGGCAATTGCCTGACATAAAAATGCACATGAAGTCAAGTTGTTGGGAGAACAGTAGGCTGTGCGGATCTCGGAAGAGAGGTGTCTTACTAGAGCATCATTGAAATATCGAGGCTAGCGAGGTGACTATAGTCATATTTTTCTGTTATGCCTAATTCAATGTATTTCAGTGTCACATCACGTCTATCCGTCTTGGACCGTATCAGTCTGTCATCAAAAGCAAGTCTTGCGTAGTAGATAAGGAATTTTTCTTCCCCAGGCTTCCCAAGTCAAAAGAGGCAAAGTCGTCGATTGTCAGAACCGCTATCTGTGCCAGTTCGAGATAGCACATGACCATTAAAGTCCCCCACGTTCGGAAAAGTGCGGCCATAATTTATCAGGTACGCCAGTGGGCTAGTCTAGAGCTCTCATCCTGGCTTAGAACTGGGGAGAAGGGGATTAAATGTTGGCATATGAAGGAATGTACGAATGGAAAAAGAAAGGAGTATTTATAGCTCGAGCGCTCTCTACAGCACAGACCATATCGTCAACTTTGAAACACTTCCTCATCTGTCTCGCTATCTTGAATATCAGCAAAGATTTCGATATGTGCTTCTAGAATACAGTAAAAAAAAGAGACTACCACTTTTAGTGGTACGGTGCGGCTCTTCGCGGGCACCCAAAGATAACATGCCAGGCCCCATCTGCCGAGATCGGCCCCAGCATCAGAGAGCCATTGACCTATCAGATTCTATTCCCGGGCTTACCGTAGCTGGGGAAGACAGGCGACGTCATGTGCCATGTCCCCACGCATTCACTTTTTAGGCCGTGATAAGCCGCGACCATAGCAAAGATTAGCTGCTGTCGGCGTGTGTAGCTTGGTGAGGAGAACAGCTTAGCTCGCGTGGCAACGGCAGTGCAGTATTTTTTGTCTGGGGCGAGGAGGAATTGCTACGCGAGATCTGGGTCTTGAGTCGTGATAACTGTTCCAAAATCGGAATTTCTGTTAGTCAGGATCGTTGTCGTTGGTTGTCGTGCCAGGAAGTTATCTTCTACTTCTTCTCCCCATCTTCTGCTTCTTCCCCTCTCCTTCTTTTCTTTCTCTTCATCTTCCATCTTCGATCGTCGTCGAACAAGAGTCTTTTGTTACTGTGTTTTGCCTTCGTGATACCCCTCCCTCCATTTCGACGACTCCCGATAACGAAGAACATTCACATCATATCACATCACATCACAATGTCTTCTATGATGTTCCTCAACAGGGCTGGTGCCCGAGGTATCCGCAGCGCTGCTCGAACTCAGCAGATGCGAACCGCTGCGACTCTGGCTACCTTCAAGACCCCCAAGGTCTTCAACGAGCCCAACCACCACTACGTCAAGGGTAGCGAGCAGCGCGAGGGTCTGACTGCTGCTATTGAGAAGCTCCAGAAGAACCTGCCCATTGAGGTTCCCGTTGTGGTTGGTGGCAAGCAGGTAAGTTTGAATAAGTTAAGGCCATCGTAAGAGCCATGTCTAACAAGACTTTCATAGATCAAGGCTTCCGCCCTCTCCAAGCAGCAGAACCCTGCCGACCATGCCACTACTGTTGCCTCTTACCACACTGCTACCACCGCTGATGTCTCAGCTGCCATCGACGCTGCTCTTGCTGCCAAGCCTGCCTGGGAGGCCCTCCCTTTCGCTGACCGAGCTGCCGTCTTCCTCAAGGCCGCCGACCTCATCTCCACCAAGTACCGCTACGATATCATGGCCGCTACTATGCTCGGCCAGGGCAAGAACGCTTGGCAGGCCGAGATCGACGCCGCTGCTGAGCTGGCTGATTTCCTCCGCTTCAACGTTCACTACGCTGAGCAGCTCTACAACATCCAGCCTGAGCACAACTCTCCCGGCGTCTGGAACCGTCTCGAGTACCGTGCCCTCGAGGGTTTCGTATACGCTGTCAGCCCCTTCAACTTCACTGCCATCGCCGGCAATCTGCCTGGTGCTCCTGCTCTTCTCGGAAACGTCGTTGTCTGGAAGCCCAGTGACTTTGCCATTGCCTCCAACTGGCTCGTCTATCAGATCTTGATTGAGGCTGGTCTCCCCAAGGATGTCATCCAGTTCGTTCCTGGTAACCCCGTTGATATCACCAAGGTCGTTCTAGAGCACAAGGAGTTTGCTGCTCTCCACTACACTGGTAGCACCGCTGTCTTCCGTCAGCTGTATGGCACCATTGGTCAGGGTATCGCTGAGGGCCGATACCGAGGCTATCCCCGTGTCGTAGGTGAGACTGGCGGCAAGAACTTCCACCTGATCGACCCTACAGCTGAGATCGACAACGCTGTCAAGCAGACTGTCCGTGGTGCCTTTGAGTTCCAGGGCCAGAAGTGCAGTGCCACCTCTCGACTCTATGTCCCCAAGTCCATGTGGCCCGAGTTCAAGGAGAAGCTTGTTGCTGAGGTTGAGGCCATCAAGATTGGCAACCCCACTGAACACTCCAACTTCATGGGCCCTGTCATTCACGAGGCTTCATTCAAGAAGCTCTCCGGTGCCATTGACGAGGCCAAGTCCGACAAGGACCTCGAGCTCGTTGTCGGTGGAAAGTACGACTCTTCTAAGGGCTACTTCATCCACCCTACCATCTACGCCACTACCAAGCCCAACCACAAGTTCTTCTCTACTGAGTTCTTTGGCCCTATCCTTACCACTTACATCTATGACGATGCTGCCCCCAACGCCATGGCTGATGTCTGCAAGCTCATTGAGACCACCTCCGACTATGGCCTGACTGGTGCCGTCTTCGCTGCTGACCGTGAGGCTTCCCGCTTCGCCGAGGAGCACCTTCGTAACGCTGCCGGTAACTTCTATGTCAACTGCAAGAGCACTGGCGCTGTTGTCGGCCAGCAGCCCTTTGGTGGTTCTCGTGCTTCCGGTACCAACGACAAGGCCGGTAGCCAGAACCTCCTGACCCGCTTCGTCAATGTTCGGGCCATCAAGGAGGAGTTCACTCCTACCACCAAGGTCACCTACCCTAGCAACGAGGTCTAAGTGCCGACTACCGGCATACCGTCTATATACAAAAGCTGGAGTGGAGTTCGGACGATGATACGACATGGATGACTTATGAAGGTGAACTTCTATAGGGCTGTTACCCATGACAGAAGGAAAAAAGTACACATCTAACAGCACGACTAGCCGTCTCAGACCGTTTAGAGTTGGCTGTCGATCAAGTATATCTTGTCGAAGAGTTTGAGAAGCAAAGCCAAGGATCTTGAATCGCTGCAGCGTGGTCAAGCCTTGTTCGTGGGTCCGTGGCTTGCCAGGGGTATGTTCTTGGCTAAGAGCCGCCCCGGGGTCTCTCCCCACGTTGGTTCACCCAGGAAGGTGATGGGTGGAATTCATCCGTAGTAAGATTGGGGAAAATGATGGGGTGTGCCGTATGATAGAAAAAGCCGTCGACGTCTAAAGTACGCGCACGTGCTCAATTCAGTCCAAGGACGAATAATAGAGCCGAATTCTCTAGTTGCGACCTTTCTTGTTCCACAGGTGAATCGAATGTCGAAAAGAACCCTTGTCTTGTCCCAATTGATCCCGGAGTGTTTTGAGTCTGTGAGCTCCCAGGGTCAAGATAGGACACGTGCCCCTCTGTACTGGTTGTATATCTTTGCCTATTTGAAAACCGAAGGATGCATGCATGATGCTTCTTGAATTTGTTCGCTGCTCGGCGCTTTCTCAATGGCTTGTGGAGCCGAATGGAAAGTACTTATGTATGTAGAATGGTGGAGATGGAGACGAAAGATTGGAGAGTTTGGAGATCTCAAGCTCCATCTTTCGTCGTAGGCTCACGCTCTGGTCCTAACTTTCTGAGTATCCGGGCTCAAGCTCAAAGGAAATCGGTCTGTGCGAATTCCTATCCTATTTCCTATTACTTGTTTCCCTTCATTTGGTAGTGAAAGATGAGGGGCGTTCGTGAATGGACAATTGAGCTCACTCACCTAAAAATCTTGACTTATACCCATCACAAGCATCATGATACTTCGACCTTCATTTCATGTCACAAAGGTGCCAATGCCGCACGCTACCAACCCTCGTGCCCTCCATTAAAGATCCCAAGTAACTTTACCCTTTCTCCATCGAGAATGGACGCCAATCTAAGCCTCGTTCCTCTTCTTCTGAGACTGGACCCCTGCCCACCAAAAAGTCTACCCCGACCACGTTGATCAATCCCCCACGCTGATTCGCTCAACACCAAATAGAGCACGCGACCATTTCCTCGATGATGCTTGGTCCATGAAATCGCATCCCTTCAACCTGGTTGCTCTAGGATAAAGTTGGACAAAGCCTGAGATATAGTCTGCTGCTCATTGCGCTGGATTGGAGGGAAGAAGCGGGTTCGAACGTGAAACTCGCTGGGTAGGCGGCGTTATGCTGTGCTGAGTTGCGTGTTCGTGTCTGCATGTGCATATTCCCTTTGGTTCATCGATTGTCGTTGGAGCATGTCTGGTACTGTATCCGTAGGTTGATCTCGGTGACTAATTTAATGTCTTTTGCCCCCATGCCGTATCTTTATCTTGACTCTCAAGCGAGACTGGAACTTGACTGTCTTTGGGGACGCCCATATACCCTTTTTCTTAACCATTTCAAGATAGCCACAGCAGTTGTATCTCCCCCTTTCCTTTCCTCATCCATCTGTTCGGTGCTCTCTTGATTTGAACCCTGACCATCGTGTTGTGTTGGGCATCATTCGCAAAGAGCACCTAAGTATTATCACTGCCTTTTGAGAAAGAGTTCAGACTCCACGATCCCAGGATGCCTCGACCAGGCCTTCCTCTCACACCGGGCTCTTCATCCGATATCAAAGGCAAGGACGGAACTCAACAGCTTTCCTCATTTCAGCTCTCTTTTGAATTGCCGCCTCCAGCAATCCATGATGCTTCTCGCATATCGCCGACCATGTCATCTCAGGTCTCACCAACAGATACAAAACCGCACCGACTCACCACAACGTCCCCAGGAGCAACATACCCAATGCAGCCTGCCGAGACAGTGAAGGCACGCCGCCGTTCTTCTGCTGCGAAAGACCAAAAGGATAATTCGTTTGCCCTGCCGCCTCCACCAACGCGATCACGCAAAATCATTCAGATGAAGCCTCGACAGGATGGGAATGGTGACAACGGTGGCAGCAAAGATAAAGCGAAGACGACCAGCAAGAGCTCTGCATCAGTAAAATCGGCCACAGCAAACAATTCTAAGACAACAACGTCAGGATCGGGAGAGGTGGCCGCAGACGACAAGACGAAGAAGAAGCAACCAAGTGCTACAAGCGCAGCAGGTCGAAAAATTGCCAGGAAGACCGCACACAGTTTGATCGAGCGTCGAAGACGGAGTAAGATGAACGAAGAGTTCGCCGTGCTCAAAGGAATGATACCGGCTTGTACAGGAGATATGCATAAGTTGTCGATCCTCCAGGTATGTGTCTGAATCTTGCCATTGAAAATCGGATATAGCTGACTAAAGGCTCTGTAATGCAGGCCTCGATCGAATATATTCGATACCTGGAGGATTGCGTCTCCAAGCTGAAAGCACAACAGGAGGAAGATAATGGTCAGACCGAGTCCGGCCGTCAAACACCCACGGGCCGTGACCGTTTGCCGTCTATCCGTGAATTTCACCCGACTTTTCAAGAAGATCCAGTTGGCGATGAGGATGTCGAGATGGAAGACTCCGATGTTACGTCGCCTGCCATGACTGCAATGTCAGATCGTAACCCCCGTCACCCATCCGTATCTCCTGCTCTCCCACCTCAAGATTCTCGCAACAGAGCGCAATCATATTCGTCTGTTTCAACCGACCATCGACGTTATAGTTACAGCGTTTCTGCTGGAACATCTCCAGCATTTGGCCCACAGATACATGGGGCACCACATTATGCTCGCAGTGATGCCTCAGCACCTGGATCAGCGTTGACAAGCCCGGCTCTCAATCCCCAGAGCGAACTTGATCAAGAGGCCATGGCCGCCTTGCTGATGCTGAACAATGATCGTCGTGACTCCAAAGGCCGAGGGCTTTCAGTGCGCGATCTTCTTAGCACATGAGGGTCATGGTACACAGCCAACTAATGGGGATGCTATTTAAGCTCAAGGATGGGACTGTATCTGCCACAAAAACCTGACCTTGCCTTGCCATCGACACAAAGCATCTCGAAGGGCTTCAAGAGAGTTAATACTTCCTTAAAAGGTTGAACTAGGCAGACCATATTTGCTCCAACTGCCTTTTTTATAGGAACCATAGATATGGTCGAAAGTAGAAGGAAAACAAAGAGGTGTACCTCATATCGGGTTTATTTTGGACGTCGGATGATGAGAAAGCGGAATTCTAGATCAAGGGGGAAAACCTGGGCTGGTTCACTATTTGCACGGAGTTGGAAAGAAGGATGTGGGGGTCCATTTTTATGTTCAGGCCTTCTTTACGGACCGTCTTGAACCACTCGCATTTTTCCAAGAATCACTTCTCTATAAGGGAAACTCTGCAACAAAGAAGTATTCTGATAATTGATACACTCCATGTCACTCAAGGATGTGGATAATATGAATCATGTAATTATCTCTATGAAATGTGTATCCTGATGTTGATATTAGTCCGTCTCCTACTAAACTAAAGTTTAAGTCTTTGGCTTCCAGCCATATCGTCCCGAGCATCTTTAACTAGAAAGCTTCATGACGTTAGCAATTTGAGAAGAGTGATCAGGCGGGCGAGACTTACTTGTACCATAAAATTGTCGGTCCAATCGTCATGAAATGCCACAAGCTGTGAGCATCGATGCAGCCCAGCCAAGGTGGGAAATCAAACAGTTCCATGCTCATGGCAAATATAATCCAAGCAACCACGAAACCGGGCCAAACAGCCCACATGCGTCTTGACTCCCTATATCTCTTGAAACTGAACCATGTCCAGAGGACATTCTGCACGATGCCTGCTGCCACGTTTGCAGCCATATTGTATGTATAATCCCAACGGATAAACTTAAGGTACGAGACATGACCAAGAAAGAGAGAGGCGCAGATGAGCGACCAAACTCGTAGGGTGGTTCTCCGTCGAGGGGTGCGTTTATCCAGTCTGAAAACCCTTACCACCGTGTAGTACAGACCGTAAAGGACATTGGCGCCAGCAGCGAAGTAATCAAGCTCCTCGGTGAACCGGAAATCGCGAGTATGAAAGATAGAACTGAAAACCCAAGAGGAAATACCGATATAAGCCAGCCAATCGTAGAATATTCGCAGGGAGTAGGACTTCGGTATCCTAGATTGGACCTTCTTTAAGCCATCCCAATGCGCCCAGAGATTGCCGAGAGAAAAGAGGACACTAAAAGGCTCCTGCATGCCGAGAAAGCGATAGAAGGGCCATTTTCCGTAGAATTGTTCGACTGAGAGGCCCGTGGCCATGCGCTGACCCGTTACAATATGCTGGCAGGCATAATCGCATTCGCTGGCGCAAGTCCAGAATAGGAGACGATGTAGAACAGCTGTTGTCGGGAGTATACATTAGCTGTGTCTTTAGGCGCGGATCGGGTGGATATACGGATTGGAGTCTGAGGTTTATCAGGGGAGCAGTTTTCAGCATTGCAGACCTGTGGCCATGGTTAATCTTTGTGGTGGTTTTTGTGCTGCCATGGCTCACCTTAAGACAGTCCTTAAATTCTGGCAACTTGTCGCCAGTTGAGGCATTGACAACTACCGTGAAAGCGAGAACGAGGACGGTCAAGGATATAATCCGCGCCCATGGCCGCCCCCTTTGAGTTGCCATTGCGAGCGCATCGACCTTTTAATGGCGAGAGAATGAGGTTGAAAATAATTTGAACCTGCACGAGAGAGGGGAGAGACTGTATGTACCTTGTGCTGGTTTGACGATGTGGCTCACTTGCACCTCGACGTAACGTCGATGTTTCAGACGCTTGATTGGCTAGAGATCTCCAATTATGACCGCTTTGATGGGTCTAGCTTTTTGTGGAGAAGAACCTCTTTGTTTGTTGGTGGAGCTGGGCTACTGGGGTAGCTAGACTATGGGATCCAAATTGTAGTGTTCGACAAAGTAAATGTCTCTGAAAGCTCTTTAAAACATCAAAATAGTTGTTCTGGCTGGGTTACATGCCTGTCACATTTTGCTCAAATCTAACATACTTGAACTGGATCTGGTTTTCTTTCAAGTGAGGCATCTTGCTAAAAATCTGTGAGCTAACTGTACACCATACAGATGGAGCACCGTTATTCGTTGAACAACGTTGAACATGGCGACTTGAATATGAATTCATTTATCAACCTAGATGTACTCTAAGCTTTGCCCGTTTCAACGCTGAAGCCCATATATCATTTGCCAGGTTTCAGAACATTGGGCGTCAGTCAAATGTCTTCTTTTGAAGCAGTCATCCTGCATGAAATTGCAACCCTACACTCGGCCGCTAGGCTAAGGCGAGATTGGTTGCTAGGCAACCGGAAGCTCCCTGATTGGACCATATTTTCTCGTCAAACAACACGCCTTGCTTTCCATATCTCTGTTCCCTGACCCAGACGCGATAGTCTCAAGTTTTGGAAATCGTCTTGCAATCCAAGCAATGGCAATAATAATCGATTCGTAGCAAATACTTTATCTTGCCGCCAAATCACCCATCACCAATTCCTCACCGCTTCGACCATTACACGCCCGAACGCGCTTTGCCTTGAAAACATTATCGATATGGCGACAGCTTCGCCCACGCCCATAGGCAATGGTCTTGCCCGACGAACATCCCAGCGGCAAGCTTTGAGGAGATTACCATCACGACCCATCATGAACCACAGTGACAGCTTCCATGGTTCAACAAATGCTGCTCTCCCTAAGGGCTACCATCCCAAACCTCAGCAATTCCACGACGACAGCTCCGAGGATGAGATCCCAGTACCTATGAAGCTGAGCGCTCTCACCAAGGCGCTTCTTAATGACGGCGCCCCGGCATCAACAGAGCAAGCTCCTTCACCTCCCCGGACGCGACGACGCACCAGTGCTCTGAACGCGTCCACATCATCAGCGACTGAGACACGTCGGCACAGAAGATCCGGAAGCGTCCAGGCCCACGATACAAGGTCTTCAAGACAAACTAGCCCGACACCAGCTACAAGCAGAGAAATAAGTCCCGTACGCAAGAGGGTTGTAAGATTAAGCAACACACCTCAAAGCCTCAGCCAGATGAAGCCAACAAAGCGACGCTCAACCTCAGTCTCCCGATCAAATCAACGATCTCGACCTCACAGCCGCCCTGGTAGCCGCGATATGTCTTCCGACGAGAGACAAGATTCCAAGCAAGACTCCAAGGACTCCAAGCATGATTCTCAATTGGACGTGAATACCCCTGCACAAGGTGGACGCGTCGTCCGAATCAATGCTGGCTCTCCTAGCAACAGGAGCCGAGTTGGCTCCACTGGCCCTTCTTCAGGGAGGTCAATGGAACGATCTATGCTAGATAGATCTGGTATTGAGGACAACGACCAACCTGAAGAGCCAGCCACAGTCGCGCGAAATCCTCCCCCCTTCCACCATGGCAGTGTCTCTCGATACCCTTCAACAAGCACAAGGACACGACCTGAGGACAACGTCAACCTACAGAGTTCAATGCGCGTGAAGCGTGTTAGTAAGGTTGCGGGTAGCTTTTTGAGTGGGCCAGCCCGACGCGGTCGCCGAAGGCAGAGCGAAGAGGAAGGGGAGGCCAACGCGGATGGAGAATTGATATTGTCTAGTCAGGAAGCTGAGAGTCAACCTGGGGAGGATCAACACGCCGCTTCATATTATGGGGACGGTATTCGGGATTTCAACTCAGGAAGCCCAGTGAGCGGACAAGCCGCTGCAAGGGCAGTTCATCGCCGTAATGCTTCCAACATGGACCTGCGCCTAGGCTCTGCAAGACCATCTAGGGAAACATCACCTCGTGAGCCTACACCAGAGGTTCAGGTTCCCGAACCCGAGCCAAAGCCTGAACAGGAGGAGGAGATTCACTACAGACTCCCTGCAGCTCGCCCAGAACTCCCCTCCGGTCGAGATCAAGAGAATGATGTCCAAGCAAGCCTCAAGAGGACAAAACCGTCCATGGAAGTTCTTCTGGACAAGATACCAAAAAGACCGATGAGCGCTGACCCTGCTCCCCTAAGAACTGTCTCACCCGAACGAAAGCCGCTTGCTTCAATGGCTAGAAATACTCCCCTTCGCCAGGCTCCACCACCTCCAAAGATGTCTGTCCTCGAGGCTGCCACTGCTACTGCGGGTGCTGCTACGACTACACAGGCAAAGCAAAGGAGGAATATTCTGCGAGTGAATGGCGTAGCCTATACTCGACTTGACTGTCTTGGCCGAGGTGGCAGTGGAAAGGTGTACCGCGTTGCTGCTGAGAATGGCAAGATGTTTGCTCTGAAGCGGGTCTCTCTCGAGAATGCAGATGATTCGACTATCAAGGGCTATCTTGGTGAGATTGATCTTCTGAAGAAGCTCGGAGAGGTGGAGCGAGTTATCAAGCTATTTGATTGTGAGATGAACACAGAGAAGCAAGTTCTCACTTTGGTAAGTTCACATCAACCAGCAGCGCGGATGATTTACTGACTTGGCACAGCTTATGGAGATTGGAGAACTCGACTTCAACACTTTTTTGAGAAAACGGTATAACCCCGAGGCTGCCAAGTTCGATCCAGTCTTTGTACGATTTTACTGGAAGGAGATGCTCGAGTGTTTACAAGCAGTTCACCAGTGTGATATTGTCCACTCCGATCTCAAGCCGGCCAATTTTGTGCTTGTGAAGGGGCAGCTCAAGCTCATTGACTTCGGCATTGCGAACGCTATCCAAACCGACGAGACTGTCAACGTCCACCGTGAGACTCAGGTCGGAACACCCAACTACATGTCACCCGAATCTCTCATGGACTCAAATAACCCCCGAGGAGGCCGCATTCCAGGCCGGCCTAAGCTTATGAAATTGGGCAAGCCCAGCGACATATGGTCTCTGGGTTGCATTTTGTATCAGATGGTCTATGGCCTGCCTCCATTTGGCCACATCGCCAACCAGATGTCAAGGTGTCAAGCCATCATTAACTGGGATCACGACATCGAGTTTCCTTCACGTGGCATGGGAGGCATGTCTGTTCCTCCTTCACTCATTCGCACTATGAGACGCTGTCTCAACCGCGATCACCATATGCGACCAACCTGCGAAGAGCTATTGCACGAGTCAGACCCCTTCTTATACCCCGCGGAGCTGACCGACAAGGCTCTTCCTATTGACGAGGAGCTGCTTGCTAGAATCATCCAGAGCGTGGTGACGAGATGCCGTGAGCGCATGCCAACAGAGAACGAAAGCCTGAGCGTCTGGCCACAGGCTTATTGGGCTAGTGTTAAGAAAGCGATGGCCGGGAGAATGTGACAGGAGAATTATCATGCATAATGTTGGAGTTGTCGAGGCGCAATTGCTCGCTGGACCAATGAGTTTTATGACCAATTTGAACGGATTAGAAAGAAAGCATTCATAGCTGGGTGTTGAGGAGTATCATTCTTGTCATTCGCTGCATACCTGCATACCTACTTTTGTACTTTCAGACATAAGGGAATTTTTTTATAATATGGCAAGGCTTTCGGTAGTCAAGGGCGTCTATGGCTTTTAGCTGCGCGTTTCAGCGGGTTAACTGAATAAAAGCATTTTCAGCGATGGACATCAACAAACTTGAAACGCTCCATTGACTTTGCAAAATTTGCTGTGTTATTGTACAGCCAGCTTGATGCTGGTAAATGGTACATCGTTTCGAGGCATTTCCTATTTGTACATGGGCATCAACAGTTTTGTTGAAACATCCTCGAAACATCTTCCTCTCAACCCTGTGGTGTCTCATAAATCATTCGATATCCTCCAAGTTGTTGATGTTCAGCTCCGAAATCCGTAGGATGGTATATCGGTGCTTGCTTTTTGCCTGTCTCTTTCTCCTTTGCCTCCTCTTCTTCTTGATTTTGATCCGTAGCGGTTCAGATTCTGTTCCAACAACAGTAGCCCTGCACTCAAAAACCCGCTCATCGATATGGGGAGCGCCCTTCATGGTGTAATCTCTGCTACCAAGAACACTCGCACGGTTGAGTCGTAGTACATCTCCAGGTTGAACACCGGGCATACGGAAAGGTAGACGAACTTGATCGCCCTCGCGCACAAGGTAGGGAAATCCGTGAACATGAACGGTGATGTAGTGGTCTGGCTGAGCGGCAAGGAACGGCAGAAGGTTCTTGACTGAGTCTTCCATGGGCTTTTGAGGCGGTGTAGGATGGCTGACTTTGAAAGCGAGGGGTCGAGGTTCATTCGCCGTGGGATTGGTGGCATTCTTTGGGTGATGCTCAGGGAATGGCTCGATGATGGGAGCTGTGGAGGTGAAGGCGCGGGCTCGGATTGGCAAAAGAGACGAGGGTACCGAGAGTCGAGCGCCGGGAGCTCGAAGCTCCAGCATGGAGCGGAAAAGTGCCCTGCTCATTATGGACCGCAGTGCCTTTCGGGCTTGGGCACTATCGCTGGTCAATTGAGGGGAATGGGCTGTCGGCCTTGAAGTCGTTGTAGTGCATCTCGAAAAAGTTCAGGCGTTGGCTCATGGGTGCGTTCGGAAAAGCGTACTACCGAGCGCCGGCAGAATGGTCTCAGTGCCAGCGCCGCCTCCCGATAAACCGCCACTTTTTTTTTATCGCCAGGGAAATTTCAGCATCAACTCCCGCTAGCCATAATAAAGTCCCTGCCTGGGCGATACAGACAACATGGTATGCATTGAAGAGCGAACGTTTGCCAGAATGAATAACTAATTCCCTTAAAGCCTCAGAACGAGTATATGGAAAGATGGCGAAAGCTGCACGGTCGCCGTCTTGATCATGAGGAACGAGTTCGCAAGCGTACCGCCCGTGAGGGCCACAAGGCCTCTCAGGATGCTCAGAATCTGCGTGGTCTCCGAGCCAAGCTGTACCAGCAGAAACGACACAAGGAGAAGATTCAGATGAAGAAGGCCATCAAGGCGCATGAGGAGCGCAACGTCAAGACCGCGGACGAGAAGGAGCCCACAACACCCATGCCCTCTTATCTGCTGGACCGCACAAATCCCTCGACTGCCAAGGCTCTCAGCAGCGCCATCAAGAACAAGCGAGCCGAGAAGGCGGCCAAGTTTGCCGTTCCCCTGCCCAAGGTTCGAGGTATCAGCGAGGAGGAGATGTTCAAGGTTGTCAAGACCGGCAAGAAAATCCAAAAGAAGGCCTGGAAGCGCATGGTCACCAAGCCTACCTTTGTTGGACCCGACTTCACTCGACGCAACCCCAAGCACGAGCGTTTCATTCGACCTATGGGTCTCCGCTACAAGAAGGCCAATGTCACACACCCCGAGCTTGGCGTCACTGTCCAGCTCCCCATCATCAGCGTCAAGAAGAACCCCCAGAACCCTCTTTACACTCAGTTGGGTGTTCTGACCAAGGGTACCGTTATCGAGGTCAACGTCAGCGAACTTGGTCTCGTTACCGCCGGTGGAAAGGTCGTCTGGGGTCGCTATGCGCAGGTTACCAACAACCCGGAGAACGAGGGCTGCATCAACAGTGTCTTGCTGGTGTAATGTGCTCAACGGCGTCGACGCACAACGTTGAGAGGGTTCGTTTGTCTAAGTTCGAATGCATGTATTGGCGCCAGGGCGTTTATTGGATTACCACACGAAAAAAATGGCCATGATGGTAGATGGTTGGTAAACGGGTTGATTGTCGACTGAAGATTCCCAGTTGTGATGAAGAAGACTCACTCGAGTTATAGGCCACGCTCTGCTGAGACAGATTTTGATGAGGCCGTAGATAGATGAATACAAGATTTAGACGGTTCTCAATTAGCAGTGGTTATTGCTACAAGTACTTGTTCCGGTCTTTTCACATACATTGTGCTATTTTTATTTGGAGGTGAGAGAATACCTCTTGCTGTAATTGATTGGGAAGCTGAGGGTATACTCTTCTCACAACGGGTGACTTATAAACTTTGACTGAGAATGGTACCGGTGCACCTTAAGCGTTAACAACATAAAATTTAACGACACCAAGTTGATTGCAGTTCTACAGCTCTTTTCAGCGTTCCCACCAGCTTCAGCCAAGACAGATTGGTTTTCATCAACCAAATGTTATGCCTCGGTGTATTTTTTTTATACTGTTTCCAGCCATTGGCTGAAGAGTTAGACAACCTCCACTGACTCTTGTCTGCACTTGTACCTTTTTCAAGCTAACCGAAAAGGCAGATGGCGTTGAAAAAAGGGTCCCCTTCCATCGCCGCCTTTTAAAAAATCGGGCGGTGACGGCGATAAATTATTTTCTGCCCGAACTAGCAAAATCGCATTCGTCTGTGGTTCCCCGTCTTGCCCGCCGAATCTGTATTGCTCCGTTTTGCGACTCAATCTTTTTTCCCTCTCTGCTTTTTTCTTCTCTCCAACAACAAAAAAAAAACAAGATTCAACAGATTTCAACCCTCCGTTACACTCAATAATCCTTCAAAATGAGCGGCGATAAGATGGATGTCGAGATTGCTGAGCAAAAGATGAAATCTATGGAGCATAGCGAGCAGCATTACTTCAAGAGGTCAGTTCGCCCAGCTCGACAAGAGAATCATTGCATACTAACTGCGCCGATATAGCTACGACCACCATGGTACGAACAATCACTGCAGCTATACCACCATTTCAAAGTAATCCACTGACGTATTATTATTGCTCTGCGATAGGTATCCATGAGGAGATGTTGGTATGTAGCTCCCCTCCCCCACAGTCCTTGCGCTGCTGTATGAGCACTGGCTGACCAGGTTTTCAATGACTGCAGAAAGATGAGGTCCGCACACGATCGTACATGAACGCTATCATGCAAAACAAGCACATTTTTAAGGACAAGGTGGTTCTTGATGTTGGCTGTGGTACGGCCATTCTCTCCATGTACGTGCGAAACGAGACCCTCCAAAAGCCCCTCGTTATGCCCCGCGCTTGGGGAACGACAGCCCAGCCCACCCTTGCAACATGCGCTACTCTCTATAAGCCGGCGAAATATACAATGAACTTGAATTGACAGAAATTATCACAGGTTCGCCGCTAAGGCTGGTGCCAAACATGTCATTGGTGTGGATATGTCCACCATCATCTTCAAGGCCCGTGAGATCGTCAAGGTCAACGGTCTTTCCGACAAGATCACCCTTCTTCAGGGCAAGATGGAGGAGGTTGAGCTGCCTTTCCCCAAGGTTGATATCATCATCTCAGAATGGATGGGCTACTTCCTTCTCTACGAGTCTATGCTCGACACCGTTCTCTACGCCCGAGACACGTATCTCCAGAAGGATGGCTTGATCTTCCCTGACAAGGCCACCATCTTCTTCGCCGGTATTGAGGATGGCGATTACAAGGAGGACAAGATTGAGTGTAAGTGACTAACGTACTTTGACTCTCGGCTCAGAAGTTTATTTACTAACACCGTTTTAGTCTGGAACGATGTTTATGGCTTCGACTACACCCCCCTTAAGGCTACTGCTCTCTCCGAGCCCCTCGTTGATACCGTCGAGGTCAAGGCCGCTGTCACCGAACCCACTGCCGTCCTCACTCTCGATCTTTACAAGTGCACCACAGACGATTTGGCTTTCCAGGTCCCCTTCAAGCTCTCTGTTACCCGCGACGACTTCGTCCACGCCCTGGTCTCGTGGTTCGACATCGACTTTACCGCCTGCCACAAGCCCATCCGCTTCTCCACTGGCCCCCATACCAAGTACACCCACTGGAAGCAGACCGTCTTCTACTTCGAGGATGTCCTCACTGTCCAGCAGGGCGAGCAGATTGCTCTCAACCTTGATGTCCGACCCAACTCCAAGAACAGACGTGATCTTGACATCAAGATCTCCTACGAGTTGGAAACTGAGGATGCTAACCGTGCCTCCAAGGGTGCGCTTGAGTACCGCATGTGCTAAATGGCTTCTATATAAGACGGTGCTGATTTCTTGCTAATGATGATACGAGAAAGAAAAAAAGACATCTAAGGTTAAAAAAAGAGACCTAAGGAGCAAGGAGATAGATACTTGCGGGAACTTGGGATCTGTGTATAAGGGCGACGGCGTCTTGCATCTTACACGGGGTAAACATTGCTGCTAGATACAAACATAGGAGAGAGAAAAACAACATAATCGCGAGGGATGGCGTGGTTGATTGACGACCCGTTATGAGTGATACCACAAAGAACAGCACTCCGGAGTTACCTAGTCAAAAGATCTTTTGTTTTAATATCTTGTCTTTCGCCCCGACCCAGGGTGATCCCATTGACTATGTGAAACTGCAATAGCAAGACCATCTATTGACCGATAAAGTAAAGAGATTTCATTCATCGTTAAATTGGACTGAGTATCCCGCTCCTTGTCCTGAGGCTAATCTTGGCCTGGGCCTGATAACCCATTTTTGAGAAACCTTTATCATTTGTTTTGATCCCTCCTTTTTAGACACTCGCTTCCCCACAAGCACTAGGTATGTTGTGCGTCTCTCCTTTTCGTCCTTGGGTTATTTTATGTGATTCAGTTTTTGCCCAATCAGGGTATACCTAAGAACCAAACTGCTTCACGATTTGAGCAACCTTGTTAGCGAGTTCATCAGCCTCGGAGCGAGTGGCAGCCTCAGCATAGACACGGCATGCATTCTCAGTACCGCTGGCTCGAGCAAACGATCGGGCGCTAGTGTACTTCTTAACACACTGGTCAATCTCATCCTGAGCACCCACAGGGTGGCTGAGGCGGCGCTCAGCATCCGTGGTCTGGAACAGGTCCTTGTTGCCAACTTCAACGCGAACAAGGCGGTTGGGGAGATCATTGTAGGTCATGGCCCAATCTTTAAGAGTCCAACCCTTGTGGGCGAGAATGACTTCAACCATGAGCATGTCGGAAATAGCATCGCCAACGGTCTGGTTGATGAGATCGCTGACGGCAGCGAGGGTGTCGAGAGCATCCTTCTGGGCAGGAGACTGAGGCTCGGTCTCACGGAAAGCACGGATGGCCTCCTGAGAGAAGACGACAGTACCGTGACCGTTAGCCTCGAAGTAAACACCAACGTCAAACTGGCAAGCAGCGTGGTGCAAATGCTTCACACCAGTAGGAGTGAAGACGACAGGAAGCTGAAGGTGCTTCTCGATATAGTTGGTGCTGGCACCGTTGGCATAAGCGGTCTGAACAACGCCAATACGGAGGTCATCAGCAAGGCCGGCAGAGCGGACGAGGTCGCCAATGAAAGAGGCATTGAGAGAAGAAATACGATCGCCGTCGAGCATGAAGAAGCCGGTCTCAGGGTCGACCCAGTAGTAAATCAGACGGTCGGCATCACCATCGAGGGAGCAGCATCGGGCGCCGGGGACGGGCTTGGGGCTGGGAGGGGCTCGCTGCTTGGTCTTGACGAAGTCGGCTCCAGACTAAGAGGATAAATGTCAGTTTTTGCGACTGGCAGCCGAAGATTTGAAGTGGACTTACATCAAGGTTAAGAACCTCGGGTCGGAGAACGTCATCGTTAACAACCTTGATGTCGATGGTACCTTGAGGCAAGACCTTCAGGAACTCAGAGAGCTTGGGACCTCCAACACCGTTGGCGCAATCCACGATAAGCTGTCCCTGGGGCTTGCGGCCTCGAAGAGCGCGAGTAAAAGCCTCAGACATTTTCTCGTAGTAACCCTGCTCGCTGACCTTGCCATAGGCCTTGGGGGTGCCCTCGGTATTGACGCATCGGGTCAGGTAGTGAAGCTGGGGAGTGGTGAGGATCTTGTAGTCGGTGTACTCTGTGTTGGTAGCCTCGAAAGCATCGGCGAGGGCAGCAACGAGGGAGTGACCTGAAGGACGAGTGTCACGGCCATAGACAACACGGCCAGGAGAAGAGAGATCAATCTTAAGCTGAGAGGCCAGAGCCTTGTAGTTGTCGAGAAGCTCCTGATCAGAAGGAGAGTTGACGAGCTTGGTGGCATAAGTCTCCCACTCCTGTTCAAGCATCTCACCCATGGGGTCAACGATCTTGACACCATTGTCGACAGCTGGGTTGTGACTAGCAGTGATCATGACACCAATGGCCTGGCCATTGAGCTTACGGCTTCGAAGACCAGACAGGAGACCGACACGGAACGAAACACCATCAAGAAGATCGGCCTTCATACGGAACCCCGCAGTGCCATATTTGTAGACATGGTTAGGCACAATAGGGTGCTTTGCCGAAGCGGCGAGAAACTTGTCGTCAGACATTCTACGATTTCCTTGCGAGTGAAATTAATGGAGTAGTTTATGAGATGAAAGAATGAAAGACAAGACAAGACAAGAACAAGACGCAGGCGGGAGGAAAATGGAAGAGAAAGATGGAGCTCGAGGTCCCTTTTGAAACAAATCGAGGCCTCCGCAGTGACGACCTGGCGGGGGACCTTCCAGAGGGCACCTCAGCATACGAGGGGTACCTAAGTGAGGTAACAGTGCTGCAAGGGTCTACAGTGCATTGTCTATCTGTTGATGCAAACCAGCCACTGCACTTTCATCCTCCAAGCTGAGCCTAGCTTAGCTCAACTTAAAGGTAGCGGGCCATGAGATATTCTCGGCGGTCAAAAATACTTTTTTATACCGCTTCAATCGAATGGTTTCCATGAGGTGCTAAAAACAGATACAAAACTCTCAGATTTGCCCCACCTGATGCCCAGAGCTAAGGTGCTGTAGCGCAGGTGGGGGCTGTACCTGGTTTAATTGGGTGCATCTCCCAGCGCCTTACCCGCCACGATTTTGTTGGCACAAGGCCTCACGTCAGCCAAGGCACAGGCCAGGAGCTCACCTCGAGGTTATTCCTCTTACCCTTCAAGATCCCTCACCGCCCAATGATTTGGACTAGGTACCTAGGTATTGGGAGTGAAGGAGACACGTGATCTCGTGTCAAATCTTTACACCTACTGCAGGCAACGCGAGGCTCTCGACGCGTCACCTTCACGACATACAAAGACGAGGACAACATTGACAAGCTCGGATTTGTGCGGACTGCCGCTCGTCGTCTATTGTATTTTGATTGTAAAATTCTGGAATATTCAAGAACTGCCCCTTTTGAGGCCATCGGTTGTGTAGGTGAAGGTGACGACAACATGGATGATGCCGATTCGGCCAACCCGCAGCTGCTGGCTTGGGTCAAAGAATGGCTCGATCTGGCGCGCGAACGCAATTCAAAAGGTGTTACAACTTACAGAACTGCTTATAATTCGTTAAAAGCATGCCCAATCACCTTTGAACACCCTGCACAGTTGCAGCAACTCAAAGGTTTCGGCCCCAAACTCTGCGAACGCCTTGAGCAGCAATTGAAGAAACACTGCGAACAAAATGGCCTGCCTATGCCCCCACACCCCAGGTCTCGTAAGGCGATACCAGTTTCTGGAGTCGACAATGGTGAGAGCTCTTCAAAGCCTGCCAAAAAGACACGGAAACCTAAAGCATATGTTCCCGCTCTACGCTCTGGGGCCTTTGCCTTAGTAGTTGGCCTTTCCACATTGGATGAGGATTCTTCTGTTGGGATGACAAAGGCGGAACTCATCGAAGTTGCCCAACCGCATTGCGACTCATCTTTCTCGGCTCCTAGCGACCCTACCAAATTTTACACTGCCTGGAACTCGATGAAAACCTTGCTGCAGAAGGAATTGGTGTACGAAAGAGGACGACCGTTACGGAGATACGCTTTGACTGATGAAGGATGGGAAGTTGCAAAACGTATAAAAGAAACGGAGCACTGGCAGGCCGAGAATGGAAGAGCTAAAGACCCGACTTCAGCACAGCCTGTCAATCCAAATTTCCAACCAGAATCCAATCATAGGCCTAGGTCGCCTTCGATTGAAATTTCCGAACCTGTGAAAGCGCCTTCAGAATACCAAAACGTTGTGTCTGATGGCCCGACAGTATTGGATGACAATTCGTTGCCAAATTTTACACCAATCCGACTACCTCCGGGATCCTTTACTGTTCACTTAGTGCTGGACGTTCGCGAGGTCAGAGCGAAGACTGATCGCGATTACATGCAAGAGGAGCTAGCAAAACTGGGCGCAAAACCCATCATGCGCAGCATGGAACTTGGAGATGCTCAGTGGATTGCAAAGTGCAATGATCCAAGTCTGCTCGTAGCACAAGGTGCTGAGGGCGATGAGGTTATTTTGGACTGGATCGTTGAAAGGAAACGCCTTGATGACCTGGTTGGGAGTATCAAGGATGGCAGATTCCACGAGCAAAAGTTTCGCTTGCAGCGATCGGGTGTCAAGAAAGTTATATACATCATCGAAGAGATCTCCATGGACCCGGAAGTAGCATCTAGATATGCCGAAGCCGTCCGGTCAGCCATTGCCTCCACACAAGTAGTCAATGGCTACTTCGTGAAGAGGACGGCTAAAATGGACGACACGGTCAGGTATCTTGCTCGCATGACAACCATGTTGAAGCGGACATACGAGAGGAAACCACTCAACGTCATTCCTACCAGAATTCTTACATCTCAGAATTATCTTCCTCTGTTGAAGCACCTAAGGGAATCTATATCGCCAGACTGGTACATCACTTATCCTGCCTTTTCGTCGCTTGCATCAAAGTCCGAGTCTATAACTCTGCGAGACGTATTTTTGAAAATGCTCATGACCACCAAGGGCGTCACAGGAGAAAGAGCGCTCGAGATTCAGAAGCGTTGGAAAACTCCGTATGATTTTGTCAAGGCTTTTGAGGCCTGCGGAACTGGCGAACAGGGGCTGAAACGCAAACGTGAGCTGGTCTTTAGTCAGACAAGTCATCTTGTTGGACGGAAGAAGTTTACCAAGCCTTTGAGTACCAAAATTGCAGAAGTCTGGGGTGATGCATGATGGTTTTGTATATGTACGAGGAGACGAACGTGTACGAATATTGGGAAAGGATGGGATATTCTGATTATAGTGAAAAGCAGACGGTGTCAACAGGATGGGCTAGCCGTTATTTCAAGGCATTGGCATTTAGGCGTTAGTGGTATCAAGCAGGTGACATCCATGAGCATAGGGATACCCAGGATTATGAGAAAAATGAACCCAAAGCTTTAATGAAAAAAAAAAAGAAAAAAACTATTAACTTCTCATGGCTTTCCGCCAAATCCCTGGGCCACGATTCTCTCGACAATCTTCTCAATAAAGGGAAATGAGGCAGCAGCTCCAGGTTCTGAGCCAACAACACCGCCCAGAGACTTCTCTGCATACTTGGCCATCATATCAACCTCAACATTGACAGTGTCACCCTTCTTCTTCTGCGCCACGACAACCCTCTCTTGGGTGTAAGCAATCAGCATAACCTCCCACCATGCTTCATCATCGTTGACCTTGGTGACAGTCAAGCTTGTGCCATCGATGGCGATGAAACCCTTGTACACAATGTACCGCAGCATATCCTTACGGGCTGGTTGGAACCGGAAGGTCAAAGCATTGCCATCCTTCTCAACAGAGAGAATCTTAGCAGTAGTGTCGACGTGACCCTGAACAAAGTGACCGCCCATGCGAGTATCAGCCCGGACAGCACGCTCAAGGTTGACGTTACTGCCTTCATTGAGATCGCCTAAGTTGGTGATGCGTAGAGTTTCGGGGGCAACGCCAATGGTGAAAGCCTCGGGGGTGAAGGATGTGACTGTGAGGCAGACGCCGTTGACAGAAATGGAGTCGCCATCATGGCAGTCTGAGAGGAGCTTTGAGCCAGAAGGAATGGAGATGGTAAGAGAGGTGCCGCCTGTTGAGTCATTGGTGTTGAGGTTGGAGACAACTAGAAGCATGTGAGTGAGTTTCTAATATTGAAGTGAACACAACGGACCTCCCACTTCTTCTACAATTCCGGTAAACATGGTGATATCTTTTGATTTGATGTCTGGGTTAGTGATGCTGAATAGGTAGGATTGATATACCGAAGTTGTCGGAAAGTCTATAGGTATGAAGCGATGACAAATGTTTAATGAGTCGGACGGGTACTGATGCTATTCCACTCTGCCCCGCGGCCCGCGAATGCCCCACACTGGCTCCGAATGAAATACTGGGACAGCTTTAGTTGGGCTATGATGGTTTGTTACCGCATAAGCATTTCGAATTCGCAAGACTATACTCAGAGTAATAAGCTACTTTCTTGGAAGCCCCTTTGCCTGATCATCCGGCTTGAAAAACCTGCCAATCTGGCTACTAATGATTGTTGGTGTCAATCTTCATGCTACCAGGCGGGGTGGCATTCTGTCCATCTCTGCCCCTCAATCTTTAAAAAAAGTGCCTGGCTTTGGAGAATGGAAAAGATAGCGATGTAAATAGTGAGACGCCGGCAGAAACTGCTCTGCCTGGCTGGAACAAGAGAAGGGAAGTTAAATTTCATCTATCAAGTTTTTCAACTTCCAACTGGAGAGGTAGTAGAAGGAGAAGCAAGAATTGAATACCAAGATTCTTGAGTGGCTTCTCATGGGCCGTTATCGATAAGACCCGCCTAAATTTTTCAGTTTCCCACTCAACACCAAGGCACAAGCTTCTGACAGAACAAGACTGCCCATTAGCTACACAATATCTGGTTTTCAATTCTTACAACAGTCGCTATTTGACTAGATCTCACACCCCGAAATCTCATCGTGGCTCACGCGTAGCCTCATAAAATACTACAGCATAATTATTTCCACTAACAGCGTCGACATATCTCACATTAATCAAGCTACCTGCTTCACAGCATCATGGCGCCCTCAAGACCCGACGCTAAGAAGACAAATCCGGACATCGCAAGACTCCTTGTCGATGCGCAAACTCAACTCGAGGTCGGAAAATTAGAAGAGGCTGCCACACTTGCCCAGCAGGCCCTTGATGCAACCGGTCAGGGCGGCGACTTTGAGCTCAGTGCTGCCAATCTTCTAGGTACAATTTTCGTCGAGTCTGGCGACATTGACGAGGCGCGAGCCGCGTTTGAACGCGCAGTCTTTCTTGACGAAGATGGTACAGCAGATGAGAAGATTGGTGGAGGTCCTGAGAAGTTTCTGCTTCTCGCACAGCTTAGCGAGGAGGGTGGTCTCGACAGCGTGCAATGGTATGAGCGAGGTGCTACCGCTCTTCGAAAGCAGATCGCAGTCCTGAGTGACCTTCGATCGCCAACCCCTGAGCAAAGGACCACCCTTCAAGAAAAGCAACACAAGCTTGGGGGAGTCCTGTGCGCTGTCGCTGAAGTGTACATGACCGATCTGTCATGGGAACCTGATGCCGAGTCTCGTTGTGAGACTCTTATCACCGAGGCTATGCTCCTCGCCCCTGCTGCACCGGAGACATGGCAAACAGTCGCCAATGTTAGAATCTCACAGAACCGCGCCAACGAAGCCCAGACAGCTCTGCGCAGAAGTCTCGAGTTGTGGCAGAAACTCCCTCCTCAGCACCCCGACGTTCCCGAATTCCCTACCAGAATTGCGCTTGCTCGTTTGTTGATGGAGACTGAATTGGAAGATGAGGCATTGAGTGTCCTAGAGCGTCTTGTTACAGATGACGACACAAGTGTTGAGGCATGGTACCTAGGTGGTTGGTGTCTATATATCACAGGCGAAAAGCTCAAGACTACTGCCTCAAAACCATGGAACGACGAGGCCAAGGTCAGCGAGGAATGGAAGGGATCATGGAAGTCATCGCGGCAATGGCTCATGCAGTGCTTGAAGCTGTATCAACAGCAGGATTACGAAGACGATCGTCTGGGCGAGCATGCCAAGGAATTGCTATCAGAGATCAACAAGGAGCTTGGCGAGCCAGCTGATGGTGAGGAGGATGACTGGGAGGATGCCAGCGATGGCGCAGAGGAAGACGCTGAAATGCAAGGTTGATGACTTTATGCAAGGAAAGAGGAATTGGACACGTGAGCATTACGTACGGCGTTTAGGAACAAAAAAATGGGCATATCTAGAAAAATCTTGTTGCCTCTAGTTGTAGTTAAAACTGGATGGTTCAGACCCAAGTCTATATCACCATGGCAGTTAGCACTAGGCTTCTCAAGGCCTTTCGTAGCCAATCAAGGCTAGATAAATCCATGATAACATTCATCGTCACACCTCGTGGTAGGTTTTTTGCCTCTTTGTATTAGTTCCCAAGCCCAAACTCCAAGTAATGCATGCTTGCCATATGTCCCTTTATGCGGCCTCAACTTTGAGTTTCTCGACACCTTCAACAGGCATGTCATCCTCTTCCTCCTCACCCTTACCAGCAAGACCCCTCTCCCAGAGCTGTCTACCCGTCATGCGAGCGGGCTCCTTGGTCTTCGCCTTTTTCAGCTCAGCAAGACGCTCGTCTTCCTCCTGCTGCCTCTTCTCCTCCATCTCCTTCAAGAAACCTTCACGCCACTTCAAAAATGTCTCGGGCGTAACAGCTGTGCCGTGGAATTTTTTGTTCTCTTCTGCCTCAGCAGCCAGGGCAGCTTCCTCATGTGCCTTTGTGATGACGTCCTTGCGGTCTTGGACAAGCTGCTCGGCATTGTCCTTCAGTGTTGATACGATTGCAAAGACCATTGCCATTCCGATGTTTTCTTGAATGGTGTCGTCTAGACTGGCAAGGAGCTGGTCGCGATCTTCTGCAACATTGAAGTGTTCGTGAGGTGTGGCATTTGGAGGTGCGAGAATGTCGAGATGAGGTGGCTTTTCGGGATATTCTTCTGGATATCTCACTTGGAGAAGCATGGTAGGAGGATCTTGATCTTCTTCACCTGGAATGTCTAATGCGACTGATACTCTAAACTCGGTTTCAGAGATATCTACAACAGCGGTTAGGCAAAGAAGACAACATTTTTTTCAGCAGCAGATTTGTACCTGTGATTTCATCAGGAAAAATAGATTCGAGCACTTCACGCTCTTCGATCTGATCTTCTCGTCCCATTTTGACGGTTTGTCTTCGGGAGCTTTTATAACTGTAAAATGTTACTTTTGATAGAGCCGAATGACCAGAGTCCCAAGAGTCCTCATGGGAGTGGGGAGGTTTACAGGCGGCGGGGTGTCAAACAGAACAGGATTAGTGCCTCGTTGACCGCCCGGCATTTCTGAATGCTTTTGCCGTGTTATTTACGGGCAGCTCACACTCAGACTTCTAATTAACTGGAAGATTAGGTACTTACTATATATCTCATCTTCAATCAATGGCTCCTTAGGACATGGTCTGAACTTATACCATTGAATTCTCATGGACCCTCGTGGACTATTCGTGTACTCAGTATATTACTCTGTCCTGTCCATCGCCCTGCTTTATCACGCTTCAATCAATCCTATTGTTGCTCAGCTCCCCCACATTCATGTGCGCCAGATGAAACTCGATGCAATATCCACAAACCAATGACCGCAAAACTTCCGATTTCCTGCATATTGGTCGTATAGCTACCGACCGGCCCGATCAATATTCGTCCCAGTCACAGAGCGGGACTATGGGCTCGTTACCCGTCATTCCCTTTGCCTCCAGTCTCACAGCTCGTCTATCAAGGTAACTCTGGTAAGGTGCCTTGGGGATTCGTTTCTGGCTGTCCTCCCATAGTTGGTATTTGACAGCTTGCCAAACTTGAAGTTGGTCCATGAAGTTCTCTCGTGGCTTCACCTTTCGCCTTGTCCTGACTTCGGCGAGAATGACGTCCAAACTCAGTTGCCGTTGACGCATGAGATATGCTATTGCAACGGAAGCGGATCGGGACATTCCAAGACGACAGTGGATCAATACATTCGACTCTCGCGCTGAGTCTTCGCTATCGATCGTTGAAGTAGTGTCAAAGTCGAATTCTTCTGAAATAACAGAAGATGGCGACCGCAGTGAACCGTGACGATCCAGTTGTAGGTCGATGAAGTCGCAGATGTCGTCTAATAAGCAGAGGATGTCCATCGTTGAATTGTCAAGGCAAGGCACAAATAGATGGCACTCTTGGGGGATAATTTGCCTGTTTTTGGGACTATCCCATTTCGAATATGGGCCGTCCAAGAGGGAGACTATTGCTGTGATGTTGTGATGGCGAAGAACATTGCGGTTCATGGAACATGCAACATTGCCCACAAACAGATTAGGGGCAACCTGAGATATCGATGGGGAGTCCATATCATCTATGACTGATGAGACTTAGGTCTTTCAGTTTCAATTGACTTTGGAAAGTGAAAGTTGATCGTACTCAGATCACCTACGCCGGAGCCGGGAATGCGCTACATTGCACTCATGCAAACCCCTCACATGCAGAGGTTGCTTCAGTGGCAACTTGCAGAACTTTAATGCCTGTTATGTTATGCGTTCAGTTCATTGTGGCACCTGATGTCTTTAGATTCCTGAGTCTATTAACGGGTTCCAGTTAACACGACACATAATATTAGTCTGGACTCGATAGTACATCAACTACAGTCGGAATGTGCAATTAACACCACAGGAAAATCCAAACCATATTTTTTCCGTTGATCATGCAAAGAACTTTGCACCGAGAGTCCTTCACATACTATTTTATTTGCTTTTGATCTGTGGTCCCGTGCTATTAGTTGGTGCTGAACTCGCCGTCAGGCACTTCCTTTAGCGCCCAAGGAACATCACCACATCGAATATTTCTACTTATCAACTGTTTCCTATCATATCATCCAAGCTCTTTGTGTTGTCTGGAATTACTCTCTTGCAATTCATTTCTAGACTACAAACCGAGTCCATATGCCCAGTTCGAAGCAGATCACAGGCTAGAAACTATGAAAGACCAATATACAACCACCATAGGATATCAACTGGGAGTTATCTAACATTTAGTACATAGCAATAAAACCGAAGTGTCTTTGTTTTCAAGCAGTCTCTTCTGAGTGTAAGAGGATGGCAAAGGGTGCACGTGACTCTTCGACCTTGGATTAGAAAAGCGGGACCGCTCTTATCAGTTAGCCAAGCGCGGGAGTTGAAGCTTATCGCTAGAAAAAAAAGTCGTCTGAACTGAAATGCGACTTGCATTCACCCATACCCATCAAGTTCACGACAATGGCTACCAAAACCGCAGCTGTTAGCAATAAGCGAAAGTCCGCTCCTAGCGGCAAGGCTAAAACTGATTCTAAGGTTAAGAAGGCTCGACTTGATGAGACCAAGGTTCGAAAACAACCCTTCGAAGAGCCCGAGGACGATGATATGGAGGACGTTTCAGACGAGGAGGACGGCGGTGCCGAACTGAGTGAGCAGGCTCCCCAGAAGTCTTCGAATGGTGTCCAAAACGGAAAGAACTTTGAGCGAGGTATGTTGTTCTCCAAATACCATATGCGCTTGACCAATGCTAATTGTCTCCCAGGCCAAACTTCGCGCGAATCCCATGCTAAACAAAAGCAGCTCGCCCAAGAGCGCAAGGCCGCTAAGCCTCTTGCTGACGAAGTTCAACGCACAAAGAAGCTGTGGGAGCGATTGCGACGAAAGTCTCACGTTCCCAAAGAGGAGCGACAGACATTAGTTGACGAGCTATTCACCATCATCACTGGTCGCATTAAGGACTTCGTCCTCAAGCACGACGCTGTGCGAGCTGTTCAAACCGCCATCAAATACGCCTCACCCGAGCAGAGGAAGCAGATTGCCCGCGAGTTGAAGGGTACATATGCTCAGCTTGCCGAGAGTCGATATGCCAAGTTCTTGATCGGAAAGCTTCTTGTCCAGAACGACGAAGAGATCCGCGATATCATCATCCCCGAATTTTACGGCCGTGTCCGAAAGATGATCAACCACGCCGAGGCATCATGGATTCTTGACGATATTTACCGAGGCGTTGCGACAAAGGAGCAGAAGGCCACCCTTCTCCGCGAGTGGTACGGTCCTGAGTTCTCTCTCAAGGAGCTCACCAAGGACACGGAGCCCACTGCCGACCTCAAGACTATCCTGGAAGCTGAGCCCAGCAAGCGCGGCCCCATTATGAAGAGTCTGGTCGACATGATCGGCTCTCTTGTCAACAAGAAGATGACCGGTTTCACTATGCTCCACGATGCCATGTTCCAGTACTTCTCCAACACCCAGGTCGGTACAGAAGAGTTCACGGAGTTCTTCGAGATGGTCAAAGGCGACGAGAGTGGAGATCTGTTGAAGAACATGGCTTTCACTCGTAATGGCGCCAAGCTCACATGCCTGCTTCTTGCCCATGGTTCCTCAAAGGACCGAAAGCAGATTCTCAAGACTTATAAGGACACTTACCTCCTTATGTCCGGCGACATTTGGGCCCACCTTATCCTCCTTACCGCTTACGACGTTGTCGATGACACCAAACTGACTGCCAAGACCATCTTTCCCGAACTCCTCGGCGAGGGCGAGAACATAGCCCAGAATGTTGTCGCAACGGCCAACAACCCCTTTGCCAGGTCAACAATTCTCTACCTTTTCGAGGGATTGGCCAAGTCTCTCTTCCCTTCTAGCCAATCATTCGATGTCGAGCTTCTCAAGGAGGTTCACGAGATCCGCAAGACAACAAGTAAGAAGGACGAGGACATTCGACGCAGCGAACTCGTTACTGCTGTTTCTCCCCAGCTCATTACCGCCATTGCAGAGGCACCTACTGAGCTGACCGCGACCGCTTTTGGCTGCCAGTTCATCACAGACGTTCTTCTCTCGGGAGTTGGTGAGAAGCAGGCTGCTCTTGAGGCCATCGCTCAATCAGCCAGCGGTGACCCCAGCCAGGAGCCAGCTGAAGACGACCTCCAGCCCCAGATTCACATCTCACGGACACCACACGGCGGTCGCATGCTCAAGTCGTTGATCCAAGGTGGCAAATATGACAAGGCAGCTGGCAAGATCATCCCTGTAGACCCTCCACTGGAATTCTCCAACATTCTTTATCCTGTCATCAAGGAGCACATCATAGACTGGGCAACCGGCCCCGGCTCATTCGTTGTCGTGGGTCTCATTGAGGCTGGCGACTTTAGCGAGGTTGATGCGCTCAAGAAAACACTCAAGAAGAATAAGAAGACTCTGGAGAAGGCTGCTACAGAGGAGACAGCTGAGCAGAAGGCGGCACGTGAGGCTCAGGAAGCTGCGCCTAAGGGAGCTAAGAAGGGTAAGAAGAAGGGCGACAAGCCTGTGGGTAATGCTGGCAGCAAGCTTTTGTTGGAGAAGTTGTAAAGCACAGTTTGAAGATATTGGACAATGGATAGAGATGAGGTGCTTTATTTATCATATATCAGGCGTATAAAACTAGGGTGTTTTTGACAATGATATTACGGACTATAATATGTTCCTTGCTTATCCATTTTCTGACTATCCATTGAAGTCAAGTGATCAACGTTGATTTTCGTCGAATATTGCGAGTACAATAAAACGATGCATGAAGTACTGTTTCTATTTCACAGCTGCGAAGGAAATGCGACCCAGGCATTCGTTGGCCGTCTTTAGTTGGTGCAGTGCAACGATGTACACAGCTAACGGTTACAGCATTGCACCACAAGGGTCACACATGGCAGTGAAGTTTTTATCTGCCTGTATCTTGACGAGGCTCCCACGATAAGGGCTCTTTGGGATGTAAGGTCTGTAAGGAATGGACTGTGGTTTATATAGAGTAGTAGGAGGACACCATGGAGTGGAAGACACCATGGAGTGGAAGTTTTCGTATATAAGGTACTTGCAGCTGGATGCTATCGAGTGTGCTTTCTGCGACAGCTCTGTGTTTTACAGAAGAGTGCCTGGGCGGTTTACATAGCGCCTTTTCAAAGGCGTCGCGTAACTCTGTGTTGCCATGGCAGTTATAAGTGCTACAGCGATCCAGCGTTTCATACCACCATGCCGAGGTACGAAAGATCCATGTCTGTAGATTTTAATGTTGGCATCCAGAGTTTAAGGGGGGACTGCGAAGACTGGACTGCCAATCTTTTCACTTGCGGATGTGTCATATACAGAGCAATATTATCTGACCATGGTAGATCAAGTATATCTTATTTTAACTTGACTTGAGCATATTCGAACTTATTACACCCCTCAGCTCCCACGAGTTGTGTTGTTGATCTAACGATTCGCAAACTGTTGCACGGGGCAGATACTCATTTGCTACAAAATAATCGTAACTCAGCTGTAGGTACACTCGAGTACTTCTCTGTAATTTGCCTTTTGATCGGGACTTTCAAGTGACCGTGATGGAGTAAGTTTGGCCAACAGCTGTTGGCAACTGGCAACTGGCAACTGGCAGCTGACAAACTTCCGCCGCCTCCTTTCCTTCTCATTGTATCAGGCGTAACCCGCCAAAACGCGCACAACGTCACAAATGCAATCATTTCACTTCTCCTCGATTCTCTGCCCTCTTCTCTTCTTCCTTGATCTTCGTTTGTGTGCTTTTTAATCAAGTCGGCGGCAATATCACCCACCTTTTTAGGAGCAGAGTAACAGAATCTTGCTTAGGTATTTATCTTCTTCTCCCCAGTTTCACGGAAGTTGCGATACTATTTCAAACGAAACTTCTTGGGGTGGCTACAAACGCAAACCAATATCATGTTCAACCGGGAGCGATAACCAAGGCAAACAAATATTCCTTTCTTCCCCTCAACTCAACTGCCCGTTTGCTTCCCTTGCTATACTGTGTTTGCCGATATGGCCCAAAACCTACAGTCTCGCCATGGGAAGGAATGCCGCGCTGACAAGGCATACTACGAATGTAGTGACTTCGACTTTGACTTCAAAGGCTGTTGCTCTCACGATCCATGCATCAGGCCTCGTGGCTGTCGCGACGACGACTCTACAGATCGTGGTTCGTGGCCAATTCGCGACATGTCAGACATCGAGAGCAGTGCTTCAGAGACGACCGCTATTGAGAGTACTGTAGATATGAGGCCTGCTGTTGGGAGCGGCATTTTCACTGCGAGCTTTCCTTCAGATGATTCTGACACCGAAAGCACTCTCGTGACTCGAAGACGGCCCTCTTCCCACTCCAGCATGGACGACGATAATGAGAATGACGCTTCGCCTCGTAGGCATTCACACTCGAAGACTATGACAGACTCGGGTACTACTCGCACAATCCCTAACTCAATTCGAATTACGGTGACCAAGAATACGGTTATATTCACCAGCAAGCTGCCTTCCAGCAGCACATCCGTTGAATCAATCACCGAGACCGCAGTCGATACAACCCCAACCGCCTCCTTTCAGAGTACGCCAGCCCAGAGCCCCACTGAGACAGGAGCCTCGAGCCTTTCCACAGGTGATAGCGACTCTGGAGGTCCTTCCATTGGACTCATTGTTGGAGGTGTGGTTGGGGGTGTTGCGGCTTTGGCTCTCGTGGTTCTCGTTGTGATTATTCTTCGTCGTCGCAAGGACACCGACGAGCAACTGGATGGTGCTGATATGCCCTACAACAACTTTGATGAAAAGGAGGAAAAGAGTTATCTCAGCCGGATGTTGTCACGCAGTACCAACAAGGGGGGCACTGATCCGTTTGCGCCATTTGGAGGTACGTCTCGCCGATATGCACCATCAGAGTCATCATCAGAAGTGACCGACTCGTTTCCGAAACAAATGCTAAAACTACTCTGCAGGCCGTATCGACAGAGTAGACGACCTCCTCCGCCCACCCAGTGGCACTTTTGAGATGGATGCTACAGAAAATGTCGTTCATGAGCTTCCTACAGCCACTTTCAGCGACGCCCAAGCAAATGAGTCTCAGCCAGGTGGTCATGCGGCTGCCGGCCAGCCAGGCCGTCCTTTCCAAACTGGACCTGCTGCAGCACCTGAATATCCCCCGGCGACTACGTATCCTGTTGACCCTCGTGCCAACCTCAACGCCACTCTCGAAGATCGCCAACAAAAACAGTTTGTCAACCACTGGAATCAGTATAAAGCCCTCGGAGAAGGTGCGCACCAAGGGTAGTGGATTTCATGGAAAAGGATTCAGGTGTAGTTCACAATTGACGAGGTCAATATCACAAGCATTTTCTGGTGTTGTGCGGAGAATGAATACTTTGCATTCTCCCTTTCTTTTTGTACAATATGATTCGCTAGTTGGAAGTCGAATACTAAAGCAGGTTGAAACAATCCGAAGGTGGCGCGCAGATCTGAGCGATGTGGAAGCAACCCCCCTCATCACCTTATCGACATGCACATTCTCTTATTGGACAACAATAGCACACACTCGGGAGTTCATTCTTTCCCGCCTGCGGCCCGCTCCACGGGGCTGAATCGGGCCAGTTTCCGTTTCTGTTGTATCACCTCGCTACTTGCTTACGGGGGAAAGCTGACCGTCTTACTATGCCTTTCCAGATGATGACAACCATTCGATTCGAGCTTACTATATGCCGAGGACTTCTGTGCTGGAAATGTCCCCTGCTGCTACCTTGCAAGATACGCAGGTCGACCAATCGGGGCTGATGTCTGACTGTACATGCAATACCAGTCATAACTCTGACTAGTTTCACCACAACTGCCTCGTTCTCGACATGGACCTATCACGACACTTGTATCCTGCACAGTGATCTGCCAAGATGAGGGGTGATGGTATATCGAGCCTATCTGGGTTTACCGACCAAGACACAACAGATTGTGGCTTCAGCTGGGCTCAGATACGGCAGCAGGCAGGGAGAATCTGACAGGTGGATACGAGGCAGTGTGCGAGTAACCAGCATTGCAAGTATATAAGAGCCGTCAAGAGACGACTATCTTGACCGCAATGATTTAGCCCAGACTCGAGCAATTCGTACTATCCCTTCTCAGTAGCACCACCGATCAGTATGCCTTCTCAGCCACAACCCAAACAAGTTTTCCTTCCTCTCGAGGATGGCTCGCACCACGGAGCAAAAGAAGATGCATTTGCAGCCCCCAAACGCATCGTCATTTGCTGTGATGGTACTTGGCAGTCCTCAGTGTCAGGCCTGAAGAACATCCCCTCCAATGTAACAAGACTTGCCCGTTCAATTGCTCGTAGCGGCAAGGACAAAGACGAGAAAGTCTGGCAGCAAGTAGTCTACTACGATGCCGGCATTGGAACAGGAGACCTGGGTCAGGCAGAGGCCAATCGGCAGGGAGGTGCTGGCATTGGCTTCGTGGGCAACGTCATTGAAGCCTACAACTTCATCGTCCTGAACTACAACATCGGTGACGAGATCTTCTGCTTTGGCTTCTCTCGAGGAGCTTATACCGCTCGTGCAGTCGCAGGTCTCGTCACTGACATTGGCATCGTCTGTCCCAAGGACCTGCAAGACTTCCCTGACCTTTACGCCCTCTACCAGAAGAATCCTGATGGCTTCCATTTCCGTAAGTCACAAGCCTACATGGAATGGGTTAATGGCGTGCCATCTAAAAAGGAGGCCAATGGAGCATCCCAAATTCAGTCTCAATGGGAGAGTCCTCCTCACCATGATGCCCCTGAGTCGTCCAGGTTCGTTAAGGTTGTTGGCGTTTTTGATACTGTTGGAAGCTTGGGTATCCCAGATTTGCCCTGGACTCGTTTCAACCTCAAGTTCCTCGAGAAAGCCGTCGGGATCGCTGACCCTGGGTTTCACAATATTCATCTTAGTCCTTGTTAGTAATCCCCTTCGCAGTTCATATGCTTGGAACTGACAACTTCTCAGACATTCAGCATGCTTACCATGCGTTGGCTCTTGATGAACATCGCGCACCTTTCTCGCCCAGTCTTTGGCACTTCCCAGCCAACAAGGATCATAGCCCTCCCAAGCCTGCTAAGGATGTGGAGCAGCTTTGGTCCGATTGGGAGAAGATAAACAAGAACTCCAGCGCAACAAAAAAGCAGCTAGAAGATGCGTGGGGTGCTGTAGTTGATGGCGAGATGTATGAGCATCTTCAGGGCAATAAATCAGAACTGCTGCAAGTATGGTTCCCAGGTGTGCACATCAACATTGGCGGCGGGAATGATGACCTTCTCACTGAAAAGAAGAGTGATCTGGAGCGTAAGTTCATAAATATTCGGGCTACAGGGTGTACACTGACAAGCATAGAAATCGCACTTATCTCATTCGCCTGGATGTGTGAGCAAGTCGCTCCTTATTTGCAGTTCGTCGAAGACGGTAGCCTGGGCGAGCTAGGCAAATCAGCAGTCCAAGACCGCTACAACCTCCTCAAACCACTCCTAACTAATATCCAGAACGGAGATGAGAAGGACTACGGCCCTGGGCCACTGTCCAGCCGTATCGCAGCCTCTTTAGACCGCACAGGTATAAAGAAAGCAGGCGTTCTTAAGATCCCAGAAGAGACAGTCAGCGGCTGGGCAACGGGGCCTATTGTCGACAGCTTTACAGGCGCCATGATCGCCGGAGGCTCCGTCGACAGAGTCCCTGGCAACTATACCAAGGACGACAAGGGCCGCGAGATAGGCAATACATATGAGATGATCCATCCATGTGTCAAGTATCGCATGAACAAAGTTCCGAGCTATAAGCCCAAAGCCCTGCGTGGCTTTGAGAGGACTGCTGATGGAGGCAAGGGATATGTGTGGACAAAGGGTAGTGTTAAGATCCCGGAGTTTGTGATTAAGACGGGAGATGCTTTCTCAAGACACGTTGCGGAGCAGGATCGCAGTGCTGGCGGAAATGCTCGGGATTTCCTCAAGTCGATTGACACGATTGTTGTCTGAGCTGTAGTTTGACTCCTTATATATCAATTTGTTGACCAAGTCAGGCGAGTGATCTTTGTAACAATCATACGCGATTTCAGTCCGCTATTACTCCATGACACTTATCAACAAGTATCAATAGGGTGTATGAAGCATATCTCCAAGGAATTTGCAATGGCACCCGTGACTCTCAGGTGCAGTAGAGGCTTTCACATAATAAATGAAGCCAGCTCCAAGTTCAAGGACAAACTCACAATCCCAGGGTTCTACTCACCAAGATTGAAGCAAATCGATTTATTAGTCTTTTGTCATAAAACATCAGTAGTGCAAGAACAAAGTGTCCCAAGTTCTGTCCAGGTAAAGAACATGTCATCTTGATATCAAACCTGGAAAATTGCAAGGGAATCACTCTGCGTCCCCTGAATACAATATGCGGTGTCCCTTTTCCCCGCTATGCGCCTCAAATGCAAGATAAGTCGTCATCCCCGAGAGTTGTATCCCCAACCTCCCAAGTCTCCCTGTCATTCTTCGGGTCAAAGTAGATATGTGATAACCAATCTGTAAAACTACGCCGTTCTTGGGTCGAAATTTCAAGTCAAATGTTGTTGCCGGGTAAGCCCTTCACCTGTTCTGGAGCTTAGAGATCTCATCGAGAAGATCCTGAAGGTCCTGATCCGAAATCTTGTCGGCTAATGAAGGGATGAGTGTCTTGGCCTCGTCGGCTCCCTCGCAGCACAGAGAACCTAAAGATAGTCTGTTAGTATTCTCGAGAGACAGATAAGCTTTTTCCAAGACCTGGAAATCGTACCCAGCTGTGCGCGCTCAAACTTAGCGAGGTTCTTATGTGCGCTAAGAAGGCGTTCAACAGCCTCTACGTTCTCCTTTTGCGTGAATCGCGCAAAGTTATCGAGGTAGGTCAATGTTGAGTTCAACATCCTAGCAATAGTCAGCCCTACCGCCCGCAATCTAATGGCCATGGTGGTTATTCACTCGGTGTTGTTAACGTTCCTACGATCGTTCTTTCGTTTGGCGTGGAGAGCATTCAGAACCAGCGCAGCTTCGGAGAGCGTCAAGGTGTCGACATCTTGGAACTCGCCAAGGTTTAGAACTGCGGAAGCTTCCTCATTACCAGGAGCCGCGGGCTTGGGTCGAGAGGTGCGAGGGTGGTTGACCTTCCTAGGCGCAGCAGCAGCTGGAATTTGTTGTTCATCCTCCATTGCGAGAGAAGTTGTGCAGAATGCGCTGAAGCTGATTTTTCGATCGCGCAGTATTTGCGTGACTGTACTCGATGCGCGGGCGTTGGGGGAAAGTTGGTGAATGAGAGAGGTTCGGATTCAGAGAAGTTGGGTGTTAATTATTGAAAGTTGAAAGGCGAGCCTAGAAGAATCCAGAGTTCGGAGGCTGAAAGGAAGAACAAGACAATGCAATGTACGTACCCCAGCTTAATTAGTGGGGCTATCTTTTAGGCCAGGCACCTCCCTGAACAGAGGTGCTTGCTTTCGGTGATGGAGTCGCGTGGCTGAGAGCAGCTTGTCAATCTGTCAACCTCTAAAAAAGAACGACGAGATAGGAAGCCCAATGAGCCCTTATGATCGACACAATTCATAGGAATAATTGCTATAAACTGTAAGGGTTTCCTGAACTACTGCCACTGACACTAACTCTCTCATTCACAGCTCATCTCACCCTCGTCTCTCACCCTTGTTCATGGTCTCCCCTCTGATATAGATGGTTTAGTGAGCTTCAGGGGAAGCTAAACAGACTATTCAATACCAGACAGAGACCGATCATACATGCGCAAAAGGAATAATGTGAGGCCGGCCACAAGACTATGATGAAGATATGTGCTAATGAGTCAGGACTATCTTTGCTCTCATCGTCATCAACAAGGCCGGAGGTTTGGTTTACAACAAAAACTTCCACGAAGGCCTTCAACAGATCAGCACAAATGATTATCTAGTTCTCGCTGGAACATTTCACGGGTAGGTACCCCTTCAAGCTTCAAAAGCTGCGCATAGCTCTTCATGGGCACGTCAGAGCTCACATCAATCTCCAGTGTTCACGCCATCACATCTCGTCTCAATCCAGTCAAGAACCTACCAGGCGCAACACCGCCAGGAAACAGACCTGAGCCATCATCAGGGTTAGAGGTTCTCGAGACGGAAAACTTTCGCATGCAGTGCTTCAACACAATGACAGGGACAAAGTTCCTCCTCTTCACCGATACGACACAAGCAAATGTCGATGTCACTATCCGCAGGATCTATGACCTCTATGCCGACTACGTCATGAAGAACCCCTTCTATTCTCTTGAAATGCCTATCCGGTGTGATATTTTTGACCGGAAACTACTTTCGTACATCAGAGAGATCAATAATCGATAGACGGGTTTGGGATAGATTTACGGAGTAATCGGAATCAGCATGTATCGTAATGGCTTTAATATTCTTGTCGTCTAAACCCCCTAGCCTGTGTCTATTATACATTTGCTGCAATGTTGACAGAGCTGGACCGCAATCTACTATGAAGTGTCCATCTTGTCTCCGTCGCCTTTCTTTCCGCCCTTATCTTGGTCCTTGCTGCTCGATCCCTGGTTCTCGTCTTCTTCCTTGACGTCGCTAAGTGAAGCCTTCTTTGCAGCTTCCTCTTCCTCACGAGCTGCCTTCTCCTGTCGAGCCTTTTCTTCTTCCATACTCATACGCAGAGCGAGTGCGAGCTCAGGTTCCATTGCAGGGTCGAAACCGAACTCGAATTCATCGTTACTACCGCCTGCGCCCCCAGCTCCGCCAGATCCGCCAGCATTCTCTCCAAGAAGGATGGGGCTCGAAATGAGTTGGTCGCTAAGAAGCTTGCTGCTGGGAGGAATGACCACCAAGTGGCAGCCTTCGCTGGTCTTGACGGTGTCGATAAAGAGTTGCAGCTTGTTCTTAGTGCTGTCGTCATCGAGATCGCCGAACAGGACAAAGTCGACCGAAATGTTGGCTTTCTTCATCTTCTTTGCGAGCGTGGTAAGCTCTTTCTCTGATTCCTCAACGGGAGAGCAGACAAAGACTATTATTCGTTGACGCTGGGATCGGTTCTGGCGATGCTTCAAGGCAAGCTAAAGAGAGGTCAGTACATGTCACCGCTATATTCAGCCGTGTTGAAGACTTACGGTAGCTACCTGGATACCCGTCTTCAAGTGGGACGAGCCTCCAATCTTCTTCTTCGTCCTGTGAAGACCATCAAGGATCTTGCCCTGCTCGGTGGTGAGAGTCACCAGCACTTCAGGTCCTTTGCCGCCCATGCTCATCAACCCAACAGATGATTCAGGGTTTCCTTGTGTGATAGTCTGAAAAGTAATGTTGACAGCGTCGACTTGCGATTCGAATCGAGTAGGTTGATAGTCGCCATTTCTGCTGCTCTCGCTGTTGTCGACGACAACCATAACCGCCTCAAGAACCATATTGGGCGTTGTTGTTGTTGTTCAGCAGCTGTAAAAGTATCGTATGCAGCTGCAGGAGTTTGTGACAAGTGTGTACGTGGAGAAAGCGTAAATTTGGTTGATGGTGAGAAGGTCTTGAAAGCAACTGAAGCTGTGTCGTACCTAAGGCTTCAGCCTGGCGGAGTGTAAGGTAGCTCGATGATGAGAAGTAGCGCTACTTGTTACTGTGGGGATTAGTGCGTACGAACGTGTACCTATACCTTCTTTCCACCGCTACCGATTGCTTGCGTCAGGGCAGCTAGTTGGCTTACCTAATGATACAGACCCACACACTTTGTTTACTTCCCGCAAGCTCCACCTCTAACCAACGCGCCTGGGGTAGACAATTGCAACTTCAGATACATCTTCAGCCATTTTTCGCACTTGCCTATAAACACATACAGCGCTGATAACGATGGCTCCTGTGAATTCGAAAAAGCAGCTTGCTGAGTCCCCTCTCAAGAAGACCATGGTTGAGCATGTCCCTCTACACAGTGGAAGCCCTTCGGCGCAACCACGAAGTCCCATCAGGAAGCGAACGCCTGGTGCTATCACGATGCAGCAAAAACAGGCCATGATCGATAACATGCAACTCGAAAGTATGTGGCTGTTGGTCTGGCACAAGTACACTGCTGACAATATCGTAGTTACGGAACGCGCTCGTCGATTAAGAGCCCAATACAATTACATGGCAACAACAGTTCGCTCCCGCATCGAAATGCGACTCAACCGCGTCCCTATGTCAATGAGAAACATCAAGATGGGAGACTTACTACAGAAAACTTTGGATCAAGAGCAACAACGGGCCGCGAAATCGGCCGCTATGCGAAAACAACCAGCAACAACACGGGCGGCAAGCCCACCAAAGCAGATTCAATCGGCTGCAAATAACTTGAAACCCGCGCCACGCACAAAGAAGCGCATGAGGTATGGATGACATGAAGTCGCCAAGTAGTCAACTAACAAGGATCCAGTGATGCCATCTCAGGAGACAAAGAAAACGAGGTCGAGCATACCGAGACTGCTAAGAAGAGGGCTCGAGCTGCAACAACCACAGACGTGTCACATGCCCGATCAGGACAAATTTTGTCGCCAACATCCTCCAACTCGCGAATGGCAAACCGACCTCCATCACCTACTAAGTCTGGTATTGCACGACCAGCTTCACCACTGAAGCGCCCGGCTACAGCTTCAGGTATGCTGTCGAGCATGGTGGAGAAGGCAAAGGCGACGCGAGCTGGCGCTGGTGCTGGACGTAAGATGACGACAAATTCTACCACAAGCTCAATGTCCACCAACAACACAGCTGCCACCAGAAATAAGAAAGCATTACCAGCAACAACTACTTCAAGAGCCCCTACTTCTCGACCTGGTACACGAACAACGCGTAGATCTATTGCCAACAGCGAGTCCAGTGAGTCGAGCAATGGAACCGTGATAAGGAAGGGGCCAGCAGCCAAGAGTGCTCCAGTTAAAATAGGGACATCGCGTAAGGGGACAACAGGGGCAGTTCGCAAAACCACAGCGAAGAGCAACCCTTCAACTGCGAGCACGGGTACAGGACGAACTTTGCGAAAACGAGCATAGAACGGAATATTGATGAAAGGGATCAGTGGATCGTGGTTGGTACATTGTTTGACTTGATACATATTACATGGTCATGGTATAGGAGTTCAGGATCGAGGCGAATGGTGGTGCACTGGAAGACTCCATGTTACTTTATGATTGATATTCTTTTGAAACTGCATATGCCCATGAGAAACCCAAGAGCGCGAGTGTTTCCAAAAATACACTCTGGAATTTTCAGTCACGAATGCCTTTTGGTATCTCCCAACTTATGAACCACCCTTCTTCTTCTTCTTGTCTTCAACAAGTTCAATATGATCCTCGGGTATCTGCTTGTACTTCTCAAGCAGGAACTCTTCCAACTCAACGCTAACATCACCCTGGACAACAATTTCTTCTCCGCCACCAGGAAGCTTGGTCACTGAAGAGCCTGTAGCAAACTTCTTGCCAAGATCTTTGGCGACCTGTGGTATTTTCAGTATGGGGTGATCATCTGCTGAGCTAGGAAACTCACCTTCTTGAGTTCCAAGTCAAAGGACTCGAGTCCTATCACAGCCGTGACAAACTTCTTCTTGTTTCGCTCAATGCGCTTGATAGTGACAACACTCTTGGCTAGCAGATCGGCATGTTTTGCCTCAGCGGCTTCAGCCTTAGCGGTCTTCTTCTGTGCGTCCTTTGCGGCTCGTTTCTGGGCTTCGACGGATAGTGATGCAGTAGCAGCCTCGAGGGCCTCTATATGGCTAAGTGTTATGGGGTGTCCACGTCCGAGACATTTTGGACTTCGTACCTGCTGACCAGATCCTGTTGTAAAGCTCTGGTTCGTTCTTTTCTAGCCATTCCTGGCACTTCTTAACGGTTCCGCCATACTCGCAGTACTACTTGGTCGATTAATCAGTTTGAGGGGTTCTCTCGACGGTACACGGACTCGTAAAAATATATTGTTACCTCCGGGGGTAGAGTGCAAACTGTGAAGGGTGTTGTCAGCTACTGGTTCTTGCTCCGCATCATAATCAATCAAAAGTCGTTATGAAAGAACATACCGCCACAGTACTTGACAATACGACCCTGGGGCTCGCCCTCAGGTTGCTCAACGTCAGCCATAGAGATCTGAAGCTGTATACTATGACTGTAAAGGTATAAAAAGAACTTAAAGCAAAAGAAAAAGTTTATAGTTGTATGGAGGCGATACGCGTTTCTCTGCTCATGCTAGATCGACCTTGCTTAACCTATGGCGGGGTAAATTTCATGGAGGGGCACTTGAGCCTTGTCCTCAGGTGAGCTAAGGTGAACCAAGGTGAACCAAGGTGGACCAAGGTGAGTGAGGCTAAGTACCTTCCTTACCCTTGATGGGAGCCTGAGGCAGCACCAGCAATTTTGAATGCCCCCAACTGACTTTCCTGACTGAGGCATCAAACATGGGTTCCCAAGGTTCATACAGTACACGCGCAACATCTTACAAGATGCATCCATGCAACGCAATGTAACGAACGAGTACTACGGGTTGGTGACCATGTCGATAGGGTTGCATCGAAATGATATGCGCGCTTGCTACCGACGGCATCTCGGCCCCCACGACCAAGAGGGAACGGATGCTTACCGAACCAACATCATGAGCCTCTTTAAGATCTTTGTGAAGTCGACCATGAACTACGTCACTTGTATCATCCTCATAAGTTGCTTACTCAATGTTGTGAGGCCTTTCGGATCACAAAGATCAGGCAATCACATCATAACTCGGCGGCTGCCTCATCTCTGAACGTTTGATCGATCAAACCATGGCCTACCAAGCTGGCCGTCCTCATTTCATCTTGAACTGTCTACGGCCAGTGATCTATCCAAACGAGGCTACGCTCATTCAATGACATCCGAGCTGTTCGGAAATCGCCCCTTTAGGTCAGCTCTGTTGCATGACTTGTATCAATCGAGCGACCTCAAGGCCTCTTCGTTCATGCGCTCGGGCAGTGCTATCACAAAATGTTTCTGCATTCAAGCAACCTGAGAGACGCAGGCCAAGAAGCAGTTAGCCGCCGACGAAACAACTTTACGACTAATTGGCCCTACAGCGGTAACTATGGACCAATAGTCTCTCACGCCTGTAACTGTCATCACAGCTTTCGCGCGCGCAACAGGTTCTACCCCTGTCAATCGCTGTCAGCCAAAAATAGAAATTCACGATTCTGCTTCCTATTGGCTACTTGGAGTTATTAGTTGTTCGATAGCGGAGATCAACCGACCTAGTGGCCGGGAATGGATGCTGCCTTGATGCAACCTCTTCTCGTCTTGTCTACCGCCAACAAACTTCACATGGTTCTCGCAGCCTTGTGTGCCAGTCAGGTTCTTCAGCAGGATATTGGCGCTCTTAGGCCCCGCCTCCACCACGCCTCATGAGCGGCACGCTACCATGTCTGGCGATGCATCGGCCCACCTAGACATAGAGTTGGGATGTGCTACTGCAAGTGCGTGCCGCCCAACTGATTCTAAGCCCACACTTCGGAAAGCCGCTCCAGCGAGTATTGGTGATTCTAGACCAGTCCTCGGGCTTTAAGACTATGACAATCCCCCGGCCAGGAGTCTGGCCCTCTTCTTCCGCATTCTCTTCTTTCCGTCTTCAGCCTTCCGTGCTGTGTTACTTCGCAGATCTGCATAGAGGCTTCGTTGATCGAGGCATCCTGTCGTTTTCACACACTTAATACTGACGCCGGTCGTCGACCAAATCTTACTATAACGACTAATACACATAGCCTTCTTGTTGCGTCGAGCCCTCGGGCAGGAGTCAGATATCGGGAATAACTGACAGAGATACGCAACATGGCTGATACACAAAACCGATACTACCCCCTGGACTCGTCGCTGGCCCGAAAGCACAGGGGGAGACTTAATCCTATAATTGAGGAGGATAGCGATGATGGTATGGTTCAAAATGGAGGTCGCAGGACGAGACGCGCCGGTAATGCCCAACTCAAGATCGAGGCATGGTTAACACCGATGAGCGATCACTTCCCTACACCAAGAGGAATGAACTATCTTTCTGCTCCTATTCTCCCATCATCACCTTCAACCGACTCGGCTGCCGACACTTCACCAACCACCTCCAGCAACCCCTGGAATCGCCATAGTGTCGCCACCGAGGCCACTGAGTTTGAGGATCTTTACGATGTGACTGATGATGAAGAGGATATGCTTAAGCGAAAGGCGTCTGCTAGGTCGAGGCAGGTCCCGACCAAGCAACCAACTCCGCTTGTCATTCCAGCAACACGCGATAACTCTGTTGAGACGTGGTCTGCTGTGGACAACATGAAGAAGTCGATGACTTCTCCAGTCCCTTTGACCCCTTCTGTCAAACTTACCATGTCACCTGCTCAGATGGAGTTCATGCACGAGCAACATGCAGCAGAGACACCAACCATGTCAGCTCCCCCATCCTTAGATGGGAGCTTGACTTCTGAGCAGCTCGCGGCTATGAGCGCCCCGCCCACACCGATAATTGGTAATGAGGATTCAAACACCGAAGATGCTTGGGCTGGCGTTCAACTACAACCCGGCGCTCTTGCTACCCTCCACGCCCTTGCTAGTGGCGAGGAGAATCTTCATGAACAGCCATCTCAAGTTCTTGAGGTGCCTGAACAACATTCTGTCCAGCCAACTGTTGAGATGCGACAACAACCACTGCGACTCATCACCAGCTTCCAGTCGCAGCCAGCTATCAGCAGGGCCTTCTCTCCCAATCCTAACCGTCAGTCTCTTGCAGACTTGACAAAGCTTGATATTCCATCTCCAGGTGGTTTCTTCTCCGGCCTGTCTCCCCGAAGCCGGAACACATGGCACATGCCCTCCAAGTCCCCCGAGGACATGCCACCACCTACGTCCACCACCGCTGAACAGTTCTACCGATGTCCCTGGAACATGGATGTTTCGGTTCCCCCTGTCCCCAAGCGTAAGGAACTCGTCGAGGACTTTTATCGTAGTGTTAGGTTTACACCCGCTCCCACTGAGCCCATCGTTGAGCAAGTCGTTGAGCTCAAGGAGGAGGATGACTTCTCGGACGACATGCCCACTGCTCGACCCATTTTTGAGCACAAGACTGCCCCCTCTACTGTCGAGTCAGCCAATGCCCCGGCTTCTCCTCAGGCTGAGGATGCACCCACTGAGATTGTGGTCGACTATGATCCTGACTATGCTCGCAAGCAACAAAAGGAGGCCCTCTCTCATTTTGATCGCACTGAACTCTGGCTCATGGCCCAGCGGTCTTACCTTCGCGGTGTACAGGATGAGTCAACTGAGGATGATGGTGGCCTCAACACCATCACTGAGGAGGCTGAGGAGGAAACTGAAGCTCTTCAAATTCAAACCGAACTTCCTCCTCTCAAGGTTCAGCCCGAAACTTCCATTATTCCTGTTAAGAAGAGTGTTCGTTTCTCCAACCTTGTCTCAACTTCTGATCACCCCAAACGTCTGCCTTCCATGCTCGTCCGCCGCGAGTCTGCCTACTATCGAGCATTCCAAGACTACATCATCCGCATCCAACGCCAGGATGTGTTTGTACACCAGCTTGCTCGATTTGAGGCTATCCAGGCTCAGCGTGTTTCCCTTAAGGAGTCTCACCGCAACCAGCTTCTCGGCAAGTACCAGCTCAGCGTCGTTCCCCAGTCCGCCAAGAAGAGACTCAGTGCCAACGTTGCTCGTGGCGATGACAACATCATTGACGACCCTGAGAAGCTGCGTCGGGAGAAGGAAGTTGAGGCCATGAACCAGATGACCGTTGCTGCGTGGCATGTTGCCGCCATGAAGATGCTCAACGGTGGCCGCCTCATCTCTGCTCCAGTGACCAAGCGACTTGCTCGTCTTTCTCGCGCGGCCCTTGGACATGATGGTACTACTCGCGAGCGCGCTAGAGTCCTTGACTTGGGCGGACAGACTACTTGCGACTGGGCGTGGCACTGCGCGCTCCAGTTCCCCAACGCTAAGGTCTACACTGTCACCACCAAGTCCATTCGTCAACTTTCCAACTGCAATGTCCGTGGTCCCCCCAACCACAGACAAGTTGCAGTTGAGAAGTTCTCTCGTCTTCCCTTCTCAGACAACCAATTCGATCTTATTTCTGCCCGAGAGCTTCACAGCATCCTCAAGCTCTTTGGTGAGAACGGAGAAGATGAGTGGGACACCTGTCTTAAGGAGTGCATGCGTGTTCTCAAGCCTGGTGGCTATCTTGATTTCTCGCTCTTGGACTCAGACATCATTAACGCTGGTCCCGTCGGACTGGCAAAGAGCGTCGAGTTTGGCTTCGCCCTCAAGACTCTTGGTTATGACCCTAATCCTACCAAGCTTTGGCTCGGTCGTCTGGCCCGTGCCGGCTTCCAGGACACTCGCCGCATCTGGATGTGTCTGCCCATGGGTGCCAGGCGAAACATGTTCAAGCCTCCCACCCCTCCTTTGAAGGACAGCCCTAATGGCCAAGATGTCAAGACCTGCCAGATGGACGCCATGGTTATGGGAAGCAGTGATGATATTGCTAGCGCTTGCAGCATTGCTGGCGGCTGGAACTGGGAGCGATGGCTCCTTCGCTGTGAGATGGAGAAGGTTGCTGGTGAGCTCCGACTCGCCGATACTACTACTACCGGAACTGCCATGGAAGAGGCTGGCAAGTGTCTGGATGACGTCGCCACCGTGTTTGAAGAAGGCCGAAACTGCAAATCCGGCTTCCGAATGCTCAGCGGTTATGCTCAGAAGCCCAAGGCTGGTACTGAGACCATCAAGATTGCTCTCCGCGAGTAGTCTGTTACATATTGAAGGTTCTCCTTTGTCAACTCGCACTCGCTTGACACTTTTCATACATGGATGAAGATTTACTTTCGGGATTGGAAATGAGAGGGGACACAATAACTAAGTATGAGAGATGATGATGGGATGCGTGATGGTTTCACGCGTAATGACGGGTGGTCAGGTCAGGTTGCATGTGTTTGGCGAATGGGGTTTGATATATCATGTTATGTGCTTACAGATACCATTGTAAATAGTACAGAACATGGTGTTCTGATCCTACTTGACGGAATAAAGGTTTCCTTCTGTATGAAGATTATTTGACCAGTAATAAGAACGATAAGACTAAACATAAGTTAATTATACAACTCAAAATCAAAGACAACTGGGTTTCTCCTCGTGTTAAATCAAGGACCGATATCAATACCTATGTTATGCTGGCCTAGGTGCAAGAAGAGGTCTCTTCGTCTAATGGCTGGGCAGGCACCTAGGTACTAAGCTAGTTTATATGATGATGCCGAAATTAAGCATAAGCCATCTTATCCTAACCTAATTATATGCTTATAAGTTAGTTGTTAAGATATTGGAATCAAATCCTCACTATTAGCATATCATATAATCTATGGCTGATGAAGTTCTTTTATTTCAGGGTAGGTCAACATCTAATGAACATAAACTTGGAGGTAGCGACAGACTGAGTGGTGCCATGCAGTTTAGAGTAGGACTCTCTATATGGAACATGATTATATGGGCGGTCATAGTGCATGAATAAGTGCCTGATATAAGTAATTCTCCATTATTGATAACCATTTTACCTTTGTTGTTGCCCACTTCCCGTCTGTTGCTATTCTAATACCCTCTGGTTTAGACCACTGAGGCAAGAAGCAATGGAATGGATGACGTTCTAAAAAGGGAAAGGCCGGGCGGGCAAAAAACGGGGACCCACATTAGCCGACAGCTTCAATCGAGTAGCTTCATGACCCATTGACGACTACACGGACGCCTAAGGAAAACCATCACCTCCAACGTCAGTCGACATATCACATCGGTTCGATTCGTCCACGCTCGCTCCGAAAATAAAACGTCACAATGTCGAACAACAACTGGCAAGAGGAAGCTATGCGCCGTCTCCGACAGATGCAACAGGCCCGTGGTGGTGTTGGAGGGGGTGGCCCTCAGATGCCCCGAGCAGCCGGTGGTGCCCTCTTTGGTGGTCTGCTACTCGCTGGTGGTGCTCTGTTCCTGTCAAACTCCTTATTCAACGTCGATGGTGGTCACAGAGCCATCAAGTATCAGAGGTTAACTGGTGTGAGCAAGGAGATCTACAATGAAGGTACGAGAAAACCAAGTTCGGAGGATTCGGCTCAGACGCTGACTTAGGGAAACAGGAACGCACATCAACATCCCTTGGTTTGAGACGCCAATTGTGTACGATGTCCGAGCAAAGCCACGCAATGTTGCGTCTTTGACCGGAACCAAGGATCTGCAGATGGTCAACATCACCTGCCGTGTGCTCTCTCGCCCACAGATTGATGCTCTGCCTCAGATCTACCGTACACTAGGCACCGACTACGACGAGCGCGTGTTGCCATCTATTGTCAACGAGGTTCTCAAGAGTGTAGTTGCTCAGTTCAACGCTAGCCAGCTCATCACACAGCGAGAGAACGTTGCCAGACTGGTCCGAGAGAACCTTTCTCGACGAGCTGCTCGATTCAACATTCTCCTTGACGATGTCTCCCTAACTGTAAGAAAATAATTGCATACTGAACGGAGAGTATTTGACTGACATCCCGCAGCACCTTGCCTTCTCTCCCGAATTCACAGCTGCCGTCGAGGCTAAGCAGGTTGCCCAGCAAGAGGCGCAACGAGCTGCTTTCATCGTCGACAAGGCGCGACAGGAGAAGCAGGCCATGGTTGTCAAGGCACAGGGTGAGGCTCGCTCCGCTGAGTTGATTGGTGAGGCCATCAAGAAGAACAAGGCCTACGTTGAGCTCAAGAAGATCGAGAACGCTCGACTGATTGCTGCTCAGCTCCAAGAGGCTGGCTCTAAGAACAGACTCATGCTTGACTCTGAGGGTCTGGGTCTCAATGTCTTCGACAGTAATGACAAGAACTGATTGAATGATATGGACGGACGAGCCGTGAAGGAGGAGAGGTGTTTATGGATTTGACGAACTCTCCACTGTATGTCTACCGAAAGGGTTGTACTATTAGGAATAATGAGGTAGAAAAAGTCAACTACCGATTCTGCTCTGCTGCAAATGGTTTTATAAAATTTGCCTTGGATTCACGAACAATAAGAGTGAACCACATTAGATGCAAACGACATCAAACACTAGCTGAGCCTCGGCCTCGGCTCTTGACAAATACACAGTAGATACTAGGTACCTATGAGTAAATGAATACCTAGGTACCTACTAAGGTAGGTAGGTAAATAAACAATCCTCAATCTAAGATCTTATTCGTCCAAGCCTTCCCATCACGAGTTGAAGAAGACGCACAATAGGCATATCGTCGAGATAGACAGCAGCTCCAGTCACTGCAAGGGTCGCCCCTCCCCCTCCGTCAGTGTTAGCCTACAACCCCACCATAGATCAATCAAGCTCAGTCAGCCCAGCAGCCGCCAATGCTTTGACCTTCACATCAGCCTCGCATACTTCAAACCTACGCGACACTTCTTTTTCTCTTTGCAACTCTCGTAAAAGCTCACGAGCACACCATATCCCAGTTCTTCACCACAGCCGCCAAAATGTTGATCAAGTACGTCACAGACCGGAATTTCGACGTCATGTCGGCAAACATGGGAGCAAACTAACACTGCGGTCACCAGGGTCCGCACATTGACCGGCAAGGAGATCGAGCTGGATATCGAGTCCGACTACAAGGTAAATTTCGAAATGCGTCGTACGATAGAAGCAGAGAGATCTCAGCTGACCGCTCGTAGGTCTCCCAAATCAAGGAGAAGGTCGAGGAGAAGGAGGGTATCCCACCCGTTCAACAGCGACTTATCCATGGCGGCAAGCAAATGTACGTTACATACAGACTTTTGAACGAACAACATGTCTTTCAGTAAACTAACACACCTTGTCTAGGACCGACGACAAGACTGCTGCTGAATACAACCTCTCCGCCGGTGACACTCTCCATCTTGTTCTCGCCCTTAGAGGAGGACGATGGATGGCATAAATACATCGAACGAATATTTGAGTGAACATAGTGGACCTCATCCGACTTAACGACTTCGCCGCTTAACAGCCGAGGATGATGAGGGACGATTATACTAGGTGGAATAACTGAGCACAGTACCACAGCTGTTGAACCTAAGGGATCATGATGTCGAGTCAGCTGGTGCAGTCATGCGCGAATACTGCTGCTAGTATAAAACATTTTCAGAAGACACGGTGATAATACCAGAAGATACGATAAAGTTGTTCTCATTAAAGCGTCTCATTTTTAGCAAGTTTGGCTACACTTATTTTTCACTTGTGGTCTTGTTGCCATCATACACATCACGAAGTGATATATGCGCCAACCTCGATATCCCGTTCTATTCCCAGTCTAATTCCACGATTACTGGACTATTTGTCCGTTAGCATTGTTGTAATTCACTTATCGCCGTTTGTTTCCCTTGCTATGGCCCGTCATACACTGTACTCCAGTAATGCAATGGGGTTGGCATTGCCCATCAAATAAACCTTCCAACAAACCGTGTCAAACATAAAAAAATAAAAACAAAGAATTGTCCTTTTAGATCTCAAGCTCTTTTCTTAGGCTTCATGAAGACATCCGTAGCCTTGCGCTTACGTGGTCCGATGCCCAAAGGAGGTCGTGCATTTGTGGCCCGCGTAGGTGAAGACTGTTCGGCTGGCTCAGGGGAAAGAGATATTTGTTTCTGTGGAGGGACAGGTGATGGCGACCGTCTAACTTGGGGAGCGAGTCTGGGCCGTGAAGATGTTGCAGTTTGAGGCTTAGGACCTTTGTAGCTGTTGGATAGAAGACCAGTGCGTTTCACCTTGCTTGTAGACTCGCTGGGACCGGCAGCAGGCTTCTTCAGGGGAGACGCAACCTTCCGACGGGGTGACGGCTTTTCATCGTCAAACAGATCATCCCCATCGTCAGAATCAGAGTCCGAGATGTATTGCGCCCGTGCCTCGTGGGTTTCAACTACGTCAGGGATTGTTGGCTTTGGTGGAGGAGGGGGCGGAGGTCGTAGTGTTGGCCTGGCGGCTCTCTGATAGTCGTTCACCATAGCTGCAGGTGCCTTGCGGAGTTTTGTGATAGCATTTGATGCTTGTGTTGGTCTTGACAATGCGCCGTGGATACTGGCAATCTCCTTCGTCTCTCGTCGTACTTTGCGCATGACGCTTGCACCATTGTGAGTCTTGGTACGGCTTCCCCTGTTGAAAGCGAGCGTACTGCCATTGGGGTCTCGCGCGCCGAATCCCCAAGCCTTCTTTGGACCGATTCTGCCGCCTCGGGGCAAAAGTCTTCTGTCATCGACAATCTTGCTGGTGTTCTTCTCCTTGTCCTCCCTGAGTCCCATGAGAGCATCCTTGAGCTTCGCCTCACTTTCCAAGAGGGCTTTCTGGTGATCTGACTTGTATTTCTCATAGACACGATACCATTTAGTAGGGTTTGGTGGTTTATATGCCTTTTGCTTGACTTCCATGGGAAACTCATGCTTGATAAGCTTCAGCCATACCTCGCCTGTCTCTCCCTGGATTTGGGGCGAGTTCAGTTCGATGGTTCGTAGTTGTTTAGCGTTGTCGATCTTGAGGAGAAGGAGGCGGACGGCTTTATAAGGAAGATAGTCGCCAACGCTGTCGAGTTCGCGGATGTTTTTGATGCATGCCGCAGTGGCAAGTTCCAAGAGGGACTTGGCTGGCATCTTGAAGCTCGGAGTAATGTGTTGAAAGTTTGTTCATGCGTTTGGTAAGTTTGTGCGATCGTTATGGTGTAGATAGCGTGAGATATAGTGTTCCGTGATACTTGTAGCGACGTCTGAATGGCCGTGGTACAGTTGAGGAGTAAGACGGATTAAGGCAGGGTTATATAAGGTAAGGTAGTAGCACAGTGGAAGAAAGAAGAGTGATTAAGTGTTGAGCCCCTTGGACAGGCAGCCAAGCATTGCTATAAAGGAAGCAACAGCATCGTAAATGTGTGACAATCCGAGAAAGTTGAGATGTTGAAAGGTACTCGAATGTCAAGGGAAGCCTTTGTATAAGGTCTGAGCCACGACGTAGTTGTCAGGGATGTGATAGGTGAGGCTTCTATTAGCAGCTGGGGGCTATAGGCTTTGCCCCATCGGATTAGCGTGAAGTTAAGATGGCCGATCCTCAAGACACTTACTGACATAAAGAACATAGAACTTACCATTAATTGAGGTGTGACCTGTCATTAGATTGGATAATCGCGGCTGCTATTCCTATGCACATGCTGAGTTACTAACGGCACCATTCAGTTGCAGGCTTTACTGTGCGAGCCGATCGATAAGCCACCTACTGACAAAGGCGGTTCTGTCCGATGATCCAATCAGAGCTCTACACCTTTATACCAATACCGTGTACCTAGCATTCTGGTACTGTATCAAGCATAAGGGTGTGGAACGTGCCTGGGTCTCCACTCAAAGACATCATTCACGAGCTCATAGCCATTCCCTGGCGCGCGAATCAACAAAGCGCATACAAAGTTCCTCCTTCCTATACAAAGGCGTCCTAAACTTTGGATAAACTTAGAAATCTAACTATTTCTCACCCAGTATCTAAGGTCCCTCGACTTCGCATCTCCAATTATTCCTCCTCCTGCACACGATCTCGACCAGCATCATGGCCGATTCCTTCATCAAGCAGGAGCCCTACATCAAACCCGACCCTGAGGCGTCTGGTTCTCCTGCGCAAGTGGACGAAGAAGATCTGTATGAAGATGCCGGCGACCTCGAATTCTACGACAAAAACGCCGGCGCTTTCGAGCAACTCTACCTCGCGCGCGTGCCTCGATACATGTGGGAAGCTTGGTCTAAATTGACGGAGCGACTCGGCGACGACGACGAGATTCAAATTGGCACTCTGCGAACGTGGAATGAACAAAAGCCGGATGGCAGCGCAGATGTATGCATACCTGATAAGATATCATGGCATCATACTGACATACATAGACCAAACTTCGCATGCTTCTCTCCGCCAACTGCCCAGAGCATCAGGTGTTGCCTCGCGAATATGACCTAGTGGTCCAAGAGCACAACGTTAGCAACCACTTCATTTTCAGCGAGGAAGATTTGCCCGGTTTCAAGGCTCGAAGCAAGGCGCGACAAGAGGCTGCTAATGCTGGCATCCCTGCCTCGTTGTTGAGGCAGAAACAAGGCAACAGCAACGGAGCAGAACGACCGAGTTACGACCGTAGGAGCCGATATCAACCATACTACCGAAAAGCTGTCCCGAGTAAGCTTGCTTTCGCATAATCGTGCCACGAGTAAGTGCTAACACAGCATCACAGAAAAGACAAAGATCTTTGGCAAGATTCACTATGACGTTCGTGTTGAGCCCCACGGCAAAGATGAGGAAGAGCGGGTGCTTCAGCAGAAGATTCTGGATGCAGAGGCGAACAAGTCCAAGGTCCGAATCATCAGTCGACACGCAGCTTCAGCTGTAGTGAACCCTGGAACTACCCGCGCAGCCGAATTTGGAGACAGCTTCATCGTAAGTTTTGTTCCCGCACAATCTTTCACTCTCGGTTATGTTAACAAACGTTCCAGAAAAATATTGCTGGCACAGCCAAGCCAAAGAAGGGCGAGGTGTTCAAGGCAGCTCGTATTCCAGAGAACCAGCTTCTGGATCTTATCTTCGAGTGTTTCCGTCAGTATCAGTATTGGTCAGTGAAGGCTTTGCGACAAAAGCTTCAACAGCCCGAACAATACCTTCGACAGGTGCTCGAGAAGATCGCTGTTCTCAACAAGAGTGGCCGGTTTGCCAACCAGTACTGCCTGAGCGATGCCTACCGCGACAAGGGTGGCGCAGAGGCCCAGGAGGCTGCTGCTGAAACTGTTGATGACGACGACGACGATGCGGAGATGGAGGATGTGTTGCCCGTCTCCTAATATCAGCGTCGACAGAACCCTCTAGAGAGAAGGACAAAAAGGGGTAGGATTTTATTTCAAGGATAACGAACGGAGGGTCATTTAATGTGGTGTTCGAAGGATTCAGGGTAGGGTTTTTAGAGCGTGATACCCTTCTAGTCTTATAGATTACCAGCTGTAATCAGTCATTCAGCGAAATGTTTTGAGAATCGTGCACGAGTCGCTCGTCAACTGACGCTATCTTTATATTATCCGGTCTGAGATAGAACTTAGACTCTAGAATTCTCGGCCGAGCTACTCTCACACTTGGTTATCATGATCCACTCACTATTTACCTAGAACACAACTACCTACGTAATAACTTCCCCGCAGTAACTAATACACTCTAAATTGGTCGGAGGCGCTTTCCAATCGCTATAAGACTGGATCAGCTGCTGTCCAAGGGTTGGAATCGCCTACTTTGCTCAGATGTTTGCATTCATATCCATTCTTCTCCTCTTGATCACCCGAACAACCCCGCTTACAACCAAGACTCGAGACAACATTTACTATCCTACCTGTCCCAAGATGCATCTGGTATTCGACTTTGACGGCACAATCACCCAAGAAGATTCTATCGGGGAGCTTGCTCGCTCAGCTCTCGAGATACAGAGGAATAAATATGGCCATGACCTCCAGGCTTCTTGGGACCAAGTGGTCCAATCCTATGTTGCCGATTACAGACACTACAAAGACAACCACCCATCACCAGAGGTTACACGAACATCTGTGGATCATGAGATCGAGTTCCTATCAGGAATGAAAGACGTGGAAGAGACGTCTCTACGACGCATTGCCGACTCACGCATATTTGCTGGCCTAGACGCTGAGACGTTGTCGCAAGCTGGTGCTGACGCTGTTAAAGCCGGTAGAATCAGGATCAGAGACGGATTTACGGATCTTATAAGCCTTGCAAGACAGAGAGGCTGGAATGTGAGTGTCATATCGGTCAATTGGTCTCGAGCCTTTCTACGAGGAGCTCTTTTACCGCATAAACTTGACGTTATTGCCAACGAGCCGGCTTCGGACGGAACAATCAAAGGACCAGAATTTTTCGAAGGGAGGATGACCAATGTATGTGAGAAGAAGAAGGCTTTGAAACATATCATCAACGAAAAAGATGGGAAGGTAATTTACTTTGGGGACTCGACAACGGATATGCAGTGTCTGCTTACAGGAGGAGTGGTCATATCGGACAACGAGGAGTCTTCCTTGTTAAAGACTTTGAGAAGGGTAGGGGTTGAAGTGCCACATGCTGGAGAGAAGGGCAATGGTAAAATCTTTTGGGCGAGGGACTTTCGAGAGGTACTGGATAGTGGCTTGTTAGAAGCATAAGGCTGACCACAATCTTTCCGGATTCTGAAAGAGTCTTGTATCTCTTTGTTGTTCGTAAAAATAGCATCAGGATGTACATAGTTTTTCCAACATCAAAGCGTTCAACAAAGCGTGCATGCAACGGGACACAAGGCTTGTGATGACAAGCCTGGGAGCTCACGGACGCTCGCCGAATTAAGTACCTTTTAATATATTTGCGTTTCCTAGTCCATTTAATATTCACACGGGATGAAGTCACTGGATGCATTGAAAGGAATTTAAGTAAACTTGGTCCGCCACATATCATCTGTTGTTTTGTTCTGGAATTGCTTATTCATGCACGTCACTTGTCACAATGAATCAACAAACAAAGCTTTGATGAACATAAGAACAATTCACTCTTCCAATACTGATATAAGAGCGATAAAATGCTCGATTCTTTACCAAGTTTCCTCTTCCAGCCCAGGAATACCCCATCACTACTTCCAAGCTCATTACCCAAAAGATTATCAATATGTGCGTCTATGGACGAGTCGTTTTCCAATGCGCCCACGAGCGATGGGGCATCTGTGTGAAGCGATGCCAAACGGCCAAAGACTTCCACGACGGAAAATTAAATCATGACTGTGTCATGAAGAAGCCTCATGTACCGACTTCGCGGAGAGTACAGACGGATTGCAACAAATGTACCACGATGAATGGCAAACTCGTCAGGGCAAGGAAGAGCATTGACGACGTTAAACAAAAGCTGAAGAGAATAGAAGAGAGGAAGATCAGAGAAAGAAAGATCGATAACAGGAAGACAGAGAAGAGTAATATTGAAAAAAGGGATAGTAACGAAACGGACTCTTCGGGTTTTGGAACGGGACTTGGGAGTATTACTGAGGAGAGTGAGGATGAGGATAAGTCTACGAATGATGGAACAAGTCAAAGCGGTTCACAAGTCTCCAAGACTTCAAGAAGTGCATAAAACAGTAAAACCGAATTATCAACTGTCAGAAGATAGCGAGGAGCCCTTTAATGTTTTCAACGAAAGCCAGCAACTCGTCTGACTTCCCTCAAGTGTCTCGAGTGTACGATAACAAAACCCCGAAATTTATCTGCACCCATTCACTTATGATTCTATATACGTAAAGCCTAGAACATCACAGCCGACTCTGCTATCATTGCCAACGTTCTCGTAGTCTATATCCTTGTAACTCTACCTTTTATCATCTTATGAGTGTCGATATGTTGTTTGTCAACCAACCTATCTAATAATTGCTTCATATGGCCGTCATTGCTGAAACCACCAACTGTCAGAGTTCGTATAAAACGACATCTGATACATTGGGCAGCAAGATTGAATGATTTCTTACCTTAAATGGCTATGAGTGCGAGGAATGAGTCCCGTGATGTTGGGTGCATGCCACTCTATCCGAACCTGCGCCCCAATCTTTACGCCCGAGATAAACCCAGAATGGCAGCTCGCTAATATCAGGCTCTCAAAACAGGAACCAATCCGGCTTTATCTCTTGCCCCCGGATCTAAGCCACCTCCGATCCGCTCCGTGCGGGTCCGCCCCGGAGACTCAACCGCCGTCTTATTCGCCGATCCGAAGCCGGCCAACAGGCCTGTCAGCCGATTTCTAATTAAACGGAAACATGCAGCGAGGCTGAGGGAATCTATCCCAGCCCTCGAAGTGGTCCCATGACGGTGTTATGCATTGCCCGAAACCCTCGATGGAGAGTTGGGCTCTCGACGAGCAAGGCACCCTTGTTTGGGGGCTGAAGAGCGATGTCTTGGCAGTCAGCGTTCAGGACAATTCGACAATTCATAAACAAGCTTGACCCGCCGCTGGACGCTCAATGACATTGCGTGCATTGCATAGGGGTTAACAACTAGCTATATTCCTCTCGCTTACGGAGTACTTTCGGCATCTCCCCACCAACACTATCAACTCAATCTCAACAACTTCAGGTTCTCATGAATCCAGAGTTCTCCACCCCATTCATTAGGGTGGCCGTTCTTCTCAAGTCCCGCAAGATTACGCTATCAGTCTCTGGAGGAGGCGCAAAACCGCCTTAATGGGGCTGGTACACCACGGCCTAGACCTGTTCAACTACGATCAGAAAACCTGCTCTAACCAAGTTCTGATCACCGCAAAGGATACTCCGTCTAACATTGAATATGACGAGTATGTTGTCTACAAGCGGTCAGAGGAGCCTGGAGCTCCATCCATACAGCGAGATCCCTGGGTAGATGATGACGATCACATCACCCATCACTTTACTCGCGATGATGCTTCGGGAACAGCTCTTTTTGACTTAGCTTTTCGGCGTGGGCATATGCTTGATCGTGAAGTCAGTCGAATCCATTGAACAAAGAACGGTGAACTAATTTTCTAAAGGGCAGTTTTCGAAAACCAGACGATGATGAAGCACCATCAGCCGGCATGGAAGGCCGAATCCGTCGAGTGTAAGTTTCAACAGCTGAAACTCAAGGTCTCTTGACTAATTGGACACAGAATCTGCTTCAAGCGTAAAACTATTTACGATGGTGGTCGAGACATTCTAAGCATGACGGTTAATGACCTTGCTGCCATGAACCTTCATCCTGCCACGCTACAATACTCAACTCGAACTACCACAGAATCTAGATTTTGGTCAAAGGACAAGTCTCAGCTGAGTAGGTTGCTTCAATGCCACACTATACCTTTAGCTAATAGTGTAGGTATTATCCTCGCATTCTCAGAGATGCCAAAGACACCATGTGACTTTCTCTCCATGACATATGATGTCCGCGAACGCTCTGCGACAATCCTTGTCCGACAGTCATGGGAGCCAAGACGACACAACCTTGATGACCTTGACGAATATGATCATCGTCTGGAGTCATGCAGAAATCATTGGGCGCACCCCCTCATCATGCCTGTCGTGCTTCTCCAAGTGCAATTCATGCGATGCGAAGAGGCTGTTATCGAGAACAACTCCAACGTGGCTCATTTGGAATACGATGTCAGCAATATTGCCGGTTTTGATGCTACAGAGACTGGGAGACGTCTCAGTCGCACATTCAGCAACGGTAAAGATGGCGAGAGAATTGCTTGGGGCCCAAGCACCATGACCAAACTCATGAAAAGGGCACACGAAGTTCTCAAGGACACTATTAAACTGCTGGATACTATTCGTTGGATGGAGAGAGCTATCAAAGTGTTGATCTTGGCAGGAGACGAGTTGAATGAGCGAATGGGAAATTATTCCAACTTTGGCAATGATCTCAGTATGTTGAGTCCCATGGTAATTGACCCTCTAGGGGGACCACCTGCAGTGAGTCCAGTTCTGCCGCCCAGAGATCTCCCTAAGCTTCGATTGCCTGATGAAGTGACGGATGGTGATTCTCTGGGGCCCCATTGGCATGAGATCAGGCAGTATCTTGATGGTTTATTGCGTCTTTGCATGGGTCTTGAGACGGATAGACGCATGTCGGAGGCTAGATGCCGTGCTCAGATTGATATGGTAAGTGTTATGAAGTCAAAACACAGAACAACAACTAAAAACAGCAGATCTACAGTAAGATGGCCCAGGAAGACAATATCCTGAACGCTCGAATGGCCGTAGCATCCTCACGCGACAGTTCCTCCATGAAAGCTCTCGCCGTGATAACCGCTATCTTTCTACCCGGCGAATTCCTCGGAACTCTCTTCGGCATGTCCATGTTTGACTGGCTCGGCCCAGATGAAGAAGACGACGATTCCTCAGGCCCCATGACCGACCAGGTCAAGGTAAACCGCTTTGGAGAGAACTTCTGGTACTATTGGGCCACCGCCATCCCACTCACTCTTCTAATCTTGTTTGCCTGGCGAGCCTGGTGGGTTACTCAAGATCGATATTTTAGACGCCATCTTTCGCAAGAACTCAGCGAGGAGCGGTTCTGGACGGCCGATGGAAAGCCACGCAAGCTGGAACGAAGTTTTATCTGGGATTTCTTCTACCTTTCCGCGAGGCGTGATGAGAAGCCACGGCCTGAAGATGAGCTGGCTGAGCTTGAGACTATCAATTCTGGGGTGAAGGAAGGGTATGATGGGGGATTGACTGGGGCTACCAGTATGAGGCAGAGACAGATTTTGGAGACGAGGAAATGGAGTCTTCATCAGAGAGGGACGAATGTCACTGTTTAGATACAGTGAAGGAGCAAATCGCTTTTGAGCCGCCTCTGGGCACGGTATTGTTGCTGTTAAGGATGTTCAAGTTCGAGAGATGTAGCTTATGATTTAACTTAATTTCATGTAGTGTCTGAAGGTTGGGTATAGAAGGTCAGGTTCATTATCTTTTACAGACGGTTTGCAGTACGGGCAAGACTACATATCGAGGAACATGATAATTAACAAAAATATTCTTTCAAGCCCAACTACTGGGGTAAAAATATCATATCTTGTATTAGATATTGAGTCGCAATGAAATGCCACCATTGATAGAAAGCCATGACCTCCAGTAATGGTTGGCCGCATCCCAGCTCTACGTAGTAAGGGCCGCGAGTATGAGAAGCCGTCATCTTTTGTCATACATTCGTCCATGTGGCAATTCAACAACTAAGGTTGGCTATAAGACTTCAGTTCAAGCGATGCCGTCCCGTGTTTATGGGTCATAGGCTCCTGCTATAGTGAACGAGTTGTGTTTGATGCCTCTGGATGACAAGGGGTTGGCCAAAGCGACATCCTAGCGAGGTGTCGGGATTCGGAGGATATAAGCATGTCTCGGATCAGAGATAAACTGCAGAGTTTTCGATGCAAACAGGGCTACCGAGAGCTTACGAATCGAGTTTGTCAATGACTGGAATGCAAGTCGTGAATTGGAACGCCATGTGAGGGCATGGCGATGGCCTCGCTAGTTTAGTGTTGGTGTCAGCCATCTACAATCACGAAATTTAGTCATGGCTTCTCTACCGTAAAGAGTATGAATCAGGAACAATGAAGAGAGAAAAACTATTTATTTCAAATCACCAAAGCTTGGACGTTGTGCAGGCTGATCTAGAGAGCACACGTTGAACCGATTTATCCGTTATTCATGAGTCCAGATTGAATCTCGGCGACGCCTTTACTAACGTTCATCTTCTGGATCATGATCTAGACCCTTGATACGAGGGCAGTTGATTTTGTCTCAATTTTCTTATTAGAAGTGAAGACAATATTGAAAAGTTGCAGTTGTGAATCATTGGAGGGGTCTTTGCACCCTTCAGACGCGGGAGCGCAAGGGTGAGACGAGACATTACCGGGAGCGGCGTCTTGTCTTTGCATATCCTTACAGTACAGTAAAGGGTTGTTTTGGAGTGATTCAGGAACAGGGAGTTCTTAATTGATGTTTCTCCCTTTGTTAATTTGATATATAGACAATATTCAGACCCTCTACGGCAATGAAGGGATCCCCAGAAACAATCGCTTTGTGATATACCCACTTGCGAACAATAACTTGTGCTTAATTAGGAAGGGAGGAACCGAAAACGCGCCAGGAACAGAAAGGAAGGTACAGAGATCGATCAAACGGAAGGAGGCTTACGCAGGAACAACTGACAGATCCCGACGCCATTCGGTACTTAGGGAAACTCTAACCCTTCATCATCATGACCCACTCACAACCACATCATGAGCTTCACGCCCACAGCCTCTTTTCAAGCCCATCAAACTCTACTTGGCTCTATTGTGCCGCCTTAAAAATACAAAAGATGCCAAGTTACAAAGATTGACAGCCACCAACATGTCTTAAACTCCGGCCATTCCCCCTAGCGCCATGAACCACTGGTTCCAGACACTAAGCGCATTCCTGATCGAGGTCCCAAGACATACCAAGTCCACGTTTTAGGGGCTTGTGGCGCTCGATAAGCTCGAATGATCTTCTTGTCATGTCTCATCCGGCGTCAGAGCATTCCCAGTCGAGAACGGCATCGTCTCGACTGAAGCCCAGCGTTGCTTTCCGTAGCATGCTTGGAGGCTTCATTAGACCGACACGCGGCCAAGCTACGCTTTCGTCGTGATGCTGTACTCTTTCAGGGTCACCTAATTCTCCCATACCTCCATTGATCAAGTGGCGTCTCTTCATCATGTTCAATGTCATAAATTTGCCCCAATTCCCTTGTCTCAGACCTTGGCTCCCCTTCTCTCCCAGTTGATCTCACCCTTAAGCCATTCCTTTTTCATCACTACCCAACCCACGTCATTCGTTCCTTTACTTCATCTCGTTCCTTAAAGTATAGTGCTTCATAGACTACCCTCCGGTTCCGTCACCTAGCCTTTGTCTCATAACCAGCCCGGCTTCAGCATCTTGTCTCAGCTTGAACTCCCTCGCAAGACAGTTAGGCCCCTTGGACTAGCTGAGTACTATCTCACACATCACGAGGTTTCACTCCTTTACAAACAGCTTGTCGTTATAAGAAGCACTTATACTCGCCAACTTGAACTTGACTTACCCATACTATCCATTGTCTAGGCTTCTTTAAGTCAGAGGACATTTTACATTACGGGCTTTCTTTCATCTTGAGATTCATATCAGTATAACAGATATGCTCAAGCAACTCATCCTCATCGCGCCGCTCCTGGTGCAAGCACTGGCTGTGCCTGCAGTGGAGCCCAGACACCAACATCTTCATGGACACATCGAGCATACACATGGTACCAAGACCAAGATGACCACGTCTGTTCGCCGCGAAACAGAACAAACTGCCGCACCGCAGTTCATTCCACCCAAGATGCCTTACGCACTTAACCCTAACACCAAGATCCGCAAAACCACCACTACCGCCGCTGATTCAAACAATCCCAAAGAAACCATCGTTCCTGAGTTCATCCCACCCAAGATGCCTTTCGTAGCAAAGGCATCTTGGCAAAAGTCGACTAAGGATCAGGACAGCTCTGACAAGTCCGCCTCAGTTGCATCTGTGAACAAGAAGAAAGTAGTCGCCAAGGTCCAGGACGAAGATGACGACAACGACAAACAGCCAACTTTCATTCCGCCTAGGGCGCCTTTCCGAGGATCTCGCAAGCCTCAACAAAGTCAAGTTGCCACTCCCCGAGATACAGTCCCCCAGTTTATTCCTCCACGAAACCCCTGGGCACAGTCTAAGCACAACACTCGTTCTACAGAAAGCGACGACCAGGACGCTTCTCAAGAAACTGCCATTCCTGATGCCGACCAGCGAGCTGGTAGTGGCGATACCGAAGCCGCTCCTGCGCCTGAGCTACTCCGGCGCGACGAGGAAGCTGCAAACAACGAATTCTTCGATGAGGAGGATGAGGATGACTACAACCCTGAAGATTTCCCAAACCTGGGTGGCCCTGAAGAAGACGAGGACGGTTCGAATGATGAATCTGAGAATACTCCTGCCGGAAACACATCTGGGCAGGCAAACCAGAACGCTGAGTCCACCGACGCCCAGGATGATAGCAGCGCAAAGAACTACTTTGGTGGTGACTTTAATGATGAGGATGACGCCAACAACGCACCTACTCGCCTAGAGGCTCGGGGTGTTGGAAAGCGGAACATCCTCTACTTCACAAACTGGTGAGTTGTGGCATACCTCTGTGCAACTAATGGGTGTTAATAATGAAGAACTAGGGGTACCTATGGGGCGAACTTCCAGCCCCAAAATTTGCCGGTAAAGGAGATCACACATGTTCTATACTCCTTTGCTAAGGTGAACCCTAAAGACGGAACTGTGTAAGTACATCATTCTCACAATTATATGATACGTCCTAACAAAGCGTTAGGTTTTCATCAGACTCTTACGCCGATACTAAAAGACTCTATGCTGGTGACGCTGGGGATGGAAATAACGTTTATGGATGTGTTAAGCAGCTTTACATTCTCAAGAAGAAGAACCGCAATTTAAAGGTGATTCTACTACCAAGACTAAAAAGCCTGATGTGAAAATACTAAGACGTACGAACAGGTGCTACTTTCAATCGGCGGCTGGAATAACAGTCCAGATCTTGCCACTGGTGTGAGCACCCAGGACCGTCGCAAAAAGTTCATCTCTTCCGCCATAAAGCTAATCACCGACTGGGGCTTCGACGGAATTGATGTCGATTGGGAGTATCCTGCCAATGCCCAAGAAGCTCGCAACTATGTCTTAATACTCTCGGGTCTCAGAAAAGCCCTCGACCAGTACTCAAAGACCAACAAACTGAACTACCACTTCATGCTTACCGTTGCCACATCGGCTGGTCCAGCGAACTATAAAGTCATGGATTTGAAAGGAATGAACCCATGGATTGACGCTTGGCATCTCATGGCTTACGACTATGCTGGTTCCTGGGATACTACTACCGGTCATCAGGCCAATGTTTTCGTTTCCAAGAAGAACCCTCTTTCAACCAAACTCGGCACTGATAAGACCATTAACGACTACCTCGCGGCAGGAGTTTCCCCAAACAAGATCCTCATGGGCATGCCTCTTTACGGCCGTTCATTTCTTAAAACCGCTGGACTTGGCAAATCCTACTCAGGTGTTGGCGGAAACTCGGAGGGAACTTACCTTTATAAGGAGTTGCCACGTTCTGGTGCCAAGGCTACCTATAATGCAGACCTCATAGCCAGCTATTCATATGATAGCAAGACGCGGGAACTCGTTACTTACGATGATCTGAAATCGGGTCAGGCCAAGGCCGGTTATATCAACCAGCGAAACCTTGGTGGTGCTTTCTTTTGGGAGGCGAGTGGAGATAAGGTCGGATCCCAGAGCATCGTTGCTGGTGTAAAGCGCACATTGGGCACTCTTGAGACGGTCAACAATCTTTTGAAATATCCCACGAGTGCATACGCCAACATACGAGCTGGAATGCCGTCTTGATTTGGCGAACAGCGCTGGCTACTTTTCTTTTGTGCTGGACTTTGCATGGATGCGTGCGGGATGGGTTTGGAGTCTTGGTCAATATTCCCTTTGTCGTTTGTATTTTTGGGATGATGTGATTGGGATCTTGTCACTGTATAGAATTTAGAAAAGCCCTCGTTACCTTGTATGATAGTACACTCGTTCACTTGAAAGGATCTTGTCATGAGTTAAGGATGATCATTACGAAACCCAGGCATAAGTTTTAGCTTGTATAGTACATATTTCAATGGTAAGCGCAATTTTGCTATCATAAGTTCTCACGGGCCCAAGAGGTCCGGCCAGCGCCACGGTAGATACCTAATGTTATATCAAGTACAGATATACAAGACAGACCGTATTAATTATTCAACTGTGGATTTCACTTGCCTCTAATCTACAAGCTAGTTTTCCATCGCGTAGGCATAAAGCTTAATGTCCTACATCCAGCCTTGGTGATCTGAGACAGTACTTAAAACTCTTAATAAAAAGCAATTCCTATAACCCCCCATTGCCGAAGAAAGGGAATAACTCCCTATGATAACAAAGACGCGCCATTCTCCGACGTCTTGAACCAATTCCGGTCGTTCAGTAAAACCATTCTTTCCCACTTTTCAATAGAACTCTTTTTCCTCCGGCTCGCCAAACAGGGGTGCGTTCTACATATCCTGGCCCTGGGGAGTTCCAGAAGCTTCAACGCCGTGGAAAGCGTCTCCAAATGCTGAGTCGTCCATGTCCATGCCGAGATCTAGACCCTCACCCAGCTCGCCTGCTGCGCCGTCTAGCGTAGGGCCGTCAAAGTTAAGGGCATCACCTGCTGTGTCGAGGTCGCCGAGGGAGCTGAAGTCGTTCTGGTCAAAAGAGACAGAGCCGCCGGGTGTTCCGGCTGCTGGGGTGGCGCCAGCAGACGCAGTCTTAGCTACTGACTTGGCAGTGTCAATTCCTGCAGCAGTGGGTGTGTTTGTGTTGACAGAAGCAGCATCCGAGCCAGGTCCCTGATTCGCTTGATCGTTCGCAGTGCCATCTTTAGGCACAACTACCCAGTCTCCACTGCCAGTCCCTTGATCTGGCGCTGTAGTGTGGTCCTTTGGTCCCTGAGTCCCGCCCATCGTCACGTCATCGCTAGAGCTAGCTGCGTTGGCATTGGAAGGTGTTCCAGCTCCAGACTGAGCTGCTGACAATTGAGGCTGAGGAGTTCCAAAGTTGTTCAGGGGCGTAGAGGTATTGGAAATGCCAGTGTGCATCTGATCGAGCAACCCAGCAGCAGTGCCACCCATATCGATATCAGATTCGCCAATCATGATGCCGCTGTTCTGCGAGCCAGATTGTGACGGCTGACGCGATAGTTGCGAAGCGTCAGGCTGAACGGGTTCTGGTGCTGGGGGCTGATATCCTCCATCTTGAACACGAGATACTGTCGACTTGATATCGACCTTCTTTCCAGTAGCATTCTCGACCTCAGATACTATCTGTTCGACCGTTTTTGTGCTGACGGGACGAGGAGCGGCATCCTCATCGTGTGGGTCAACCTTGCCCTCAATTCGCCAAATCTCAGTGCCTGTGCCCTCGACAATGCTTCGGAGCTCCTTTTCCTTTGTGCTGAGGATGGAGTTTTCCTTGAACTTTGCAAGAGCTGCGGCATGGTCGGCCTGCATCTTCTCTATCTCGGCCTTGGTTGACTCAATGTGATTATGGACTCGCTTGCGGAATTCATCGGCCTTTTCAGGGTCTAGACGACCGATATAGGGCTTCTCAGGTACAGAGTTGAAGGCATCGACTCCTTGCGCGGGAAAGATTCCTTCAGTCAAAGATGCCAATTCGCCCTTGAAACCAAGGTTGAGATCGGCAGGGGTGATCTGGCTTATCCTATAAGGAGATGAGAGGATCTCTTCCATCCACTCGTGGTTCTGCTGGTATCGGCTCATAGAAATCTCTCTTGGAGTGAGGTGATCAAACATATCTCCTCGGGAAACATCTTCTTCATCGTCGAAGGCAGCGTCTAGCTGAGGCATTCCTGGTAGGGGGGGCTGGCCACTCTGGCCCGCAGCGTGCCTCGCTCGTTTGGCAGGAGGGCCCGGTGCAGGTTGTGTGGGATATGCCATCTGTTGAGGAACGCCTCGAGGGGCCATCTGGGGAGGTACCGGCTGACGGGTGAGATCAGGCAGGGTAGGCCAGTTGACTCGGTCGGATAACATGAATTCCTTGCGACGAATCTGGCCAGCGCGTTGCAAAAAGTGGCGCTGCTGCATGATGCTGTTGACCCTTTCGTCAAAGGGAATCATAGAGACAGGAACTCTGTCATTCGGTTCGGCGGGTCCGTAATGCACGATGAAGAGGCCGACGTCTGGTTGAGGAGGGTTAGGATGACCAGGGATAGGGACTAGTCGGCATCGTCGACGGGCGTGGAGAGCGTACTGCTCGCCGGGGATGTAACCAGCTTTCTGGTAGTAAATCTCGAGCATCTAGTGAGGTTCAGCATGCTGTCCCTTCATCCATTTCTCAATTTGTCCTTACCAGTCCATTGCCCAGATCATGCTTGTAGGCCTGTTCCGGAGGCGCCCAGACATAACCATCGGTTGCGAAGGTTGTTCCCAGACGCTGAAGGGGTTGCCAGGTCAAAAGTATCGTGCCGTCTGTAGGTTTATCTAGATATGTCCAGAAAAAAGGCGCCCGGTCTCGCGCGACTTGTGGTGCAGCCAGGAGCCATTTAGCAACCTCGTTTAGGTCAAGTCGAGGCATTACAGGGTATCGAAATGAAGAGATCAGATGGACATGGGGCATCTAAAGGACTGTCAGAAAAATGTTGCGATGCTATTACATCGTTGCGCGTATGCAATACATACGAGGTCCTGAGGGACGCCCTGGCTAGGATCCGGTTGAGCCATAGTGGGCGAGCGTCGCGATGGACGATACAAGGCGTGTCGGTATCTCTAGTTATGCGATTGATGATCTCCGAGGATGCGCGTTCCTAAGCATTTAGCGCGCTGAAACGATAAAGATGGTTTGACTTTGGAAAGGTGAGGGAATGGCGTGGCGCAATTAACGATATGACCTGCGATGGAGTTGTTAGAAGTCAATGCCCTTGCGCGGCTCCAAACTTCTCGCGACGAGGCTGCGAACATGCAGATGGCCAATCAGAGCCACCCAACTGGGCAAGTAAAAAGCGGGTCCCAAGTTCCTGTCTTGGGAGGCAGAAAGAGGTCGTCGACAAGCAAGTTCTGTTGATTTATAACAACTTGTTCATTGATGATAGATTGTATTGTATCTTAACAGATTGCCTCCGGGCACGAATGATCCTAAAAAGTATTGAGCAGTGCGGATGAAGAATCTCATACAGAATCACAAGTCAATCATTCCCAAGTGGAGCAACTTGACCTCATATTATTGCGTGAACTACAAATTGAGTCCTACAACGGTTAACACGACCAGGAACTCTAACTTTTCACCGATCTGAGTATTTCATTGGGAAAATATTATTTGTTTTTATTTTCATGCTTCTCATCAGGTTCTAAACGCGGACCTGAATTTCATCACTTAAGCTTTCTTAATCCATACCAGCCCATTCATCATTATCCTTGCAGCGTTACCGTGTTCTGTGTACCAAAGCACAGATTTTTATAAAACGCAGCGATCGAGCTTCGTACAGCCCGGTAGTATTCATTCTTTAACCAATCATAATTCCTTCTCTTTACCCCGACAAGCAGCAGCTTAAGCCTGGTAGGTAGAGGCAGAGACATTACCACCACGGCCGGTCCAGTTGACGTGAATGTCCTGGCCGTTGGGGTACTTGTCGCTAGCGTTCTCGGGCTTGATGCGGAAGGTGTGGGCACCGAAGTAGTCACGCTGAGCCTGGAGAAGGTTGGCAGGGAGGTCCTTGGTGCGGTAACCGTCGAACCAGGACAGAGCGGTAGAGAAGGCGGGAGTGGGGATACCAAGGAGAGCAGCCTTGGAAACAACGTCTCGCCAGCCGGGCTGGGCCTTGTGGATAGCCTTGTTGAAGAAGTCGTCAAACAGAAGGTTCTGGAGGTCGGGCTGGGAGCGGTAGGCGTGGGTGATGTCCTTGAGGAAGACGGATCGGATAATGCAACCACCTCGCCACATGAGGGCGATGGAAGGCTTGTTGAGCTTCCAGTTGAACTCACGGGCAGCTTCCTGCATGAGCATGAAGCCCTGGGCGTAAGAGATAATCTTGGAGGCATACAGAGCCTGCTCGAGGTCCTCAAGGAACTGCTCCTTGTCACCCTCGAACTTGGTAGTTCGGCTGACGAACTCGAGCTTGGTGGAAGCGGTGGCACGCTCGTCCTTGATGGCAGACAGGCATCGGGCGAGGACAGCCTCGGCGATGAGGGTCACGGGCTGGCCGAGGTCAAGAGCGTTGACAGCGGTCCACTTACCGGTACCCTTCTGACCAGCCTTGTCGAGGATCTTCTCAACGAGGGCAGTGCCATCATCGTCGTTGAAGTACATGATATCTCGGGTGATCTCAATCAGGAAAGAGTCCAGGACGCCCTTGTTCCACTTGGCGAAGACGTCGCCGATCTCCTTGCTGGAGAGACCGAGACCGCGCTTCATGATGTCGTAAGCCTAGGAATACTTGGTTAGTTTTCTGTGCGAGGCGGAACTTGTCTCAATCTCTTCATACCTCGCAGATAAGTTGCATGTCACCATACTCAATACCGTTATGAACCATCTTGACGTAATGGCCAGCACCCTCGTCGCCAACCCACTCACAGCAAGCCTCGCCGTCGCTCTTGGCGGCAATGCTCTGGAAGATGTCCTTGATATGAGGCCATGCCTCCTCGTTACCACCGGGCATGAGAGAGGGGCCATATCGGGCACCCTCCTCACCACCAGAGACACCAGAGCCGACGAAGCGGATGTTCTTGCCAGCAAGATACTTGGTGCGGCGGTTGGAGTCGGGGAAGTGAGAGTTACCACCGTCGATGATGATATCGCCGGCGTCAAGGAGGGGCAGGATCTTCTCAATCCAGTCGTCGACAGCCTGACCAGCTTGGACCAGGAGCATGACACGGCGAGGAGACTTGAGCTTGCTGACGAACTCCTCAACAGTCTTGGCGCCGACAACGGACTTGCCCTTAGCCTCGTTTTCCAGGAATCGGTCGACCTTGGAGACGGTTCGGTTGAAGGCGCAGATGGTGAAGCCGTTGTCAGCCATGTTCAGAATAAGGTTCTGTCCCCTAGGAAGCATGTGAGTATGAGCTACCACTGGCATAGCCAGGTGAATGGTTCGGGGGTCAAACTTACATGACAGCGAGGCCGATGAGGCCCAGATCCGCACTTGCCATATTGTCAGTATTCGTCGCATTTTGATTCGTAGCAGAGCTTGAGAGTGAGGTGAAGGAATTGTGTTGTTGAGGGGCACCCAGGTTGAGGTGAGCGAGACGAGCTCTACCTCAAGAACATGAGCCATGATCACGATGGAAATCAAGACGGCGATTCCCCAAATCAGTCCAGGCACGAATTCAATATGGCTATCGCTTCATTTCTCGATCCAGCGCCCGGAGTGCGCGGGGATGAGAGCATGAGAGCATCACCATGAAATCGTGGCGGGGTGGTGGGGTAAAATGTCAAGAGATGAGGTATGAGTATGCGATAAGGGAAGCTTGAACTTACACAGGGCCAGACATGATGGGCTATGATATGCGATCGGGGAGTGGTAGGTATAGATTGAGGTTTTTGAAGATGTATGAAGGAGAGAAAGAAAAAGAAGGGAAGAAGGTGGGAGGAGATGCAAAGTTGTAGAGAAATATACCTGGCGATGAATGTTGTCACACCCGTGCCAAAGTTGGGCGCTCGGTACCTTGTCCGCACTCACCTCCCAGTCACCTCCTGTCTGAGCTGGAAGGATGCCCACCTTTTTTTTTCTTTCTACCGCTTTACATTTTGCTCAACTAAGCAAACGCGACGCAATGCGCTTCAAAAGGCTCAATCCAATACAATTGACCTGGTCGGGCATAACGCCAAGTATGGTGGAGCTTCCGCTTTGATTGGCGGGGCTCTTCTCAACTGTTCATCGTCATCGTCACTGTGGTGCGGCCGAGATTGATACTCAGATGATAGGTGTTTTTCTTCCATTTACATCACCTTGTTACTACAGTTCGGTGATTATGAGTAATTGCGGCATCTAGCTGATCTCTCACTCATCCTGTCTTAATCATCGTTACTAAGGCAATCTACTCATCCGTTATGCCAGGCCTGCAAACACTTACAGCTATCACTACAAACAAACTTTGCTTCAATTCCTCAGCAGCCATCATCATCATGACTGAGGTAATGCCCCTCCACTCCTCCCTGGTCAACAGCATGGACTTGTACCTGCTGGCTAGCCAATAGCCATCAGTAGGGGTCCATCATTTACGGACACCAAGTTCCAGAGATGGGATTTTCCCTCACATTTATTTAGCGGACTGTAGCGCCTCGCAGCGTTACCCCTCCAGGTCCCCCCTTCTACGCCCCTCAGCTCCAACGTTTATGACGACTCTGCGGTGCTGCTGCGGTCTTACCCCCAAAGATGAACCCCAAAGCTTACCAAGATTTTTGAAACCGTGACACAAGCAACACAAATCTCGTACAAAGCTCGCCGCATATTAGTCTGGATGAATAGCTTTCCGTGGCATCCGCCTCGCCTCACTAACATCCATAGTCAAGTTCTGGACCTGTCCCGTGCGCGGTATCGACATCTCCTCGTCTCAGTTTGTTCTTGAAGCTTATGCTTGTTGGGATAACCTCCAAGCCCAGCCTTTCTTTGCGATCCTGCAATGCTGTCCGAGTGTTGGGGCCCACGTCTTCCGGGCCCGTGTAATCACTACCGTGCCAATTGACTTGTTCATCGGACAGTAGCCCGAACCCCAACGCGCCTTAGCTTTCGCAAATCCGTACCGAATGCCCCGAAGGCGGATACGGAGAATCCCAAAGAAAAAGGCCGCAAACGCTGAGCTCAGTCCAGGTGTACTCTCAACCAACCCAGGTGCACTCTCAGCCCAGTTCATGATTCCAGCCTGACCGAAATGCTCCACCGGATTTTAACCCGGCAACAGTGCCACGGCGCGGTATAAGCGCCGAATCAACTTATAGCCTCACCAGCGTCCGAAGTCGCTCATGACGAAACAGCCAAGGGGATCATGAGACAGAGATTTAACCCTCAGGCTGGCCAAGCGAAACCCGCTTCAGGATGCCTCAGCCTGCTTCAGCAGCCGGATACTTTAAAGCGACAACGAGGCGATATCTTCGAGCCACGCTTGATATCATCGGACTCTGGTTGACTCGGCTCATGGAGACTCAAAACCCACATCGGAGATGCAAGTAACATTTGACATCGGGATAAAAGGTAATATTCAAGTTCCGTTTGCTTCGATTCATATTAGCCGCCTAATTCTGCCGCCGAAATCGTCTTGAGAACGGATCAAGTCGTCCATTTTCACTCATACCATGTACATGGAGATTAAACTATCCGAACATTCATCCAGCCTCTCAACTAATAGGTGCGGATACGCACTTTTATCAAGTTCCAGAACTTGCCAGTTATGGATGCGCTATATACAACATTGACCCCCACCCACCCCAAGGTGAAAAGAGCCATCTTAGCTACGAACTCATTCAATGTTCAAGCTCACAATAAATCCCCAAGAACCAATATTGTCACGAAAAGTATAGATGCACCATGATGATGAGAGTTCTCGAACTTGCCACTTATTACCATGAACTCTTTCGGATTGATCGGTACCTTTCGTTCCAAACAAGAGCTTTTGAGACACCATGAGGTCCGTCTCCTTCCGAGCCGAGGAATCTATCCGCTATAGAATTTCATAATCCGAAAGAGGCTCTAACGCTGAAAACATAGACTGCATATCATCTACTCCAGTTCGTGGGGGTTGACAAGCTGTTTAATGCCAGACAACACGCATTGTGCGAGACATCACGGCTCAAGACAAATGATAATCGGGGTCCTTCATATTCTATCAATTCAAAGAAGCAAGCCTAGGCTTTGCCCTTTGAGTCCTAAGTCATACAATTAAACTTATATGGCTTGTGATAGTATCCATATAAGTTAGTATAGCCTTGCAGATATACTTGGAGGAGCACTTTGATGGAGGATGTTTCCTCTTTTTCTTGCTCACAGTGGCTGAGATAACCCCCTGATACACTTTCTGCGGGAACCTCTTCCCTCTGGAAAAGATATTCACAATTTGCATTATAATAATTGTCTCTTATTTTATGCTATGAGGATAAATAAGAAGCCAAAGACAGTATCTCGTAGAGATCACGTGATGTTAAAGTAAGCTCCACTTAACTTGGACCGTTCCTTGGAAAACGAGGCTAGGGCGAATCAAAGAAGGCTATCATAAGATCCATTTTCTTCCATACAACACAGTCGCCATCGCAATCGCCATCGTGTCGCATCGTCGTAAAGCACAGTCGAATCGTTTCAGTAAAAGCTTCGAACGCTGGGAATCTCTTGAAAGAGGAACTTGAGCAAGAATTTGGCTCAAGGTACGTTTTCACGCAAACACTACACCGCTTCCTCGTGTATCCGCTTGTATTCATCATGGCGTACCCTCCTCCTCCAGGCATCAGCAACAGCTCTCTCCCACCGAGACCGCCCGCTTCCAAGTCAGGCTTCAAACCCGCGTTTTCCTCGGCGGCCCAGACTGCCTCGAAGCCAGTGTACTCGAACGCTCCGCCGACATACTCCGGCCCTTCGAGTTACTCAGCTCCCAGTGCCCCATCCACAGCTCAGTATGGCCCGTCGTACTCTTCTTACCCGACTACTGCTCCCAGCGCGGTGAACTCGGGCCCCGCCTATTCGTATCCTCAACAGCCACAGAGTTACGGTACCCAGAGTTACGGCGTACAAAGCTATGGCCCTCAGAGCTACGAACCGCAAAGCTATGGCGCAGCACCACAGATTGCGAATCCATTCCCTACGCCAGGCACTGCGGGAACCGACTACAACCCCGAGATGGCCGCTCAGATAGCGCAATGGCAGAGCGCATATTCGAGCACCCCGACAGATAACAAGGATAAGGCCTCTGGGTTTGCCGGGCCTCGAACAGATGGCCAATCTTCTGCGGCTGCGGCGGTTAGCGCTGCAAACCAGGAGCGCAAGAAGACAGTCATCCGAGAAGGTGGTGGTAAGAAGTGGACAGACGACAGTCTTCTCGAATGGGATCCCTCCCATTTACGACTCTTTGTTGGTAATCTTGCAGGCGAGACCACTGACGACGCCCTTCTCAAGGCATTCTCGCGCTGGCCTTCCGTTCAAAAGGCCCGTGTCATTCGTGACAAGCGTACATCCAAGTCCAAGGGCTACGGTTTTGTCAGTTTCAGCGATGCCGACGACTTCTTCCAAGCCGCCAAAGAAATGAACAACAAATATATTCAGAGCCACCCTGTAACAGTTCGCAAAGCCAACACCGAAATCAAGGTGGCCAACGTCAAGGAGAAGGACAGGCATGGAAAGAAGAACAAGAACAAGAAGGGTGGTCATGGTGGTGGGAACGGAGGGGCTGGCTATGAACCCAGCTTAGGGCCCATGGGTGGCAGTGGAGTGGTCAAGCCTGGACAAAAGACTAAGAACGGTCTTCGCCTGCTTGGCTAATTGTTTGACGAGCTTTTCGACCGAGCAAGTGATGCGTTTTGGTGTTTGGTGTTTGCAGAGGGGTCCTGCATACCCGGTCTAAGTGTATTAATCACCGTTATTACCTGTAATCAGCTATTCCACGAAGAATATCCAGTCTATTTTACATTGCAGTAATATAATCAATCATTATAGTTCATATCGAGGATGTGTTCTGAAAAGTCGTTGGCTTAGTTTTAGTCTTCGCTTGTGCCTTGAACGTATTGGCCTTACAGAAAGCTACCGTTTATGCAAAACTTGTTGCATATCATCTGGCAAGAATATTGAGCAAGCAAATTACGTGTGGTATCCGGGTATATTGATATTCTTGCTGTTCTGATATCATCGTGTATGGAGGAAGTCCCAACCTAAATTCTATCCCCTACGTAACCCCCGGCGCCGTTGATATGATACATATAAGACAAAAGACAGCGAGTCATTGTATCGACTCTCACTCAGTATGACAAAGAAAACGGCCCATGGAGTCGTTATATACAGGCTCAGATATTAAAAAGGGAAGTTGTGACGCTAAAACAATATTTACCCTTAGCGACGCTCATTACCTGGCGCATGGGGTTGTACATCAAGATCTAGGCCGTCAATACTGTCGCGGAGTAGACCAGTGTTTTCGGCGTCTATATCGCTATCGCGATCTATGATTCCACTGGTCTGGCTCGTAGGGGAGTCTGGTGCGTCATCATCATGGACATGCCGAACATGAACGCTTTCTTGCGCCTCCTGCCTCATCTTTGTGATTTTGATGTAGTTGTAGGCAGCGATAGCGGCCATAGTCGTGAGTAGACCAACAAAGTTGATGGGTGTGAGGCGGTCACCAAAGACAAGAGCAGCCGCACTAATAGTAACGACCTCCTTGAAGATGCCAGCAATGGAGAGTGTGACGACGGAAGTGCGCTGCAGCAGAGCGAACTCAGAGGCCGTCATGCAGAAGGCGATGCAACCAGGGAAAAGCAAGAAAAGGGGCGCCATGAAATAACCCCATTCGTCGCCCAGGACTTTGTAACCTTCAATGAGAGCTCCAATTCCTTCCACGGGCACGGCAAGGCATATAAGCACGAGAAACATGACTGGAGTAAGGAAGAAGATGCTGGAAAATGGGTTCGAAGTTGCTGGGTTGCGGAGGAGCAGTATCTGGGTCAATCCCCAGCGGAAGCCAGAGAAGAAGGCAGCTGAGATGACGAGGGCGAAGCCTCCTACCTTGAATTCAACTTCACCAAATACCATGAGCACAACACCGAGCGTCATCGTAGCAATGATGGCGACAAGACGCCATGTCGGGGTTTCGAGGCGGAAAGCAAATGCGAACATGAGGACGAAAGCAAGTGAGGAGGATTTACACATAGCTGAAAAGGTTAGTTACATCGATAGCTCAGATGCAAAGACAACATACTGTAAAATGTAAGGCTAATGAACTTGAGAGAGGTGTTGCCAAGTCCAATGTCAAGGCCTGTAGCTGCACCACAAGGTCCAATTCGAGTGAGGTAAAACATCTTGGTCATGCCGTAAGACTTGGGCTCGTCATCATGTCTCGACCTGCCCATATCTGACAGATGAGCACCGTATCCCGGTCTCAGGGAGGGTACAAAGTACAGAACTAGAGCTGAGAGAACAAATTGAACCACCATGTGCATAGACGTCGTAAACAAAGGAAAAGCAAAGTTCAGCCGGTCATGATCAAACATCCATTTGTTGTACTGTAAATATGTCAGCAATTGAGTTATCTGGGAACGGGGCGCAGGAGCCGTTTCGTACAATCGATATTGATAACGAAAAGAGATACCACAAAAGAATCAAGACAACGTTTACCATCAAGCTTTTGAAAACGGTTTTGTCTGCTTCTTTGCGCTCCTCTTTTGATATAGCCTTATTGTCCCTGACGATCCGCTGATCCAGCTGAGTATTTCTGCTGCGCTTCTTCTGCCGCCTCTGCTTGTCTTTACGGGTCAATCCCGTTTCCTCGTCGTCCTGCAGGTTTTCATCGCTCAAGCTGTCGTCGGCGGATTCATCCTTCTGGATCGCAAAGCCGTTCGCATCCAGATCTTCTTCGGATATCTTAGGTTCTTCTGTCGAGCCAGGGGGTGCGGGACCACGGCTTGTGACACGAGTTCGGCTAGGTGATCCAGCTGGCCGACCAGCCATGTTGTGGCTACTTCGCCGTCGACGATGTCCTGCAATGGGTTCCATTTCTATGTCCCAGTCGCTCTCGCTTTCCTCGTCGCCGTTGAAAGACCTTGCGCGGGTTTCACGAGACGGGCCAGCTATCGTTTGATTTCCTCCACCAACACCAGAATTCCGCGATGTAGGCACTCTTGCTGTGCCTGATGATGATCCTGCCACTGATCTCAGAGGACTCGATTCTTTGGCTGGTAGAGAGTCGTCGATGAGAAGAGGTTCGGGGGATTCGGGGAGATCTGGAGCTGCTACGTGTTTCCAAGACGAAGGGGGTGACGGTGAGGAGGGAGATGGCGAGGAGATGGGATCAGGTTGAGGAGGAAGAGCGGTCATGATGGAGACAAAAGAAGGACTAGAGCAGGGGATACGACGGGGCTTTCATAAGTTAGTGATGGATGGCAAAGGATACCCAGGATGGCTAATGGTAATGGGCTGGGTTGGTCCAGGTCTGCTGGCTTAGGTGGTCGCAAGGACTCCATTCGTACAGTAGTGCATTGGAAAAGGCGGAGGAGCTAATCCTCATAGGGCAATAGTTAAAGTCGGGGCCGTCATGGTAGGGGACCGTAGCGCCGTGTCTTAGATGCTACAGAAGTCACTTGGGGGGGTTATGTGTGATCACTGGAACACTCCGAGAGTGAGACCTGTTGACGTCGATTGCATCGAACGGGAAATTTCACCTTTAGCTTTGAATATCTAAGCATAACTCCTTAAGAACTGATTTCCTTGTAATTTTCTAGCCATAACGATGTCTTTCCTGAGCTCTCCTCTTCTTTGCTTGGCACTCCCAAGTTACATGTTGTCCTTCTTACACTGTTAACCCAGCAGCAAAGTGCGGAGTGGACCTGAAGGCATTAGGTCTCTTGGCATTAACATTCATGGAACCCTGTGGCGCACTGCATATCTGCACGCGACACAGCTTCTGGGTCTCTAAAAAGGAAATGATTTGTTTAAGGGTCACCATGTATTAGAGGTTTGTGACAATGTGGTGCAAGCATAGTTCGAGGCCTATGTCAAGGATAAAAAGGTCAAACAGGTGCTCCCCGCCTGTTGATATTTCATACAAGAGCTTTGTAGCAAATCCGAAGCAACAATAAGCACAAATATCATGAAGTTGTCTGTGTCATCGAGAGGATATGATAAGTGCTGTCTGGCCGCCGAGCATTAAGATTCGGGGCGTAGCTTTCATCTCAGCGGTGACAAATTAACACTATGAACTCAATTACTATCCCATGGGTAGCTCAGGCAGGTAGTTTAGAACTGCTTCTCCTCAAATGCGATGAAATGAGAACGAAACAGTGTATCAATGATCTTCAGTCCGCAGCGATCCGGTTGTTGATCACCTCCACACGTGTGCATTATTTCAAGTCCATCAGAAGTGCCCACATGGCACATGATACATGGCGTTTTATCTGATAACGTCCAGGACTTGAATACTTCATCTCTCTCTGGTACTCTTTGTCTGTAATGTTTCAGCTCTCGCGTTTAAATATTTTCATGTCACTTGAAGCTGAAATATCCGGGACTCTGTAACCCACAAATCCAGGGGCAGCAAGAAGTCCCCATCTCGTATCGGATGGGTCTCTAGTTTGTGCATAAAACTCAGGCACTAGACTGCCTAGTTATTTATCATGACCAGGCCCTGATCAATGGATCGCTTCTCTACGTCTGTATCTTACGGAGTACCGGCAGTAGACGAGCCCCTTTCCCTCATTCTATTCACTTCGCCTATGGTAGACGGCATTTGATGTCTTGGCGAGGTCAAATTCACGGTATTGACCCGTATCATTCATGAAAAGCGACCATTTTAGGGCCCGGCTACCCGAATAAATGCCTGGTCGTGTCCCTGAATTTAACAGGTCTGTCGGAGAGGGCCCTCTACCGAGACAAGGCGTGCGTCCCGCCGGGTCCAAGATCCTTGTAAGATATTCAGGCTGAGCCGATAAATCATCAGGATTGATTATGGCCTTGACAATTGAACCGTCTTTGAAACCGGCGGCAACCAAGGTAAACCGTTTGTCGAGTAAGCTTTGAGGATTGAGTTTTCAGGAGAGTATTCGATTTATTAGCTCGATCTATCATCTAGACACCTTCTTCCAAACTATCCTATCTTGAGCAGAGGCCGAATTGCACGGTCCTTGTCATATACGACCTTGCCAATCGGACTTCATTCTTCACACTCTGATTCGTAATTAACCAAGCCCATCCGTTGCCAGCTGTTCTTCTTCTACCGAGCCCCTATACATACACAACGGAACACTTACATTTCTTTATATTTAGCTTTCTATTCGTGTGAACTGGAGGAGTGTGAGAGATATAAGCGCCTTTGTAGATAGCCAGACCTCAGATTAAACAGGTCTATCCACCCAGCATCAGCTCAGCTTTACCTAACGTTCATCCATCTTGAATCCTTAGTCCCTTGTCTCATCAGTAGTTGCGATTTTTCCGTCCAACATGAACATCTTTGGCTTATAGGTGGCCTTTCGAGTATGGGCAGTCATATAAGGCCAATGACAATGCCATTTTTGATGCTATGCCTAACATCAGAGACCTTCTATTTGGTAATGTCAATAACCCTGTTAGTCTCGATGGCTATACGTGTATTTGCACATTGCTCTGTCCTAAAACCCATCGGGGTTAAGGTGTAAATTCTACCTTTTGCATCTGCCTTACCGAGGTAATAACTATCTTGACTTACCTGCCTTAGACAAGATTAGAAGGTTGATTGCCTGGGAATTTCTTAAAGTTAAGATTTATAAAGTTGCCTCATCGCAGGTAGTCACGTCAGGAGCTCGATGGTAAGCCTTCGTTAAAAACCTACCCTAAACTCAAAGAAAGTATCTTAACATCCAGCCTTAAAGTAGGTAGTGAGATGAGCATTCACCGATGTATATCTTAGTAACCAATATGTAATTTTCGCTTTATTTAGTAAGTCTTACGGCATATGTGGTGGCTCTATTTGCGCGAGGAGGA